TAAGCTCTCACTCTACCAGTTGTGTTCGAGTAGAGAGCCTTTATAAGGTTAATGTACTTCTTTGGTACTCCTTTCAGTGACAAACACTGCCATAGAACCTCACGATCAACGGAGTCGAATGCCGCCTTAATGTCAAGAAATACTACCATTGTGGGGCGTCTGAATGTGTGTCTGTGTTCTAGAACCTGACGTAGTGTGAATATCTGATCTATACAACCACGTCCAGGTCGAAAACCGGCCTGGTTTTCTCTAGTCTGTTCTTCACGAGCTTTGATTAGGCGTCGAAGTATTACTGAAGCTAATATTTTAGACACTATATTAGTCAAACTGATTCCTCTGTGATTGTCACAAGAGGACTTTTGTCCTTGCTTATAGACTGGCACAATCAGTGATTGAGACCAGTCAGATGGGATTACGTCCAGTTCTCAAATTCTACCTAAGACCTCAGTTAATCTCATTGTTAATACTGGACCACCATCCTTAAAAATCTCAGGAGTAAACCTGTCAGGGCCTGCTGCTCTCCCTCGTTTCAGATTTCCCATGGCTTTTTCAACTTCGTAAAGGGACGGAGGACCTACATTAACTTGCCATTCAGATTGACTGGAGATCGTGGGAAACAGAAGTGTGGCTGAAGGCCAGTTGAACTGATCCCTAAAGTGTTCTGCCCATCGATCCAATCTCCTGGATTGAGAATGAATAATATGTCCATCTTTCTCTGAGATTGTTTCGCTAACAGTCGGGTTCCTAATTCCGGTTTCCTTAACGAGTCTGAACAATTGTCTGCTATTACCTATTGCCGCTGCCTTTTCCATCTCTCTTGCTTTCGCTACCCACCACTGTTCACGATCATTGCGTAGGCTTCTTGTCAGCTTGCGCTTAAGCTGACTCCGCTCTTCGTTATGTTCAGAGCCAGGTGGAATGAGTTTCCGAGCATCTATCAGTGAGATAGATGCTGCTGAGATCCAGTGTTGCTCTCTAACCTTACGGGTTACCGTACTAGCAGATATCACTGCTGTTTCCACAGCTTTTCGGATATCATTCCATGGTGCATCGGGGTGGGCATCACATACACGGCTGCCTAACTGTTTTCCTAGTTGTTCCTGAAATATATTCTTAGCTTGACTATCATTAAGTAGCCCCCTAAGAGGTTTCCTTGCAGCGCTTTTCCTACGTCCAGTAAAACACAAGCAAATACGCGCTCGCACTAGAGCATGATCTGAATCTAAGCATGTGCTCCAGAATGAGCGACAGTCTTCTATCGAGCCCCTCCATCGGTGACTGATAGCGATGTGATCTATTTGGGTCCAAAGTTGGGATGAATTAGGGGGTCGCCATGTTAAAAGATGTTTTTCCTTATGCTTAAAGTTAGTATTTGCAAGGAACAGGTGGTTATCTGAGCATAGCTGCAACAGACGGTCGCCATTATCTGTTCTTTGAGCCACGACACCATAAGATCCACCTATGTGTCTTTCCTTATCGCTTAGTTTACCTACTTGAGCATTAAATTCACCGGCCACTATTACTACATCCGAGCGCCTAGCTTTTCGGAGAAGGTCGGAGAGCTTTCTGTAAAACTCATCTTTTACATCATCTGAGCTGCAGTCAGTGGGAGAATAGGCAGAGACAACGAAGAGGCAACGACGAGTGTCCCTATCTTTTCGGATTCTTACTGTTCCGTTTAGTCGGACAGCGCACAAACGACTGTCTACTGGGATCCAGTCTAAGAGAGATAGTTCTGTCCTAGGACTCAATGCTATACCTACGCCGGCGAGGCCACGGGAAGCACAATCAGGGCTTCCAGATACACGAAGCGTAAATCGAGTCGGTTCTTTGTTTTGACATTGTGAGGTCAGATGAATGACGCTACTCGGATCCTGTATGCGCGTTTCGGAGACGCAGCACACATCGATGGCGCGAGATTCTAAAGTCCTAGCTAAGGAAGCCTGCTGTCCTATTTGGCACAGTGTTCGTACGTTAAAAGCTCCAACGTGTAGTTTAGAGCGTGGTTTCAGGAGACCAGGAATGGCGTTCCACGTACTCGAATCGTTTGCCCTAGCGGTGCGAGGTGATAAAGAGACGTGAGGAGGGTTAGTCATGGAGATAAGAGAGGTATTAGGAGGTGTAAGAAGGATTTGAATGTGACTAACTTGGTCTCTTGTGCTGTTACGGGTATGAGGGCTGATGTCACTTCCCGGCTGCCCACACCGTGGAAGGGTATTTCTTGAGGAACCTGAAAAGGAAATTGGATTAGTGCTGGTCTTGACGACCTGGGAGCGTGACCGCAGAGCCCAAGGGACAACTGCTTGAGGCCGGTCGCGCACGGCCTTTTTGTGGAAGGTTTTTGACGTGTTAGCTCCGTTCTTCAAAGGGCCTTACAGCCGGAGACGGAAATCCGTGAGGTAAGGTGAGGTGTGCATTTTTAGGGTCGACCTTTTCTAACCCCTTTCCTCCTTGTGAGAAGGCAGCATCGCTGTCATGCTGGTTGTCCGAGGGAAACACCTTACTGCTGTCACACCCCTCTACAGTCAGCAGTACGACTTTGGCCCTCAGACCTTGAGTTGCTGCTTTTAGTCTTACCGTTCGCCAATCGACCTGCCTGGCATGGTAGAACCTGCAGGAACATATGTTCCAGCCAATATAGCTCGGTTGGGTCATCACGATAGGCAAGGCCGACCACCGCGTCAAGGTAGCAGCTTCGATCGGGAAAAGGCTGCAAGAGAAGGAAACATGAGACAATTGTATGACACGACAAAGAAACTCTCTGGAAATCGCCGCAAACCAGAACGACCAGTGAAAAGCAAGGAAGGCGAGATAATCACCAACACTGAAGAGCAACGAAACAGGTGGGTAGAACACTTCAAAGAACTCTTGAATCGACCAGCTCCACTGAACCCACCCAACATCGGAGCAGCACCGACGGACCTCCCAATCAATGTTGGCCCACCAACAATTGAAGAAATCAGCATGGCCATCAGACAAATCAAGAGTGGCAAAGCAGCAGGACCGGACAACATCCCAGCAGAGGCACTAAAAGCAGACGTAGCAGTAACTGCAAGGATACTCCACATTCTCTTCAATAAGATTTGGGATGAAGAACAAGTAATAAAAGACTGGAAAGAAGGACTTCTGATCAAAATACCGAAGAAAGACGATCTCAGCAACTGTGATAACTACAGGGGCATCACTCTTCTCTCAATACCGGGAAAAGTCTTCAACAGGGTATTGTTAAACAGGATGAAGGACTGCATAGACCCCAACTTCGTGGTCAACAGGCAGGATTCCGTAAGGATATATCGTGTACAGACCAAATCGCAACTCTACGGATCATCGTGGAACAATCAATTGAATGGAATTCATCGCTCTACATCAACTTCATTGACTACGAAAAGGCATTTGATAGCGTGGACAGAACAACACTATGGAAACTTCTTCGACACTACGGCGTGCCTCAGAAGATAGTCAATATCATACAGAACTCATATGATGGATTACACTGCAAAATCGTGCATGGAGGACAGTTGACAAAGTCGTTCAAAGTGAAGACCGGTGTTAGGCAAGGTTGCTTACTCTCACCCTTTCTCTTTCTCCTGATGATCGACTGGATCATGAAGACGTCAACGTCTGAAGGAAAGCGCGGGATACAATGGACATTTAAGATGCAGTTGGATGATCTGGCCCTTCTATCCCAAACGCAACAACAGATGCAGGAGAAGACGAACAGTGTGGCAGCAGCCTCAGCAGCAGTAGGTCTCAATATACACAAAGGGAAAAGCAGGATTCTCCGATACAACACAGAATGCACCAATCCAATCACAATTGACGGAGAAGATTTGGAAGATGTAAAAACCTTTACGTATTTGGGCAGCATCATTGATGAGCACGGTGGATCTGATGCAGATGTGAAGGCGCGGATCGGCAAAGCAAGAGCAGCATATTTACAACTGAGGAACATCTGGAACTCAAAGCAACTGTCAACCAACACCAAGGTCAGGATTTTCAATACAAATGTCAAGACAGTTCTACTGTATGGGGCAGAAACCTGGAGAACTACAAAAGCCATCATCCAGAAAATACAGGTGTTTATTAACAATTGTCTACGCAAAATACTTCAGATCCATTGGCCGGACACTATTAGCAACAACGTACTGTGGGAGAGAACAAACCAGATCCCAACGGAGGAAGAAATCAGGAAGAAGTGCTGGAAGTGGATAGGACACACATTGAGGAAAGCACCCAACTGCATCACAAGACAAACCCTCACATGGAATCCTGAAGGTCAAAGGAAAAGAGGAAGACCAAAGAACACATTACGCCGAGAAATGGAGATAGACATGAGAAAAATGAACAAGAATTGGATGGAACTAGAAAAGAAGGCCCAGGATAGAGTGGGTTGGAGAATGCTGGTCAGCGGCCTATGCTCCATTGGGAGTAACAGGCGTAAGTAAGTAAGTAAGTAATGTTCAAACAAATAGAAATCTTATTCATTGAGATCTTCAACTGATTGATGTTAGACCACCATTGAAAACCTGGAAGCACTAGACGGCCGTCTCGTGCTATTGTGGGACTCCTCAAAAGTGTGAATCCGCTATCCTGCTCGTAGGATTCGAACCAAGGGCCTTCAGTATCGCTCGCAAACGCTTAACCTCTAGACGACTGAGCTGACCGGTATCCAACGGTGTTAGTGCTTAACCTCAACCAATCCACGAAATTGCGTGAGCATTTCCCATTGTACTGAGGTAGATACTTTTGTCTATCCGACACGGATTAGCTCCACTGGTCATGGATGAGCACCGCAGAAGAGTTCCGCAACAGGAAGAAAAGGACATCCAGTGCTTCCAGGTTCTTAATGATGGTCTAACATCAATCAGTTCAAGATCTCAATCAATAACTTAATAATCTCCACAACCCTATACTGAAAATAGAAATCTAACATAAAAATTAATTAAAAAATTGAATCATAGAAATTTGAATGAATCTAATCCACATATATAAACACTTACCATATATGTTCGTATTGTATCCAATGTCCATGAATTCAACCAAACTAATCGACCACCTGGACCACCAACTAATAAACAATTCACACCTCGACCTTCAGATACAGTTGAAAATGCCATAGGAACTAAAGGATGATAATTATCATCATAGATTTGTAATAAAGGTGAATCTATTAATGGATCATTGATTTCAGCTAGAAAATCTAAAATACGATTAGCTATCCAAACTCCAGAACAAGAATATAAACCAAGCCAACAGACTGAAATTAAAAAAAATTTTATTAATAGAAATGAACAAAAAAAGGAACCAGTGAATAGTGCATAGTGATTCATTATTAGCACTAAATGAATGTATGATGTTATCTGTCATTCAGTTCAATGACAGATTAATGCTACTAATGTTTGATTGATATATTTTATGGAATGGGAAAATGAATTTGCAAATGAATAATGCTTGTGAGAAATATGTTCTGATAAATGGTTCATCTAACAATTTAATAGTTGAATTCATAACTCAATTAAAACTAGACCACCATGGAAAACCGGGAAACATTGGACGGCCGAATTCTCCTAGTATGGGACTCTTTAGTAGTGCATATCCATGATCTCGCCCCCTGGGGTTGGAAACCAGGATCTATCGGTCTCGCGCGCAAAATTTTGCCACCGTTTACCGTTCATATAATCTTTACAATGAACATATGAGTACTAATTTATCTACGGAACAATAACCTGACTGTTCATCATAGCTTGTTTTTAATCACTTTATCACAAAATTATATCATATTATAAGAGATATCTAGTTCTACACAATTCGCTTAGTGTATCATCAGTGGATATTTGATCGGAAATTTTTATTAAAACTTAATTTAAACAGAAGTATAGAATTACAATTTATATCGAACTTTTGTCTATGATAATTATTATTCAAATTCATCAACCCTGTATAAGTTTAAATACTTGGTTATGTCATGATTTATACTTTCTATGTGTTAGCTAGTTGATACTAATTCATCTGTACAAAATAAATTAAATGGAGTGGAGTTCCAAGTCCTAGCTTGGGATCTTGAAGAGAAGTGGAAAAGAAGAAAGCCAAAGAACATGAACAGGATGAATAACAACTGGAAAGAGCTGGAAAGGATTGCCCAGGACAGGGTTAGATGGAGAGTGGTGGTTGGCGGCCTATGCTCCTCCACGATGAGTAACAGGCGTAAGTAATTAAGTAAGAGTTCCAGCCTGAGATTGAATGGTTGAAAGTTAAATAATATTAGCAACCATGGTTCAATTGATCCAGTAGTCAGATAAATATTAGTTTAACTTATAAATAGAAACCATTTGATGATTATGTCATTAACCAGCAAAAAATGAGTCGATTTAGTTCATAATCAATTTATATGCCAATTAATCACAAGGATGACATATTTATTTATAACACTTTAATGACTTGGATAGAGTTTAGTTCTCTAAGCTGAATGGTTTGGTCGTAGAGCTTTCATCGTCTACCTGAAGTTTTTGCTGATGATATCATTCAGAAGAACGAGAAAAGCTCCACGACCAAAACCATCCAGCTTAAAGAAAACAAACTCCATCAAAATCATCCACCTGAGCTACAAAACTTCTCTACTTTAATGACTTTTAAAATCAAGGATTGGCTGAATTTTCTCAGTGATTATTAGGACTGTAATTGGTTAGTCACTTATTGGTATACGTACATCTTATATGGATTCCATCGATGCAGCCGTTTGTACACAAACATTTTAAACCGAGTTGACTGGTGTCTAGCAGTGGAATCTATAACGCAAGTTTCTTCTTACTTGGAAATTATCAATAAAGAAGATTCAAGAAATCAATACAAATGAACTAAGAATCACCCCCATCAAACAAGGCAGTAGCGATTTGGACTCAGTAAGTAAATGGATAAAGTGTCGGAGTTTGAAGCAAAAGGTACTTATTTACAGTTCCGGGGTGGAAATCAACTCTGGGGTGCGAGTAAGTCTGGCTGATGAGTCTCAAATAGGACAAAACATGAGTCCTGGATTCCGCTACTAAGGACCACACATCTTTGCTTAAAATCTACCAAACTTTAGTGGAATTTCAACGAGGTCATATACTGAATGGTTTACACAGGTAAATCTTAAAACATATTATTATCATCAAAGTTACATGATCGAAGAAAATTGATTAACTGAATCATTATTCAGTTTCATCCCGACCGAAGCTGCTACCTTGACGCGGTGGTCGGCCTTGCCTATCGTGATGACCCAACCGAGCTGTATTGGCTGGAACATATGTTCCTGTAGGTTCTACCATGCCAGGCAGGTCGATTGGTGAACGGTAAGACTAAAAGCAGCAACTCAAGGTCTGAGGGCCAAAGTCGTACTGCTGACTGTAGAGAGGTGTAACAGCAGTAAGGTGTTTCCCTCGGACAACCAGCATCTGCAGTAATGTTGCCTTCTTACAAGGAAGAAAGGGGTTAGAAAAGGTCGACCCTAAAAATGTCACACCTCACCTTACCTCACGGATTTCCGTCTCCAGCGGTAAGGCCTTTTGAAGAACGGAGCTAACACGTCAAAAACCTTCCACAAAAAGGCCGTGCGCGACCGGCCTCAAGCAGTTGTCCCTTGGGCTCTGCGGTCACGCTCCCAGGTCGTCAAGACAAACACTAATCCAATTTCCTTTTCAGGTTCCTCAAGAAATACCCTTCCACGGTGTGGGCAGCCGGGAAGTGACATCAGCCCTCATACCCGTAACAGCACAAGAGACCAAGTTGGTCACATTCAAATCCTTCTTACACCTCCTAATACCTCTCTTATCTCCATGACTAACCCTCCTCACGTCTCTTTATCACCTCGCACCGTTAGGGCAAACGATTTGAGTACGTGGAACGTTATTCCTGGTCTCCTGAAACCACGCTCTAAACTACACGTAGGAGCTTTCAACGTACGAACACTGTGCCAAATAGGACAGCAGGCTTCCTTAGCTAGGACTTTAGAATCTCGCGCCATCGATGTGTGCTGCGTCTCCGAAACGCGCATACAGGATCCGAGTAGCGTCATTCATCTGACCTCACAATGTCAAAACAAAGAACCGACTCGATTTACGCTTCGTGTATCTGGAAGCCCTGATTGTGCTTCCCGTGGCCTCGCCGGCGTAGGTATAGCATTGAGTCCTAGGACAGAACTATCTCTCTTAGACTGGATCCCAGTAGACAGTCGTTTGTGCACTGTCCGACTGAACGGAACAGTAAGGATCCGAAAAGATAGGGACACTCGTCGTTGCCTCTTCGTCGTCTCTGCCTATTCTCCCACTGACTGCAGCTCAGATGATGTAAAAGATGAGTTTTACAGAAAGCTCTCCGACCTTCTCCGAAAAGCTAGGCGCTCGGATGTAGTAATAGTGGCCGGTGAATTTAATGCTCAAATAGGTAAACTAAGCGATAGGGAAAGACACCTAGGTGGATCTAATAGCATCGTGGCTCAAAGAACAGATAATGGCGACCGTCTGTTGCAGCTATGCTCAGACAACCGCCTGTTCCTTGAAAATACTAACTTTGAGCATAAGGAAAAACATCTTTTAACATGGCGACCCCCTAATTCGTCCCAACTTTGGACCCAAATAGATCACATCGCTACCAGCCACCGATGGAGGGGCTCGATAGAAGACTGTCGCTCATTCTGGAGCACATGCTTAGATTCAGATCATGCTCTAGTGCGAGCGCGTATTTGCTTGCGTTTTACTGGACGTAGGAAAAACGCTGAAAGGAAACCTCTTAGGGGCCTACTTAATGATAGTCAAGCTAAGAGTATATTTCAGGAACAACTAGGAAAACAGTTAGGCAGCCATGTATGTGATGCCCACCCCGATGCGGCATGGAATGATATCCGAAAAGCTGTGGAAACAGCAGTGATATCTGCTAGTACGGTAACCCGTAAAGTTAGAGAGCAACACTGGATCTCAGCAGCATCTATCTCACTGATAGATGCTCGGAAACTCATTCCACCTGGCTCTGAACATAATGAAGAGCGGAGTCAGCTTAAGCGCAAGCTGACAAGAAGCCTACGCAATGATCGTGAACAGTGGTGGGTGGCGAAAGCAAGAGAGATGGAAAAGGCAGCGGCAATAGGTAATAGCAGACAATTGTTCAGACTCGTTAAGGAAACCGGAATTAGGGAACCGACTGTTAGCGAAACAATCTCAGAGAAAGATGGACATATTATTCATTCTCAACCCAGGAGATTGAATCGATGGGCAGAATACTTTAGAGACCAGTTCAATTGGCCTTCAGTCACACTTCGGTTTCCCACGATCTCCAGTCAATCTGAATGGCAAGTTAATGTAGGTCCTCCGTCTCTTTACGAAGTTGAAAAAGCCATGGGAAATCTGAAACGAGGGAGAGCAGCATGCCCTGACAGGTTTACTCCTGAGATTTTTAAGGATGGTGGTCCAGTATTAACAATGAGATTAACTGAGGTCTTAGGTAGAATTTGAGAACTGGACGTAATCCCATCTGACTGGTCTCAATCACTGATTGTGCCAGTTTTTAAGAAAGGACAAAAGTCCTCTTGTGACAATCACAGAGGAATCAGTTTGACTAATATAGTGTCTAAAATATTAGCTTCAATAATACTTCGACGCCTAATCAAAGCTCGTGAAGAACAGACTAGAGAAAACCAGGCCGGTTTTCGACCTGGACGTGGTTGTATAGATCAGATATTCATACTACGTCAGGTTCTAGAACACAGACACACATTCAGACGCCCCACAGTGGTAGTATTTCTTGACATTAAGGCGGCATTCGACTCTGTTGATCGTGAGGTTCTATGGCAGTGTTTGTCACTGAAAGGAGTACCAAAGAAGTACATTAAGCTTGTAAAGGATCTCTACTCGAACACAACTGGTAGAGTGAGAGCTTATGGCGAACTGTCATCAGAATTGATTACCTCAAGTGGTGTTCGTCAGGGCTGTCCACTCTCCCCATTCTTGTTCAACTTTGTCATTGACGTACTTTTAGAGATAACACTCTCCTCATCTAAATTTGCAGGGGTTGAACTTCTACCAGGAGGTTCACTTGTTGACTTGGAATATGCTGATGCCAGTTCTATTTGGTGAAGATGCTGACAAAATGCAGTCTTCTGACCACTCTAAGCAACAATGCAAGCATGTTTGGGATGCGATTCTCTCCCTCGAAATGCAAAATGTTGCTTCAGGATTGGGTTACATCGACACCCGAACTAGTGATAGGGAGTGAAGTAGTTGAGTGTGTCGACCGCTTCACTTATCTTGGAAGTCTCATCAGCCCTTGTGGTTTGGTGTGTGACGAAATCTCAGCACGGATACAGAAGGCTCGACTAGCTTTTGCCAACTTGCGTCATTTATGGCGTAGGCGAGATATCCGTCTATCAACCAAAGGACGTGTTTACTGTGCAGCAGTTCGTTCCGTCCTACTTTATTGCAGTAAGACATGGCCCGTAGGAGTAGAGGATATTCGTAGGTTACTAGTATTCGATCATAGGTGTCTTCGAAACATTGCTCGTATATCATGGGACCATCGAGTAAGTAACACAGTTGTTAGGAAACGGGTACTAGGTAAGGATGGCAAATCCATTAATGAAGTAGTGAAACTTCATCAGTTGAGATGGCTGGGACATGTGTTATGTATACCCAACCACCGACTGCCTCGACGTGCGATGTTCAATGGTATAGCATTAGGTTGGAAGAAAGCTAGGAGCGACCACACCAAAACATGGCACAAATCCATGAAGTCACTGACAAGTGCACAGAGTGAGTCATGTTGGTAGGTGTAGACTACCTGGTTGGGGACCACGAGATGATAGAAACCGATGGTTAGAGACCCTGAATGACATGGCTCAAAATCGTTTGCAGTGGCGCAGGTGCATCCACTCTTTGTGTTCTCCGAAATTCTAATCTTCTGAATTCTCAATGTCCCTTTTTCATCTTTCCAAATTTATTTCACTGGATTATACTCTTTAAATAACATCTCCAAACCCTAATCTTCCCGATTACTGCTTATACTCTTACTACCTTTACCACTACGGGATTTGAATCGACAACTGCATCTCTGTGCTAATGTGGTGTGGCAACTCGAATTGATGTACGTACGTACAAAGTTCTACGTTGTTACTGACTGACTGACTGACTATTCAGTTTCATAGTCAGAAATATGAATAATGAAACTATCATGAAAAGCGATAGAAACTGTTGTGGAATTGGAAGAACGTAAATTTGTAAATGGCTGACCGATGTCATGTTTTTCCAGCCGTTTTTAGTGTTGCATGAACACCATTTGGCTGTTAAACGCCATGACATATCTTCGCTTTAATCAATCCATGTGGACAATCGCGCATACAAATTCTACTGGAAAAAGGTTAAAATCTTGGATAGAGGAGTTACTAAAAACACCAGAGTATATTTTCAGATACTTGGGATTCAGGTCAGTCAACAATCAACAAATACATTGAAAATAATTCAACTTACAAACCAATCCCAAAAAATCATGGACAAATATAGAACCAAGAATCAAATCAACAGGAGACACAATGAAAGTAAAGAGGCAAATAATGACAGATTAAATATTAACATTAAAAAATCAAGATCGAACTCGACAGGATAAATTGTGAGTCATGTGTGAAAAAATTCAAACACTTCACTTCTATCCGAAGTTTGCACTAATGATGTTGATCAGAAGAACAATGAAAGCTCCACAATCAAAGCATCCAGAACGAAATCTCACCAAAATCGATTAAGTCACAATGTAGCCACTAGTCTAAGCGAGTAAATATCGAGCTCATTATGTTAAGATGTTGAGTGATATCCCGTCGATTCCCTCTTACTACTCAACACAGATTTTATTTATATTTATTTGAACACATAAATACTGGTACAAGGAGCACCAGATAAATATGCGCCATACAAATCTCATTTGATTTGTGTGAGGGCCGTGATACTGCCTTGGTGCTCAGACCGAAACAGTTGGTTTTCTTAGGGGGTCACATCCTGAGCCTTTGACTTAAAGGTCTGATCCACAAGGCAGTGGAGCATCGTAAGGAGATGCAATCCCATTGTAGCCGGTGACCAACGATTGATTCGTACGCCATTTGTTCCTTCAGGATACTGGAGCCCATGTGCACCAATGGTTTGGAATCAGGGTTTTTCAACTCCCCATCCGTGTCGACCAACCTGGTTAAAGTGCCGGACATTCGCTTTTCGTCCTTTTAATTTCGTAAACAGCAGTAATACCTCGAGAAGGCAGTGATTAGGACTTCTCTGTTAGTGGTTTTATGCACGTGGCTATGTGAGAGCATTTCGAGAGGGAGAGCGGATTCTCCCCACTCTCGGCCGTACCAGGGCATTCGGGGGCACACAGAAGGCATACAGTAATGAAATAACAAATAATCATCAGTTACCATAAACAAAATGTTATGGAATCTCAAATAACAGGATGTTTAGTAAAATAATAATAATAATAATAATAAAACGAACAAGTAAATATCGGATTGTTAATTACCATTAAAATTAGGATGATTCCATTTGGCTACAACTAATTCACCGGATGTTAAATTGAAGCATATTCCATCAATACGTTTAAAATTATTCAATAATACTGAATCATCATTGATATTTATAAAATCAGCTGTTGAAGTACTACTGCTACTACTACTACTACTTAAAATAGACTTCTTTTTCTTCATTTGTATATCTTCATTACTTTTATGTATGGGATTCTCCACAGTAAGATGATTAGAGGAATATCGTCTACGGGGTTGTTTCAAATCATGAATGCTATGGTAATCCTGACCGGTATTAGTAGTAGTGATACTATGACTTTGACTACTATTTGAACTATCACCGAATTCATTTTGTTGATAATCATGATCATTAATAATATTAGTATTAATTGTTTTAATTAATGTTAAGAGATATCTATCCCATAAACATACATAACCTTGATTATCACCACTAGCAATTAAACTATTATTACGATTAATTACTAAACTAGTGATTTCATGTCCAGCATGACCATATAATTGTTTCCAACCGGTAATTTCCCATAAACCAGCGGTTTCTTTATTATTATTATTCTCATCATGAATAGAATGATTAAGAGTTTGAGTAGGATTCATCGGGGTAGTAGTAGTAGTAGTAGTAATAGTCAGTTTTGAATGTTTCATGTTTCGTTTTGTTGATTCTTTTCTTGATCGTTTATGAATATTTGCTGTACAATTTGGTTTATCTTCATTTAATAATGATTCTCCTTGATAATCCTGTTATGAGGAAAAGAAAAATGAAGACTGTTTTTTTGATGTGGTTATATACATGAAAAAAGGATGAATAACATACAGACTGAGAGATATTATTTACAGAACTATTAAGAAAGTAAAGAGAACTAAACAATATTTATAATGAGCAAAATTAGATAGTGGCTAGCAGTGAAATCCAGGACATGCGTTTCCTCCTATTTGGGACTTGTCGGCTGGATGTACCTGCATCTCAGAGTTGATTTTCGCTCTGAGACTCGAACCTAGTACTGTTCTCTTCAACCGCCATCACATTATCCACTTAGCTACTGAGTCCTGATAACCACTTGCTTGTGCAATGGGGTGAAGTTTAATTCACTTGGCATTGTTTTACTTGAATCTTCCCATTGATGTTTAGGACTGAAATTGATCAGTCTCTTATTGGTTTATGTGCATACTGTGTGTATTGACTCTATATTGCTTTAATTCATAAGCATTATAAGCAAAGATGTGTAATAGGACTCGTCATCTAGATGTATCTGCATCTCAGAGTGGATGTTCACTCTGGGACTCAAGCTCATTACTGTTTGCTCCAAACACCATCGCGCTATCTACATAACTACTGATAAATAAATAGAAAAACAATACCAAGTGAATTCAATATTTATAATGATTCTAGGAGTTGATTTAATGATTTAGAGGTTAAATTAATTAACCGTTAACAAATACCTTGTAGGATCAAACTCCGCTTTATCTAATACAAGTGAGGAATGGCGTTACACTAACCAGAATACAAACAATATAGCTTATATTTGGATTATATAATTCTATACTTGGTGAATTATTTACAAAATATCTTCAAATTTATTATTCTGATTAGGGCTATCAAATAATACATTAATATAGAATAATTAGCAGGTGCATCCACTCTTTGTGTTCTACCAAATTTATTTCACTAGATTATACTCCTTGAATAACAACTTCAAACCCTAGTCTTTCCGATTACTGCTTATACTTTTACAAACTCTACGACTATGGGATTTGAATCGACAATTGTATCTGTGTGTTAATGTGATATGGCAACTTGAACTGATGTACGTGTGTATGTGCGAAGTTCTACGTTGTTGACTGACTGACTGACTGATAGAATAATTAAAAGTCACAGATATGAAGAAATTTGTAAGGATTTTTTGTGAAGTTCATCATTTATTGAAAAAGTGAATAAACATATAGAATACATGGATACAAAGATCTTATAAATGAATTATATATTAGATATTAATTCTCAGTTTAGGGGTTGTGGAGATTGTCAAGTTTTTGATTGAAATCATGAGTCAATTGAAGCTAGTCCAATGCTTCCAGGTTTTCCATGGTGGTCTAGCTTCAACTGACTCATGATTTCAATAAAAAAAGATATTAATTCATTGGTTTGAAAGTCTTGGCCTCAATTTCTGGAAGGATCAAGTGAGTACACTGTTAATCCATAATAACATGAAACAGATAGCCAACACTATGGTTCTTCAAAGCTGGCTAGCTGAATCAGTTCATAAAGCAAACGATCTTTGAAAATCAGATATTTCTTAAAACAAGTACGTTTATTAACATTGATCTATGAATTCACTGGTTGTGTATTGAGGTTAATTGTATTGTTTGTTGATTTGGAGTGAACTAATGGTGAGGCGTGTGAAAAAGTTTAATAACTGTTTGATAAAAGAGTTAATTTTCAGGTGCATGACGAAAGTCCACTACCGATTTAACAATAAACACTATAAACCATTAGATGGTGTAGCTATGGGATCAACACTGAGTTCTCTCCGGACAAACATTGTGTTTGCAAAGTAATAATTAACATTCGTCTATCAACTACATTTACACTTGAGAAAGAACAGAGTAATGGCATATCATTTCTAGATGTCCAATTAAAAAAAGGATTAGACAAAACATGAAAGAGAGGGATAAGTAACTAAATCCCAAATTTCACGATAGACATAGCTCTACAGTTCCGCAAAAGAAACTCAGTAAAAATCCTGACTTGTTGTGGCAAAATGATTTGCTTTCGTGACGCTATTGAAGATGAATTGAATAATATTCGTAACCTTATTGGAAGGAATAGATATAGAGCTAAATTCGTCAACAAACACGTCGACGAAATAAAAATTAGACTAAAGGCAACGACTGTTCTGAAGAAGTTACTGTTTTTGAAGCTGCATTTCAAAAATGAATCTAATGATGAAATCATCATATGTAACTCAGAATCTGACACATGTACATCGGTCCAAGTTGCCATATCATATTAGTACAACTCGATAAAGTTATTTCAAGACGATTCAGAGCCACCTCATTTGAAGTTTCTAACCACTGGTTACGATAATCACTCAGACACCAACCAGGTAGTCTACACTTATTAACATGGACAAGTCCAATTGTCAACGACTTAATAAATAAGTGCCACGTCGTGGTTTGGTCGCCCCCAGCCTTCTTCAACCTACCTCTACATCAGACATCAGACCCCATCGACGTATGGGGTGGTTGGGCACACGAGGCACATGTCTTAATCCCTCCAAGTAATGAGGATTTACTAACTCATCAATAAAAACATTGAAACAAAGGTTCAAAAAAGCTATGCGAGAAACGTTTATTGAACCAAAACTGAATGTGGTTTCAAATGATTGTCTGAAGATTCGTTTGTTTAACTTTCATCAGTTCATGATTACATTGAAATTCAACAGTAAACAAAACCTTATATAAACATTCATGTGCACTTATCGATTCAATTACTCCTGCGAAGCCAGTTGTATTAGGCGCATAACTCAACAACTCTGTCAATGTACATAAGAACACTATCCGTGTCGGTTGAGTTAAGGACAACTGAGGTTGATCAGGAGTTCGATTAGTGAAACTACAATTTATGGATGACATTTGAGCGATGCCCAAGTAACATTGAGAGTGTCTACCTATTTATTAGGGCTAAATGTGGGTTATAAAGAAGTCTGAAGAATAATGATTACGATACACAGTTGATGGTTAGGGTCAGCAGACCCTATTACACCACTACTCAATCAGAATGATTTCCATTGGAATCAGGAACTGATTTAAGTCAGGTTACCATCGACAACTTGGAAGCACTGGACGGCCGATTCGTCGCAGTGTGGGGACCGCTGTCAGCGGTGCGTACCCACGATCCTGCACGCTGGACTTGAATCCAGCACCTACAGTCTCATGCGCGAACGTTTAATCCCTACATTACTCAGTCGGCAATCAATCCATGACATTACGCGACCATCTTCCATTGATTTCGGTGGGAACCGTCTGACACCCGACACGGGTTAGCTCAATTAGTAACAGCTTCTTACTAGAATTATTTCATTGTTGTAAATTATATACATCTTTTCACTAGATTACATTGTCGATACTGAGATACGACTATTGTGTACATCTTCAGTAATCAATTTTTCTCTTGTTGTCCCAGCTATTTCTTTTATCTCAAACTTTTAACCGTGATCTAACTTTTGATACTTTTGTTGGGCATAGATCAAATTTCACTTTATGTATCAATTATGTGCGAAATTCGTTTAATATAGCGTTTATTTATGTTCTTAATATTTCTATTATGTAATAATTTGGTATAACATTTATTAAAGTTCGAGTTATTCAAAGTACATCTATATGTAAATGATCATATTGAAATGTGATTTAAAAAATTCTATTCTTGATCTGGTTGGGATTTCTTTAGAAAGATATTTTTCTGCAGGACGAGGTGGCCAACTCCGACTAAATGCCCTGATACGGTCGATAGTGGAGAGAATCCGCTCTCCCTCTCGAAATGCTCTCACATAGCCACGTGCATAAAACCACTAACAGGGAAGTCTTCTCGAGGTATTACTGCTGTTTACGAAATTAAAAGGACGAAAAGCGAATGTCCGGCACTTTAACCGGGTCAGTCGACACGGGGAGTTCACCTACGAGAGCTCAAAAAACCTGATTCCAAACCATTGGTGCACATGAGCTCCCGTATCCTGAAGGAACAAATGGCGTATGAACCAATTACCGGTCACCAGCTACCATGGGACTGCATCTCCTCACGATGCTCCACTGCCTTGTATATCAAACCTTTAGGTCAAAGGCTCAGGGTGTGACCCCCTAAGAAAACCAACCGTTTCGGTCTGAGCACCAAGGCAGTATCACGGCCCTCACACAAATCAAATGAGATTTGTATGGCGCATATTTATCTGGTGCCCCTTGTACCAGTATTTATGTGTTCAAATAAATAAATAAAAATGACGACTCCATACCCAAACATTTTTCTCCTCTCAGGCTTTGGAAGCGCACTAACTCGAGAAAAGATACAGGCGGAGTTTAGAGCTTTGATAGTCAAACAAATTTCTACTTTTCATAAAATGTTTTCTTTTGTCAAGTGTTGAATTATATCTATTCTATGTCAGTCATGAAAACTAACTTCTAGAGAGAAGTGAGATGATCAAATCAATCTGTTTTCAACCACTAAGTTGTAGGTTACAAATATCCATTCCACACACTTCAGTTTTGAATTTTGTGTTGTAATAGTATTACTAGCTTTAACACAATATTGGTTCAACTGTAAATGAGTGATACTGTAGCGTATTCAATATTTTCCATTCCAAATTCCAACTGTCAACTAGTACAAAACTTAAGCGAGACTGATTGAAATGACTCAAAATCGTTTGTTATGGCTTGGATTTCTTGAATTTTGTCAGATGATTTCATCCCTCTGTTCTAATGAGGTATGACAGTTTGAACTGATGTGTATACGTAGCAGATTCTACATTGTGACTGACAGATTAAATGTAAGATACTTATATCAGGTACAAAATTACAATGACTTACTTGTGGTAACCAACTGTCAATGGATGAAATATCATATAAATTTGTAGGCAATTGTCTTACATATATTGATCCAAAACAGGTACCAACAAATAATTGAATACCATGACTTGAACTAGGTGAAATAGATAATGAAGTAATTAAAGATTTCCCAGTACCGAATGGAAGAGGATTTGAATATGGTAATTGTAAGTTTATCTCATCATTATGTTGATGATGACGATGTAGTTCTGATGGAGAGGAATCAGTAGTTCCAAAAGGTTCGTCATAAGGATAATTAGAAGAAGCATTACAAGTACTATATGATTCTTTGGGTAAACGTTTTATAAAAATATTTAAAGTTCTATTGTCTAGTAAAGATGGTTTCAATTTTATTAAATATGGTACAGGATACAATTGATCTTGTAAATTACTAATGTCTAGTAATAACGATACCCATATACATGCATTTGATTCACAGTGAAGAATTTTCCAATACCATGAACAATCAGTATGAACATCTGTTGTGAACGATGATGATGATGACAAGAAACATTCACCTATTTCATGATCAATGTTGAAATCAACCCAACCATTCCAAGAATGATATAATTTATCATTATTTATTGAAGAGATATTGTTTAGTTGATTCATACAATGAAGTAAATGAGTATCTTTCGTATTGAATTCACACCATATAGAACCGGTTAAATGACTAAGAAATGGTATTTTTAATATTTCAGAATGTTCCAGTGAATTCTTTGTACTTCTCGATACTGATAACTTTGTATTGATGAACTGTTTCTTCCAAATTATTTCAAACTATACACATAATAAAAAGTAATAGTTATCATCATAAAAAAACATACAAATAAGGGAAATATTATTTTATTCAGGAAGCGATTTAATTTAAACAACCACTGAAAACCTGGAAACATCGGACTACCGTTTCCTCCTAGTTTGGGACACATGAACAGTACAGATCGACAAACATATAACCGGAAATCAAACTCATGACCTTCGGTTTTGCGTGAAAGCAGAGCACTGACTCGGGTGCTTGAAGTCTGAGCCATGTTGGTAGATGCAGACCACTTGGTTGGGGTCCATGTGACTATCGTAAACAATGGTTGGAAACTCTTGGTGACATGGCTCAGAACCGATCACAATTGCGTCGGTGTATACACTGTCTGTCTCCCCTTAAACTAAGAGATTAAAATCACTTCATATCTTTCTTTCTATGAACTAATTCTTTCTTCCTGTACTATATCCTTATATGTAATCTTTCTTTTATACATTACCACCACTGAATTAACTACTTTTATTAATCCGGTGTTCATCTCGTTGTGTTAATGAGGTATGGCAACTTGGACCGATGCATATATGTGCCTGGTCCTACGTTGTAGCTGACTTACAATAGTACAAAGGTTTAACTCCAACCTCAGGTTGCAAGGTAGTAGATAAAAACTTCTGAGAAGTCCAACTTTAGGACGAAACGACCTAGTAGTGCTTCCAGGTTTCCAATGGTTGGCTAACTTAGATTGGTTTTTAGTTTCAATATACTTCAATAATCTCTACAACCACTCTAATGCAAATACTACTTATAAGAACGATTTTAGTCAGGGTTGTACGTTTCACCTTATGCGAAAGTGATTAGTTGAACAGTGACGCCATTTTAAAGTATAAGAATGTAAAATGAGCTGAAAAATCAATACTTTGTTAATTTTCGAGTCACAAAAATGAGCAAAAAATATACACCCAATTTGAACTTCTACTTCATGTATTGAATACACAAGCTGTATCTATATAGAGTCCATATACAATAATTGTCTAGGTTCATGCTTAACACCCAAATACGTACGGTGACTTGATGGTTACAGAAACCAACTAGTGATAAATAGATTGCACGTTCAAGATTCAATCAGTTTACGAGACATGTTATTCGATGTCATGAGTGATCCATGTCTTACATTTCCAATATAGAATAAACTAATTAAAATCAATTAATCAACCAGCTTTTTTCGTCATCATTTGTGACATCTCAGAAGAGTGAGATGGAATGAACAAAATAAATACCAAGGAAATCAGAATAACAATAGTGTCAATGACTGGATACATCCGTGACACTAACCGATTTCAAACCATTTCATATAAGGTCTTTCAACTATCAATCATGATTACTCTACATTCTCATAAATTCTGTTAGTTTATAGTCTTGTAAATAAGATATTATGTGTTAAATATTTTAATGACTAAGTAGCCTGTAGCTCTCCTATGGTTACTGCCGGTCCCAAACCCGGGTAAAGGAGGAGGGTTGGGCGTTAAGTCAGTATCCCCATCCCGTAGAAAACAACCTTGCTAAAAAATATGCTAACTACTAAGCAAACGTAAGGAGTACGTACTGAGAGGAAATAATATTTAGATACGATCAATTGGTGTGATACTTTATGAATTCAATCAATCAATTGTACACTTACAGAGTTCACCTGTGGACTACCTGCCCATTCACCCCATTTTAATCCAATCACAGTTTCTAACGGTGTGTTGTCCAGTTTAACTGATGAGTATTGCTTTCCACTCACAGAAAACGTTGCCGCTTGTAATGAATTCTTATCGTCATCATTGATATATTTACAGTTAAATAATGCGGGTGTAGAAGAACGTCTATCTCCAACGTCCTCTTGACTCGTCATCATATACATTGTACCAGTGGATTTACTTTTAAATTTTGACGTCATATTCAGTCTGGCTTCATTAGAAATCGGCAATTTACTGAAACAAAGTTTCAAAATAATACAAAACAAATGAAACGAGATTATTAGTAGGACACATAAATGGGCAAATTATCGGATAAAATGGAATTACGCTTGTTAACTCGAAGAACATATTGTCCCGAGAGTCAAAGTCAGCCATCAAAAGAATGAATAGTATTTGATAAAAATCGGAAAGGTGAGACCAGTAAACAATTGGCTGGAGAACATTGGTAGGCACCCTATGGCTCATGAGGGGTAAAATGTGTGAGCAGTAGCAATTAGTACTTTTAATAACACACCGGATGTAGTCAGGAAATATTTTAAATTTGTCAACCAGGAAGCTGAGTAAACTGTGCAATGGTTCGCTCCATACTGCTTTACAGTTGTGAGGTAAAAGACGCATATTTGTTGCAAGTATTCTTTCATAGCTGTCTATGAAGGCAATGGTCATAAACGGTAGAACCAATGAATGAGCGATCCTGAAGTTATACTTGGTAAAAAACAAAAAATCAATAGATGAGGCTATAGACGGCCATAAACTTAGGTTGGTTAGTAAAGATGTTACACTTCCCTAACCAACACGTACTACAACGGTCAGTGCTGACTGTATTCGTCATAGGTTGGAAAAACCTACAGATAGGCTAGTTAAGACAAAGCGCCAATCCAACTTCTGTTCTAAGTCATGAAGGTGGGTGGGGACTTCTTAGTTCAGACCCAGGCAACATTGGTAATTAATAGTTGGGAAAGTTCGCTGATCTAATGCGAAATCAATTGGTTATCGATTATTATCAAAGCAACTTGACTCGATTTTGGAAACAATGAATTTATTTTAATGGTTACTTGAAAAATATACAACTAAACTCTATTCGTTACACAGATGTTAAATAAGAAATTCAATACGATTTGGTTAACAATGGTTGTCATCATACAAACATTCAATTTCTAATCTTTGAAGTCATTGTAGCCAATAGTTAACAAATAAATAATGGGTAATATAAATTTTCTGATAATTAGGAAAAATCAGATGTTAACCATATGGGTTGTGTCATAATTTTTTCCGTCAAAGCTACAGTTTATATTAGATGAAAAACATGGCAAATTTTTATATAACTAATATGGTATTTTCTATCACTGAAAGAATGTTACGCAGATAGGCAATTCTTTCTCTATGTAACACATCTACACCGCTACCAGTAGCTCGTACTTCCATAAGAGCTGCGTCCAGACTGTAACCGATAGTAAATTTTAAAGAGGAATGATTAAGTTGAAAAATCCTGTCTCTCTAACTCAAACACTGGATTAGAACAATGGAGAAACATGGTCGGATGCTTTCATTCATCCTAAGTTGCTTGTATATAAAGCTTTTAGGATGCTAATAAAATAATTAGGCAGATGTTTCTTTAACAGACAATCAAAGAATACAGTTCAGTTAAACGTACTAAAAACGCCCCCCTGATACCAAAAGGCACAAAGATTGTCGACTCGTAATCATCTTTAGAAAATTAGATGAGACTAAGTCAGTCAGTCAGCTACAACGTAGGACCAGGCACATATATGCATCGGTCAAAGTTGCCATACCTCAATAACACAACAAGATGAACACCGGATTCATTAAAGTAGTTAATTTAGGGGTGGTAATATATAAAAGAAAGATTACATATAAGGATATAGTACAGGAAGAAAGAATTAGTTCATAGAAAGGAAGATATGAAGCGATTTTGATCTATTAGTTTAAGGGAAGACAAAAAGTGTATACACCGACGTCATTGTGATCGGTTCTGAGCCATGTCACCAAGAGTCTCCAACCATTGGTTACGATATTCACGTGGACCCCAACCAAGTAGTCTGCATCTCCCAGGTGAGACTAAAGTAAATCTGTGTTCAAAAAATTTAGTGTATAATGTTTCTAATCTCAACGACTAGTATTCACTTCTGACTGACCAATTCTAACTAGCATGAAAAGTAGATTCAGAGAATGCTTAAGAATATCAGGAGCCATCTAACATTAGAACATGGTATTTATGATAAAATATTAGATTAAGAATAACACAGCAGTTTGACAAACCTAAGTTACTATCATAGACACTCAATATGCATACTTAATGTGTTTGATTTCTCTTTTTTTTGACTTACCGACATGGATGAGGATGTTTGTGAAATAATTGTTTCGGTGTTTGACCATAATTATTAATCATACCTTCAATTGCTTGTGCTAAAATAGGATCGTCTATTGTATCCACATTGATTGAGCCAAAATATGTCTAGTAAGTATTGATTAAGAAAACAAAATAATATTCTTTTTTTATCGAAAATTATTAATATACTACTAGAATAAAGTAGATAACAACCATTAATTTCATACACATAGTTCTTTTTATAATTTTGAAAAGATCAAGAACAAACATTCTAGTAGAATAGCATGAATTCATTTTTTTTATTTCGTCCGATTCTCGTCAGTTGCTCACAATCTGGGATATTTAAGAATCATAATTACATAATGGGTTTGATTGGAAGTTATATTGAAGACACTTTAGTAGAGTATAGCAAGGGTGTAAATACAACATTGATTGTGACAACAGTTCAAACGGTCAGAAACAAGTCAATAACTAATGTATCAGAAGAGGTTTTGTGGAGATCGTAGTAATTTCAATAGTTCAAATCATGAGTCAATTGAAGTTAGACAACCACGGAAAACCTGGAAGCACTGGATGACCGTTACGACCTACTATAGGACTCCTCAGCAGTGAGCATCCACGATACCGCACCCCGTGAGGTTCGAAACAAGGAACTATCAGTCTCATGCGCGAGCACTTAACTACTAGGTCACTTAGTCGGACGGCATTCAACAGTGTTAATGTCTAACTTCAATTAATCCACGAAATTCAGCGACACATCCACCATTGTCTTCAGTTGGTTACTATCTCACAAGTGACCCGGTTGAACTCCACTGGTCACTGCTTCTCACTGTAATTCCAGGAAATACCTCTTGAAGTCAGTCACTAGTGAGCATATGTTGATTGTTATCAGAAGGGGTGAGATCGTGGATGCGCACTGCTGTGGAGTCTCACAATAGGACGAAACGTCCTTCCAGTGTTTCCCGGTCTTCCATGATGGTCTAGCTTCAATTGACTCATGATCTCAACTATTGAGATTACATAATGAGTAAACATTAATAGAAATAAAATGAGTAGAGCACAGTAGATAAAATAAGATTACAAATTTGGAAGATACTTGAAATATAACTCCATGATGTAATGGATAAAAGAAGTAGTTTAAAAAATATATAAAAAAATTTGAGATTCAGCGAAGGAATATTTATCACCAAGGTAAGGAAAGATTAATAAACATGGTTATTTCAAAACAATGCTTAACTTCCTAAGTCACTGGTAATTATAGATGATAGTGATTTGTAATTTAGAAAGATGATATTCATTATTTTGCGTTGTTTATTCTCATGAAATCATTGACGGTTGAACTGATATATGTAGGTGAATGCAAAATAATCTCAATCAATAGTTAGGAAAGTCGGGTGATATGATTCATAATTGATCTAAATGTCATAGATGTAGTCAGTCTTTGCCTTTTCGTTCAGGTGTTGATTTTCAAAATTATCCTAAACTTTGTTATTCGATGAATTTGTTCTTACTTCTTGGATTATATTGTTTATGTGTAATCTTTTCTTGTACTACTAATGCTAATATTATTGCTACTATAATGTATGCTACTTATATCGACAGACATAAGTAGTATGGAGTACCAGTAGGAAGTAGAAAACCTGGTATCAGAAGGCGAAGAAGATCGAGATGAGGAGAATAGAAGGAAAAATAGAAAGCAATTATGAACTGGGAGAACTGTACAGTGTGTGAAGGACAAATGATGGAAACTTGCAAATGAAGTATTCTGTGTATGGTTCTCATATTTTAGCAAGAGATTAGTTTTAAAAATAAATTGGTGGTCACTTTCTTGAATGTTCATTTACTACACTACTAGCCTGACATTATTTTTGATAATTTCACCCCAATGTGACGATATGGTCTGGCGAAGTGAACCGACGTACATTCGCGTCAGGTTCTACCTTGCTTGAGACTGAAGTGAACGGTTTTTATTTATAAAGGTCTTACTATCTTTCTAGAAAACAATATCATCAGTAGTGATATGAATTCAAAGCAAGATTCTTTACTTTTATCATATTAATGTGACTTCTGAGCAATGAGAAACGTCTGGAATGAGAGCAGATAAGAGTGTCATCCTTTTACGAGATCGGCTCACTTACACTTGACTTCTTAATTCCAGTTCCTTTTACTAGTCTGAAAAGTTATCTTGTGTTACCTACAGCCACTGCCTTTTCAATCTCTTTTGCTTTCGTTGCCCACCACTGCTCACAGTCGTTCCTCAGACTTTTACTTAACCTAGATCTGATTTGTTTTTGTTCTTCATCGTGTTCAGAGCCTGATGGGACGAGTTTACGAGAATCCTTCAGTGCAATAGACTTAGAAGAAATCCATTAGTTTTTTGTAATCTCTATCGAACGAGTGGTATACTGTAGTAAGCCCATTCAATTATTGTATTATTTATCTGCTCACTGTAATTTAGACACTTGATCCACCATGTAATTTTCTGTGTGAGTCTGATTGAGCACATGTCAATTTCTAATTTATTCTCCCATTGGTTGTAATACAAACAGATAATCAATAATTTATCCATACTTGATTTACACTCATAAATATATATGGATTTTTAACACTTACACACATACACATACTCTTGGTTTCACAGTGTGCTTGCTTCCTGTATGTTTGCGGATTTTACCAATCTTTAACAATAAACTATCTCTATAACTGGTGTTCAGGCTTTTGAATAATCATCTCGAGTACATCTATAATTCTACTAGGAGATTTAGCCTGCATTAAATGTTCAGTTAACGAGATACTATTTGTTGGAGTCATATATAGAGGATACTAGACTCTACAATACCATGAATTTCTTTCCATTAATTGCAAATATACCAAAGAAACTATCGCTAAGAAACATATCAAAGTGTTAACTATCAGTAATAAACAAAGTATCTGATAAATAATGAAACGAAGAAAAGCATTTTAAATAATGACTAGTAGTAGACTAATTTGATACACATCGTTTGAATGTGGACAAAACGTATATTGTGGATTACAGTGTTATTTACTTGTTTACAATTAAATCAACTTGTATCATATAACCAATAGAATTAAAGGATCCATATATTCAAGAAGGTCATGGTATACCAACAACAGTTAATCGCATATCAGTTGTTGAATATTAATAATCAATAATAATAAACAATATATCAAAAAAATCTTACATATGGATGATATAGATTCAAAGAATCTTTAGCATTTTGTCCAGATTGTTTATAACCAAATAATAAATCAATCCAATATGATAAATTCATTGATACATAATCACTTTCTAATGCAGCACGACAAATTAATGTGAATAAACGTGGATCATTTTTACACCAACTGTAAATGAGAGAAAAGATAAATAATCAATCATCAATACAGTACCTAACATGTATATGTAACGGATTACGTTTGTTACGTAACATAAGGATAATACGATGAAATTATCAAGATAAATATCCAAAATACCTCGAAAAGCCAATCACTAGTGAGCATATGTTGATTAATATCAGATGGGTTTTGTGGATATTATAGTAACTTCAATGGTTAAGATCATGAAACAGTTGAAGCTAGACCACCATGAAAAACCTGGAAGCATTGGACGGCCGTTTCGTCCTATTGTGGGACTCCTGAGCAGTGCGCAACCACGACCTCGCCCCCTGCGAGATTCGAACAATTTCGTGGATTAGTTGAAGTTAGACATTAACACCGTTGGATGCCGGCCTGCTCAGTGATCTAGTGGTTAAGTGCTCGCGCGCAAAACCAGTAGGTTCTGGGTTCGAATCTCGCAAGGGGCGAGGTCGTGGATGAGCACTGCTGAGGAGAAGAAAAGTTATAAAATAATTTTGAAACCCAGGATCTAAGAGAAGATAAACAGTGAATGCGTCACCTAATAACATCTAACATTTTTTAAATATATATATTACTACCATTGAATTAACTACTTCTATGAATCCGGTGTTCATCTTGTTGTGTTAATGAGATATGGCATCTTGGAGCGATGCACATAGGTGCCTGGTTCTACGTTGTAGCTGACTGATTGACACCTAAACATTTAATCAAGACAATCTAAATCAGGTGGTCTTAATCTACAGCTTACGGATCTCTGCTATTCTTAAAGGTCGTGTTTTATAACCATAAATTGATATAGAGCAATATTTCGTAGATAAAAGAGAAATCAACAATCGTATACAGGGATATGAACTGTAATTATTGAGTATATGCGGTTTCTACCAATACCAGGTACCTGGTCAAATATTGAAAGAGGTACATCGATGTTTCAACCTATAACCCTGTAGGTGTCTAAATCAATCAGTCCAAGTTCAAAGTTATTTAAAGTGACAACTGACGAAGTTACTACCCTAGATACATGTTAATTACTAAGAAAAATCATATAAATAATAAGATCACATTAGTTGGAAAATAACTAACAACCAAGAAGAACTATACAGCTGTTACCTTTTAGTTAGAAGCTTTTCAGAATTAAGCCAACACAACCTTGATCAGGTATCGAATCTAAGAGTCTCTGGTGCAATAACTCTGTTTCACACATTCTATATTGTTGAATTCCATTTCTAAATGACCTCATACATGTTCATTCAAATATATATACATAGAGGTATTACTGATAATCATTGTTACTCCAATTCTTTCTTTTACAAATATCTATAACATCATATGATATTATATCTTCTCAATGTTACGCTTGAATATGAAGCCATGAAATAGAATGAATTTATAATATTCCACCTAAATCGTTATTACAGCTTTATTGAAAATTCATAAAGGATACTTTAGTAAACTTTTCACTGATTCCGTAATAACATCTCAAATTAGGCATTGAATGAGTCTTAGTTGAATTTCTATAAGATCTATTAGTTTCAATAAGAGCTGAATATCAACGGCATTGAAACAATGTTCACCTTTCTTAGTATAGACAATCAAATATAACACTTAGATAATAAATGTTTAAGTATATTTACTATAAAAGTACTAAGACGAAAAATAAAATAGTTCAATACAACTGATATGGAGCTAATCAGTGTCAGGTAGAGACTGGTATCTACCTCAGTACAATGGAAGATGATTGCTTAATTCCGTGGATTAATTGAAATTAGACATTAACACTGTCGGATGTCAGCTCATTAGTCGCACACAAGACTGAAGGCAGTTGGTTCGAACTCCACAAGGGAGATCGTGAATGCACACTGTTGAAGAGTCTCACAATAGGACGAAACGGCCATTCAGTGCTTCCAGGTTTTAAATGGTGTTCTAACATCAGTCTGTTCATGATCTCAATCATAAACTGATATGATTAGTGAGAAAAAGGGAGAAAATAAAGAAAGAAGTCATAACTTACGGTGGTAACTCAACATTATCTACACTATCACCTGGTTGTCGACAGCCTAATTTCAATCCACTTCGATTAATAAACATTTCTGGTTGAAAATAAAATTCTGGTACTAATTCTTTAACACATGAAACAGAAGTAGTAGCTAAACGCCATGTTGTTGCAATTGAATGAAATAAACGATCGGGTACATCGAAATTATTATCTAGAAAATGAAAATACACAGATAAACAATAATATTATTCTGTTTACATATTCATGATTAGAAAAACAAAGCATCAACAGTAAGAATAAATAATCAATAGTCCGTTCCGAAATTATGTTCCATACTAGTTAGTAAGTTATTAGTCAGTTAGTCAGCAACAACGTAGAACTTCATACGTACGTATATCAGTTCGAGTTGCCATACCACATTATCACACAGATATAATGGTCGATTCAAATCCTATAGTGATAGAGATAGTAAGAGTATAAGCAGTAATCGGAAGCATTAGGGTTCGAAGATGTTATTCAAGGAGTATAATTCAGTGAATTAAATTTGAAAAGAGAAAAAAGAAAGCGACATGAATTCAGAAGATTAGAATTTGGGAGAACACAAGCAGCGGATGCACCTGCACCATTGCAAACGATTTTGAACCATGTCATTCAATGTCTCTAACCATCGGTTTCTATCGTCTCGCTGATCCCAACCATGTAATCTACACCTACCAACATGACTCAGTCCACTTGTCAGTGACTTCATGAATTTGTGCCATGTTTTGGTCTGGTAGTAAGTTATTAACAAGTCATAGTAAAATGGTAGTGAACGAAATATAAAGTCATTTATTTTAATGAGTACGTTAAAACTAGATCGATAAAATTGGAACACTAAGAACCAGAAAAATATGATATTGGTTACAATGCAGTCAACCAATTAGTAAACATACAAATCGAAAGATATCAGTTAACACTTTGGCGAGACTATAATTTATGGACGACCCAATCAGACTTAGGACAATAGGTCTTGGAATTTTAGATGATCTCAATTCGTCATGAAAAACCATAAATCTAACTCTTAACCCTGACTGTCAACTATAAATAATAATCCTTATCCTTCAAACTGCTATACAACCCTCATTCAGCCTTAGTAAGTAGGTAGACACTTTCAAGGTCACTCTGGCGTCGCTCAAAGGTCATCCATAAATTATAGTTTCACAAACATTTTCTAGCTTATTGTAAGAGTAGAAAATGAATTAACGATATAGTGGATTCCAATTATGAATTCAGTTATTTGGCAGATTGCATTTTGTTATGTCCTTATGGTCCTGTCAATGGATTACATGACTAAGTCGCCAATCAGAATACCGACTTCTACGACCTTCACACTGTGTTAAACCAATGACACGTTAATCAGTACGAGCAGCTTAGAGTCAAATCTGAGTCCTTATTTGTTTTTCTCACCTAACCATGTCCGTTTGAGTTCAGAACACATTCTCAGCTTCCGCTGTATGAATCATGTATTTCAAACACACGTAATTTGTATACAAGCAAATCAGACCGCATCACACCATAAGATAAAAAATGACAGGTAGGTAAGATAAAGTCGAAAGTAGCTGTGAGTATGGCATACCGTAACTAATAACGGAAGCTTATAATCAAAGGAATATGGATATATGTACAGTATAGTCACTTAGTCAGTTACAACGTAGGATCAGGCATTTTCGAGTTAGCTCCGTACTTGTTGAGACCTTACCGCCGCAAACGGATATCCGTGGGATAAGGCGAGTTGTGCAATTTTAGAGTCGACCTTTTCTGATTCCACCCTTCTATGTGGGAAGGAACATCGCTGTTATGCTGGTTGTCTGAAGGAAACACCTTACTGTCGTCACACCTCTGTTCCATCAGCAGTACGACTTCGCCCTCAGACCTTGGGTTTGCTGCTTCTAGTCTTACTGCTCTTCGACCGACCTGTCTTGCATGGTAAGACCTTGAGGAACGATTGTTCCAGCCAGCATAGCTCGATTGGTTCATTTCGATAGGCAAGCGCAACCGCCACGTCAAGGTACCAACAACTGTCGGGTAGTTACTCAATAGTTATACAATAAGAATACATATATAATAACAGTCTATAAATAGATCCTAGCGGTTACTATTAACATATTCTTCGTCCGGATATAACACATTTGGTTACTGATATGTCGGTATCATTATCAGTCAGGTAAGTAATGTAACGCAGAGTGCCTTCTTAATTCATGAATTTAAAAAAAGAATAAGCAGAGAATATAGGTTGTCTTAGAAAGTTATTTATGTACATTTTCCAACTATCAGTAGTGCTGTTAAACCGGTCACTAAGCGACAATTAGCACAGGTTTGTGATTTTAATCTGAAGAAGTTACGTAATTAATCGCATAGCAATAACCTATGCTATCTGGCTCATTAGTCATGATCGAATTCAATCGATCAAATAGCAATTTAACCAATAATCTAATTGATTTAACGTCGTGTACGATTTTGAGATGCTAAGTAAATATAGACGTCATCTGTAAACTAATCAAGCCATAATTGATCTCCTGTAGAACTAAGATATTTTAATTGATTCATTACTGAGTACTAACCAATTTTATGTTAGTTTACTGTTAAGTACTGATTAGATTCTATCAATCAAGTTGGAATCATACTCTCTTAGATTTCCAAAATCCAAAATTAAGATGTACTATATAACATAAAGTGATAGAAGGGAAAAATAGTAAAACGTCCATTAGTTTTATGACAGTTAGAACTTGTCAGCAAGAAATAAATTCGATTTAGGAAGAATTGATGTTCATAATCACAGAATGAATGGAAATTTATATCAAACATTAATCCATTTTACTCTGTTAGTAATTCACTCTACGACTCTACTTCACTGATTTCGACCTATTGATTTGCCAAGAAATTAAAGATATATTGGTTGACGTTGGTGCACTGGATGAATTTAGACTTTCGCCCCCCCCCCATCGGATCTTGGCTTAGAAGTCAAGTCTTTACGCGAGAGATTGAAGGCCATGAGTCCGAGTTCCCGATGCAAAGTTGTGGATGTGCATTGTTGAGGGAGGAATACAGTTTCCTTAGGTTTTTAACACTTGTCTACTCTAGATCGGTTCGCGATCTCAGCTTTTAAGGACGCTTAAAACACATGTGGCCATAGTGAGGCGATTACTGTTTCTTAATCATTGACAAATCTAAGCTACGTGTGAACATTCAAATAAAAGACAAGGGTAAAAATCCAAACTGTTAAGGGAAATAAGATAAAAATGCCCTTGTATAGTTCACCTTGAAAACGTAAATGACGAAAAGTGTATGGGGGTAAACGAACAAGAAAATGTAACACAATTGCTTCATTTGAACAATGCGCTGGATAATGATATGGTGGACAAACACTACTTAAATTCGATAAAGTAGACGTTTTTGATTTTATTCCCGATGCTTCTGGATGTGATGTAGATGATGTTTTGGATAGTAATTCAGCTTCATTGAATCGTGCTGCTACAGCTTCAGCTCTATCGTCTTCTTGTACAGCTATTGGACGATCTAATCGTCGGAATGAAGTTGGTTGGGTTAAGTCTAACACAAGACTTTCATAATCCTTTAACAAAAAAAAGAAGACCAGTACATAAGTCGACAGAATTCCTTAACCAGTTAACGAATATTTTAGTTGGTCAATAACTAAGGAGTATGATTTATATATACAAAATTAATAAAGTAAATAATATAGAGTTTCAAGCATACACTGAAGGGAAACAATATGCATCACAGTTTATTGAGGAAGAAGAATAGGAAAGCAAACTTAACAAATTATTAAATTAACAAGCATAGTAAACATCACGAACTGGCTTTAGTCAAACAACCAATGAAAGCTTAGAAGAACTGAAGAACTGTCACGTTCCAGTACGCGGCTCTACAGCAGTGGGGATTTACGATTTCAATAAGGTTTAAACTCATGATATTTAAGTCTCTTAGCAAGTGCCTAGAATTTAGGTTTGGATTTCTAAATCAAATCAATCCCCAACCATTTTCTAACGCCAGGTTAATGTTTTTTGTTCAATTCTTCCTGATTATCGGTGCTTGCCCAACACTAAGGTTTGATGTAACTCAAACCCTTAAACTAAAAAAAAATAAATTACTACTCATTAGTGAGTGCGTCGGGAAATAGAATCAGATATGAAAAAGACGAATAACAACTGGAAGGAGCTGGAAAGAATTTCCCAGGACAGGGTTGGATGGAGAATGCTGGTGAGCGACCTATGCTCCTTCACGAGGAGTAACAGGCATAAGTAGGTAAGTAAGTAAGTGATTAACTTCATTCATTGGCTGCGAACTTACCGATAATACAGAATAAAGAACATGTTACAACGCAAATCAATAAACTACTTAGAATAAAAACAATTTTACATATTGAAATGAAGCCACTCCAAGATTGACCAACTGAAAACTGTATCATGATGCTCAACTACACATATCAATCATTTAGATTTGTACTTTTCAACATTGTCCCTTAGATGTTAATAGGAGTTATTTGCAAATTTCATTTTGTAATTTCGGGAGTCCAAACCTAGTAACCAATCAGGTACATGCATTAATGATGAGCTGTTTGTTGCTTCCATCATCTACGTAAAATAAGCCTAAAAAATGTGTTTCGTCCATGTTATTAGAAGTAGAAAGAATAATAGGAATTGGATAGGGAGGTTGATTATGAATACAGTGATGTTGAGTGTTGTTAGAAGTATGAAAACGGTTATCACTTCCCGGTTGCTCACACCGTGAAAGGGTTCTTCTGGAGGTACCTGAAAAGAAAATTGAATTAAAGGTGGTCTTAGTGACCTGAGAGAATGACCGTAGTGCCCAAGGGACAACTGATTGAGGTCGGTCAAACACGACCTTTCTGTGAGTAATTTTCGTGTTAGCGCCGCACTTATTGAAACCTTACCGCCACAAACGGATATCCGTGAGATAAGGCGAGGTATGGATTTTTAGGGCCGAACTTTTCTAACCCTACCCTTGCTTGTGGGAAGGTAGCATCACTGTTATGCTGGTTGTTATCTACGATATCGAATTACAAATATGCATTTATTAAAGTATAAGACTTGAAATGAAATTTTTGATAAAACGTACGCTTTAAAAATAGTCCATACTTGTCCACTAAATGAATAAATATGTGTAGAAAAGTTCAAGTACGATATACTTAGTGAATATGGCAACATTACAGATAACCACATCTCAAGCATATACAGTTAAATACAGAAGTTAGGTGCTGTTCCATTCTCTGAGCCGAATAGTTTGATTGTGAAGCTTTCATTGTTCTTCTGGACGACATCATCAACACACACTATCTGAAGCTTTACGACCAAATCATCCAGCTCAGCAAACGAAACTCTACCTTAATCATCCATTTGAGTTACAAATCTTCTCCACCATCTCAAAATACAGAATTTAAAGTAAAAGTAAACAGAGAGGAGAACATTTTAATAAAGTATTCAACAACAACAAAATAGGCATACACGTATAATCCATGGAAATATAGGATATTGCATTAAATCATTATAACTTCGACCAGCAGTTGTGTTTAATTTCATTAAATAATCAAAATTTGATAATTCACCATTTAACCATGCTTGTTGTACATTTTGTAATTTACATTTTTTTAATTGTTTAAAAGTAGAATGATGATAGTGATGATGGTGACCATTCGATGAAAGAGGATTAGATATTTCAGATTGTTCATTTGTATTCACTAATAATCGATTATGATAATGATGAATACAATAACATGAATGATGACCAATTAAAGGAGTGATAGTTTCGATAAAATTATCCCTGTCCTATGATTTAAACAAAATAAATATAAGAAAAAAAAATTATTATTATATAATAAAATATGTAGTTTGCAAAAACGAAGATAAACTATAGATTTTGACGGAGTTTTGTTCTTTGAGCTGGATGGTTTGATCGTGGAGCTTTCATCGTTCTTCTAAACAACATCATCAGCATAAACGTTAGGTAGAAGTGAAATGTTCGAATTTATTCACAGACGACTAACAGCTTATCCTGTCGACCTCGATGTTGATTGGTTATTGTTGACATTTAACCTGTGATTGTTTAATTCTTTATTTTGATTATATCTCCCGTTGATTTGATTCTTGGTTCTAGATTTATCCATGATTTCTTGGAATTGATTGATTAATTGAATTGACTTCGATGTGTTTGTTGATTGTTGACTGACCTGAGTCCCAAGTACCTGAAAAATACTTTGGTGTTTTTGGTATCCCCTCTGTCCAAGATTTCAATATTTTCCCAGTCGAATATGTGTCCACAGTTGTCCACATGGATTAATATGACGGAGGATATGCCATGGAGTTTGACCGCTAATTGATATTCGTGATGGTGAAGATGAAGAGGGCGTCCACTTTGCCCGATGTGGCATTTTTCGCAGTTGTAAGAATTTATTTTGTAGATGATGTTCAGTTTTTCTTCATTTGTCATTTCGTCCTTTGGTTTGTATAGGATGCATCCAGCTCAAAAAATATAACTCCACTAAAATCACCCACCTGAGCTACAAATCTTCTCCACCATTACAAAACATAGAAATTAGAGTGAGTAATATTCATCTTGGCAAATTAACTCAATAAGTATTGGAACTAATTGTACTGATAACTATACTACTGATTAAAGAAAGTAGTATAGTAATTCAGATGATATATATATATATATATATTAAACAGAGCATTGTTCGAACGTTCCATGTACCTATAAAAATTTTTGCTCTGGTTGTTAGAATGGGCATCGGCCTCGTGGCTTCCGAAGGAGCTCGGCTTTCACCATGAAGCGTCATAATTCTTCTAAATGAAGACCTTCTAACTCCCAGGGCAGAGTTAAAATGGTTTGGATTATTTTTTCTGGTAAGCGTTTTTTTAGCGAGTTAGTTTTCTACGGGATAATAGAAGCAGATATGAAAACGATGAATTACAACTGGATGGAGCTAGAAAGGATTGCCCAGGACAGGGTTGGATGGAGAATGCTGGTGAGCGGCCTATGCTCCTTCACGAGGAGTAACAGGCGTAAGTAAGTAAGTAAGTAAGTATATTAAACAGATCATAGAACAAGTTAGTATAATATCTGAGGAGCAAAATCAACAGTAAGTAATATCCTAGATTACACTGTAAAGTTCATGATTTCATGTTGATATTAATTGATGGGATGAGTGAAAAGTTGAGAAAAGTGATATCATCCATTTGGATGGTACATATAATATTTAGGTTGCTCATATAATGAATAGGTACAAAACTAAAGCAATATGTGCATTCGCATCGATGATACATTCATTATCGTCGATCAGTGTATTGGAAAAAGAGAACTATAGGAGAATTTTATTAGTGCAAATTCGGAAAAATGAAATCATTTGTGAAGAGGAGGAGCTTTAAAAACGACAAATTACAGTTCGTCGACAGTTTCATCAGGCAGATAAGATAATCTATTCAGTAGAAATGTGTCTATAGAATGTTTATCTGCATGTATATAAACACTATCCTCAGTTTCATGGCCATTTATTGCAAAATAAACTTAATCAAATGTTTAACAGGCAAATTAGAAAAGATATGGTCAGATAACAGGACAAACACACGAGGAAAAAACACACGTTTTTTGCTAAAAGAGTTCCAAAACATCCATCATTAGAGTCTATATAAGCTCAAAAACGTTAGAAAACATTTTATCCAATACTCGTTGAATAGAAGTCTTGCAGAGAAAAGTCTAGACAATACAGAACCATGTCTTACGGTTTGACTGAGTATTTACCTATACTGTTAATATATTTATTATTGTATTGGAAATTTCTAGGAGCCAAAGTCCATGTGTAACTCTATAGATACCATTGCTTTTTTCCCATACACAAAATGATCTTGGAGTAAAACGTTTACTCTCGGTTCACGCCTTCTCTTTTTTATTCAAGTTGGCGTTATCAGAACCGGCTAGGAATACTGTTTAGATGTATCGATAGTAAAGTTTATCGCTTGTCTAAAAAAATTCACGATTTTGACTAATATAGAAATTAGTCAAGATTACGTTTTTAAAGGAACTCGGCTTTTCTCATCATCATCACTGATGAACAAGGAGGATCAGATGCGGACGTAAAGGTGAGGATTGGCAAATCAAGGACAGCATTCCTATAATTGAAGAACATATGGAAATCAAAACAACTTTCAACCGATATCAAAGTTACAATCTTCAATACGAGCGTCAAGACAGTTCTATTATACAGATCTAAAACTTCGAGAACTATCACAATCATCATCAAAAGAGTACAAATATTTATAAATAACTGTCTACACAAGATACTCAATATCCATTGTTGATGGGATACCATCAGCAATAACCTACTGTGAGAGAGAAAAACCACCTTCAAGCTGAGGAGGAAATTAGGTAAAGGCGATGGAAATAGAAAGGACATATATTACGCAAATCATCGAACTGCATCACGAGGCAAGCCCTGACTTGGAATCCTGAAGGGAATCAGAAAAGTGGAAAGCCAGAGAAAACATTACGTCAGGAAATAGAATCAGATATGAAAAGGATGAATTACAACTGGAAAGAGTTGGAAAGGATTGCCCAGGACAGGGTTGGATAGAGAATGCTGGTGAGCGGCCTATGGTCCTTCACGAGGAGTAAGAGGCGTAAGTTATTACCGTTTTTAAAGCAGAACCTGACAACCCAGAACAAAAGACACTAGTTGATATATTCATAAATATATCTATCTGACACAAATACTAATGTCGTCGAGTGAAGTAATAATAATAATGTTGATAATAATAGAAACTATGTGACTCACATATCTAGTAGAGTCTTATGTACTTATTATTTAGAAACTTTTATTAGTAATGATAAGTAGAAGTTCAAAGACGAGAAAGAAATGTGATGTTCGCATAGACAACTTGTTCAGATGAAAGCTGATTTATTTAATTTAATTAGCTTACTTTAGAAGAATACATAGCAAAAAGCATTGGTGCATTCACATCTGTTTCATCGGGAAATATTTCTACTGCAATATCACGTAATGAATATCGACGTGCTTCAATATGATGAATTGATTTGAAAGACCATGCAAACCATAATCGATTAGAAGGACTTTGATAAGGATACAATGATTCCTAAATAGGAAAACAAAATGTGATTTGATTGGTAGATTTGTATTAATACAATAATACATAATCTTTTGGCTCGGAAGAAAAATGCCACAAAAACAGGAAAATAAGATATGTACATAAATATTGTCTTATAAGTATGCTGGGATACTACAACAAAACTTTCTGTAACTTGAACTCTGAACTATGTCTTATGACAATCTCATAGTCACGGAGTTGTATGGCTTTTAAAACTTCAACCAACGAGTCATGATAATCCAACAGATGTCAGGATTACGGATCTATCTTTTATGCTAGACTCTATATTTCGAAAATGAGAAGCTTTCTGATTTTTTCTTTCAATACCAGCCTCAGCTAATCATATACTTTACGGAATCCATCAGTATACAAATAGATGTAGAAAGGTGTGAATATATATTTATAACCGTCGTTGTGATAGATCCATTTTTTAAAGTAATAAAATCAGTCCATAGAACGTAATGATAAAAAGATATAAACAAAAAACCTCAAACGGATAGATTTAAGAGGATGTTGGACATTGCAAAATCATATTCCATATCCCTCATCTAAGGTGATATATGGTGTTTGTTATTTATATCAACAGACATAAGTAGTATGTAACACTAATCGGAAGTGGAACTCCTAACAGCAGAAGGTTCAGAAGATCAAATCGAAGAGAATTGGAACAGATAATAATTGTAATAGCAGTGAAGGAACAATGAAAATTGAGACAATTGATGGAGGATTTGCAAATGAAGTATGTGTTGAGTCGGCTTTCCAAGAACTGCAACGGAGACTCCAGAGGCCCTAAAGGAGCCATAGAGTCCTAGCCAATCAGAGCATAACGGAGCTTTCTAGAATATCAACGTGGTGTGCATAATATTCCTTTTAGCGGATTGGCCAAAATATGGTGATTTAACAAATGTTAACATCTATAAATACCCGTGTTTTTCTGTACAAAAATGAAACTTTGGAGTAAAGTGATTTCGCTTATTTTGCTCCTTTTCTCTCGAGTTCAGGTCGCTGCGTAGTTCTAGCTTGCAGGTTACCAGAATAGCTTAGGAACCGAATAAAGCGTTCAAATTAACAAGACTTATTAGTATGGTTTTCATTTTTACGAAAGAACTCTGTAATTTTATATTAAACAATGAATTGATCGTCTCCACCTAAGTAATTGTTTACTATAGATAAACGACATTCATGATAAGATCTAATTTGACCGTAAAATGTCCAGTAGGACTATTTTCCAAATAAAACATAAAATGACATGAAGCCAAAAGAGATTTTGTGTTAAGAATTGATTAAGAAAAATCAATATAATGCGCTAAGTAAACGAAACTGAATTACCTCGAGACTAAATACAAAACAAGGTGTTGAACTCAGTAAAGTTCACTAATAAAATGATATGAGAATATGCTTTATAGTATGTAATTTAAAGTTTTTTTATTTCTAATGCAAACTTATTCATTCCTTAGAACAAGAATTGTAATTCATGTCATTAATGTATGAAAGTAAATGATAGGGGGAATTGAAGGATTTCAAAAAGTCATGATCAAGTGAGTGAAAGTAGTGTGACTAAATGAGTGAAAAGCAATCTCTCATTTACTCGTCTATGTTAATAGTAGCTTTGACATGACTAAAAAAATTAAGTTGCAGGTATGTACATTATGCTGACAAGTGCCAACTAGCACAAAACCTAAGTCAAACGGATCATTCTGGTGACAACTTCCAAACATTTAATATTTGACTAGAGCAGTAAAGAGAACGTTTAATGCTGCCAACCTCTGCCTATCGTATTCGACTCGATCGATGGTGATTCCCCAATTGAAGGATAAGTTACCTGTTTATACCACTTCTATGTGTATCTGCGAATCCAGCTGCTCGTGTGGAGAAAGCTATATTGGGCGCACCACCAGGCAACTGAACCAACGAGTTAGTGAACACCTCCCTTCGTGGTTAGTAAAGGGTTACGTCAAAACAATACGCAGCTCGGTTCTATCACACTTGATCGATAGCGGTCATATAGTGAACAGAAACAAGTCGTTCAAAGTTATTTATCGTATTCCCACTAGTTTTCCTTATGGTGTTCGATCTCGTCTCTTACACATAGCAGAAGCTATAGGAATCCGAGCCAACAAGCCAAGTCTTTGTGTTCAGAAGAAATTTGTAACACCCTTATCTCTCCCTTGGCCTTAAGTAATAAATGAATTTATTTATTTATTCCTTTTCTAACCTTCTCTTCGTTTATTATTTTTCTTCACCCCTTCCTACTACTTTATTTTCTCTCAACTATACGTTTCATGGTCCAATTATCTGAACATTTCTTATTACGTCATCTTATAATTTTATAATTTTTATCTCAGTTTCTATATTTTCTCCTAGTCATTGACCTATTTTCAATTATGTAACATGGATTTGAACCTTTATTATTATTGCTTATCAAAAACTAATGCACCTCATGTCACACCATCAATTTGTACTTTTCACATTTTACTTATTATGTAATCTTTTCCATTGTTATCATTGACTTATAAACTACCTTGATTGGTTTATTAATTTCGTATATGCATATAAATATTACTGTATATTAGAGTAAAGCCTGATGAGGATCTAATCGAAAACAATATTGTTCGCTTATATCTATGTTATTCTAAATTTACAATATGGGAATATTTCAAATTTAATATTTCAACATATTGTATACTATGTTAAATTACAATTCAACGTAGTAGTTACAACTTGATCAGCCAAAAGGATTGATAAACATGACATTCATTGTTACGATTACTTAACGAGCAATTAGTATGGATCGTATTTATCTAAGTATTTTATTTTATTTTACTGCATTTGGACATATGAATATTGGTACAAGAGAGCGCCAATATATATGCGCCACACAAAACAATGAGAATGCGAAGAGAAATAGAAAAAAAAACTAAGGAGCGCAAAAGAAAAAGAGAACAATGACGAAGAGATTGGTGTAAGGTAGTGTGGTAGTAACGAGGTACAATCAGAAGAAATCTTTCACTTAAGGAAGATACAACCACTTTTTACGAAGTAAAAGAAGGTTACAGCAGGATCGCCACTGGCTTCTATTCTGAGCCATATCTGATAACGTCTCTAGCCACTGTGTAGCACCATCTCTCAGACCCCAACCAGGGAGTCGTGAAGGACCAACACAAGCCAGTCCTTTGCAGCTTTCTTTCATGCCAAAACACCATGTCATACACTGACCACCTCTCCGCTTCTTCCAACCAGTCCCAGAGTCGGCAAATAATGCACGACGTGGAATTCTCTGGGACGACATCCGTAGATGTTCAAGCCACCGAAGTCGGTGTTTCAAGATGGTGACACCAATTGGATTATCGTATCTGCACTCGAATACACGATACCGAACCTCTGCATTACTAACATGGTGTTGCCACTGGATGTCAGCACTCCTCCGAAGACAACGTTGATCAAACACAGAGTCATCTAATATCCTCAACTCGGAGAGACCAGGTTTCACAAGCATAGTGCAGAACTGCTCTCACCGACGCGTTGTAGATCCCACCTTTTACAGCCAGACTAACATCACGGAGTCAAAGATGGCCCAGATTGGCATAAGCCGTTCTGGCTTTCACTATACGTGCATTGATCTCATCACTCACATCTCCACCAGCACTTATGCAGCTACCCAGATACACGAACTTCTCGACTACGTCTATCTGCTCACCATCCAGGGTGAGTACAGGATTGGAATCCTGCCAGTCTTGTAGGAGTACTTTGCACTTCGAAGGTGCAAAGCACATGCCATACCTACGGACACTGATTGCCAACTGATTGAGTGCGGATTGCATGCCTTGGGCATTATCGCACAGTAAGACAATATCGTCCGCATACTCAAGGTCGAGAAGTCCTTCTCCAGGCAACAAATCCACACCACCATTACTTACATTCATCAAAGCTGTTTCCAGAATGTCATCGATGGCAAAGTTGAAGAGGAATGGTGAGATTGGGCAACCCTGCCTAGCCCCACTGCTCGAATGGAACAATGGAGAGAGGTGGTTGTATGCCCTCACTCTGCCTGAGGTGTTTTTATATAGGGCTTTTAGGATGTTAATAAACTTCTCAGGCACACCCTTCTTCAATAGACAATCCCAGAGAATAGTCCTGTCCAACGAATCGAAGGCAGCCCTGATGTCAAAAAACACTACGATTGTTGGCCTTTGATAAGTATGACGGTGTTCTAACATTTGGCGGAGGGTGAAGATATGATCAATACATCCTCGACCAGAACGAAACCCAGCCTGCTCCTCGCGAGTCAATCTTTCTCGGGTTTTGAACAACCTACGAAGTATGACGGAAGCCAATAGCTTGGATGCAATCGGAAGTAGACTTATCCCCCGATAATTGTTACAGGAACGACGTGAACCCTTTTTAAAGATAGAGACAACTATCGACTCATTCCATGACGTTGGTACACTCTCTAGTTCCCAAACCTTTGTAAACAACGTCGTCAATTCCTTAGTCAGAAAGTCACCACCATCTTTAAAAAAAGCCGGATGTAAGTCATCTGGGCAAGGTGATTTGTAGCGCTTCGAGAGTTGGAGTTCCTTGCGGACTTCCTCCTCGTTTGGTGGGTCAGTCGTCACCGGCCATGGAGGGCAGGATAGTCTGACCGATGTTGCCGGAGCAGCAGGCCAGTTGAACTGCCCTTCGAAAAATTCTGCCCATCGTCCAAGACGTCGATGGATGTTAGTGATTGGCATCCCATCATCCTCGCAGATTGTTTCACTCACACCAGACTTCTTGCTGCCAGTGGCTCGGATGAGCTGGAAGAGCTTCCGGTAGTTACCAGATGCAGCTGCTGCTTCCAACTCATTAACACGCTCCGACCACCAGGCTTCTCGGTCCTTACGCAAGCTTTGCCCAATTTCCTCACGTAACATCCTTCGTTTATGGTCAAACTCACGGTCACCCAGAGTAGACTGACGGGCTTCAATGAGTTGTAAGAAACCAGAAGAAACCCAGTGCTTAAAAGCGGGACGTTTCGCGAAGCCGCAAGCGGCTTTACTCGCCATTTTCATGGCGTCATGAAATATCAAGCAATGCTCATCTATACTTTTCGGTGGAGTAGTAGCTAGCCTAGAGGCTAGCTCGGTTCGATACTTATTTGCAACAGAAATTGCAACCAGCTTGCTAATATAAATCATTGCTGGCGGTCACTTCGTTGTCCACTGAAAAGTAAGGCAAGATTGGCGCAGACCAAAACATGGTCAGAGCCCAGATAGGTACTCCAAAAGAAGCGGCAGTCTTGTACACAACCACGCCAGCGGTAGCTGATCGCGATGTGATCAATCCGAGCCCAGGCTTGAGATGCAGAGGGAGGACGCCAGGTGGTACATCGGCGATGACTGTGCCGAAAGTTAGTGCTAGCCAGAAACAGGTTGTGGTCTGTGCAAAGTTGCAGTAGACGGTCCCCGTTATCTGACCTGCGACCAACGAGTCCCCATCGGCCACCTAAACGACTCTCTTCTGTGCTTAGACGCCCGACCTGAGCATTAAAGTCTCCGGCTAGTACTACAATATCTGTCGAACGCACTTTCTGGAGAAGAACAGATAATTGGTGGTAAAACTCATCCTTGATTGCATCCGGGCTGCAATCTGTCGGGGCATAGGCGGAGATGACGAAAAGACATCGTTTCTCTCGCCGATTTCTTCTCACTTTGATGGAACTTTCAAATCTAACAGCACATAACCGACTGTTAATGGGGATCCAATCGACTAGTGCTGCCTCAGCTCTAGCGCTTAGTGCGACACCAACGCCTGCAAGACCAGATGAAGATGCCACAGGGTCCCCGGATAAGCGCACGTAAAACAAGGTTTTCGAAGTGACAGATGTAGAGCGAATTTGTAGTACTTCGCCAGAGTCTTGTAAACGGGTCTCGGATAGACAACAAACATCAATATTAAGACTTTCCAAAGATATAGCCAGCCCTATCTGTTGACCAACCTGCATAAGTGTGCGAACGTTGAAGGCAGCCAGTTTGAATGGCGCACGTGGTTTCAGAAAAACTGCTTCAGTACTCATATTCGATGGTAACATACAATTTTCAACCGGACAGTGACTCGAGAACGTTTAGATACAGTCGGATTTCCACCAAAGACGAGCCGCTGTATAAGTATAAAAGAGGGTGAATAATGTGGAAAATAATAATAATAATAATAATGACGATAATAGTGATAATAATAATAATAGTATTAATAATGAAAATAATTGTAATGATAATAATTTGAATCAATTGATTGTTTTTCGAAGCGAGAAAAGTAATTTCCATAGGCATAGAGAGTTCATCAATTTGTGTGTGGGCTGTGATACTGCCCGGGTGCCCAAACCGAAGCAGGTGGTTATCTTAGGGGGCCACACCCCGAGCCTTTGACCTAAAGGTCTGACCCACAAGGCAGTGGAGCATCGTAAGGAGATGCAATCCCATGGTAGTCGGTGACCAACGATTGGTTTATACGCCATTTGTTCCCGCAGGATACTGGAGCCCATGTGCACCATTGGTTTGTGATCCGGTTAAAGCGACGGACATTCACTTTTCGTCCTCTCATTTTCGTAGACAACACCCCCGCCACGAGAAGGCAGTGAGTAGGACTTCCCTGGCAGAGGCTGTATACGCGCGGCCGTGTGAGAGTATTTCGAGAGGGAGAGCGGACTCACCCCACTCTCGGCCGTACCAGGGCATTCGGGGGCTAAGTATGAAAAAACCACTACATTATACAAGCATGTCGCTACCATGACTCAGTAGCTAAGTGTAGAATGCAATGACGTTTGAAGCGAACGGTACTCGATTCGAGTCTCAGAGTAAATATGAACTCTGGGATGCAGGTAAATCCAGCTGACGAGTCCCGAATGGGACGAAACGCGCGTCAAACTGGATTCCATTGCTAACCACTATCCATCTTCGCTTAAACAGTAAAAAAAGTGTTGGTCTTTGCCAACCATTTTTAACTCACAGGAAATAACAAGACACAAAGTAATATCGATCAAATTGAAATAATAATAACAATAATCTACTTACAATCTCAATAAATTGCACATTCTTACTGTCATTATTATTACAATCATCATTCATCAATAAATTTCTATTCATTAATGGATCAGGTTGAAATCTTAACCATGTTTGACCAAGTATTAAATCACCTTCAATAGGTGGAATATGTAGAATACCAACTAAACGACATGCCCAAACAGCTTGAATATGATATCGGCTAGCTGATGCTAATTGTATTAATGGAATAGATGATAATGGTAAACATAATGGTAAATTATGCCATGTACAAGCTGCACCAATTACAGGTTGAGAATGATTCATGATTGATGGTAAACCAATTAACGAGGCAAGTGGATGTGATTGACGCGCGGATACTGTAAAATTAAGAAACAAGAAGCAATAATATTGATATAACGATACTTTTCTTTACAAATAAAACCAATATTGAAATGGCGGCTTAGAGTTGAATACTAGTTCAGTGTGGGTTATTGATAGTAAATAGTGTGTTACTTAGTATATATCACTAAGATGTAACTGAAATTTTGAAGGAAATGATGATTCTTGTAAAATTTCAACCCAAGTTATCCAGGTTCACATTGCAAGATTTTACCACTGAGGTATTCAGGTTATGCACCGGCTAAAATGGGTTTAAATACCATAAGAACGGCCAATACTAACAAAATTGTATATACAATTTGTGCTACTGTTAACACCATGAAACGCAAGCCTAGGATTTCCTGACGACTACCTCTAACCCTGTTACATCCAAATGGAGTGTACGTGATATCTAGTCACTCAGACTAGCTTATTAACTCAATTTGATCAGCACTATTGATTAGGTCTTAGTGTGGCCTATTAGTATAATGTACACACCAATGAGAGGATTATACTGAGATTCTGCAACGAGACTGATAAAATTTAATCAACACTAAATGTTCGAACAAAAATGACATTGATTACTACCATTTATTGACGAAACATTTGCAAATATCAAGTTTTACAGGATGTCAAATGAAAGCATCTCCGACTGTGGAGCTAGATGAGGCAAACCTGAATATCAATCAAATGGAGTATCAGTTCTTTCAAGATTATTAACAAATCAGGGTGAAATAATATCTAAAGAACATTAAATACAAATTAGTTTATCTGAAAGACTAGACCATTTGTGATTAAACAATTTAACTTGGTTCATACAAAAACAAATATGATGTATTATGTGGTTCCAAATAAACACGATAAGGGTTCACATCAAAATGTTTCAGTTCTACAATTGGAAAATTTAGTGAATAGAAATAATTTTAATATAGTTTCGAACTCAACTCATTAGGTCGACTTGAATAGTAGATTATAATTTAAAATAAACCTAGGAGAGATTCCATGATATTTTGATTGAGATCATGAAGTGATTGATGTTAGACCACTATTGAAAAACTGGAAGCACTGGACGGCCGTTTCGTCTTCAGCAGTGCTCATCCACAACACCGCTCGCGGGATTCGAACCCAGGGCCTTCAGTCACGCTCGCGAACGCTTAACCACTAGACCACCGAGCCGTCGTCTAACAGTGCTAATGCTTAGCCTCAACCAATCTACGAAATTTCGCGACCATCTTCTATGGTACTGAGGTATATACCTGTCTATACCCGACACGGAATAGCCCCACTAGTCACAGCTCCTCACTAGAACTCAGAGAATCCCCTCACGAAGCTAGTCACTAGTGAGCGCATGATAATTATCAAAATAAGGTTGTGTAGATTATTATGTTTTTGATTGAGATCATGAATCGAGTGATGTTAGACCACCATTAAAAAACTGAAATGCTATCGCACTATCCAATTAGCTACTGAGTCCTGATAGCCACCTGAACATCAATTCTGGGATGCAATTATATCCAGCCAACAAGTCCCAAATAGAACGAAACGCGCGTTCTGGATTCCACTGCTAGCCACTATCCATCTTTGCCTATAAAATTGTATATTTTGTTCATATTCACCGACTAAGACAATATATAGTGAATTTAATTTCTATCCAATTACGTATACATACAATCTGTTATCATAACACTTTGTTTCATACCATATGTCTCTTACACACTAATGCCAATATCTACTTTAAACATTGTTAACATGGATTGGATAACATACTAAGTGTACAGTGAACCGAAGAACCATGTACCTTATTTATATTTGATAATTTTGATATTTTGATTATATTTTCCTTGAAAAAGCTTGAACTAGATTATCAGACGAAACGTTGAATTTACTTCAAATTCATTTGTTGAGATTTTACAAATACAACATTCTTCCTCTTTATATTTTTCATTCATCTTACTTACTTACGCCTGTTACTCCTAATGGAGCATAGGCCGCTGACCAGCATTCTACAACCCACTCTTTCCTGGGTCTTCTTTTTTAATCCCATCCAATTCTTGTTCATTTTTCTCATGTTTATCTCCATTTCCCGGTGTAATGTGTTCTTTGGTCCTTCGTCCTCCTTTGGCCTTGAGGATTCCATGCGAGGGCTTATCTTGTGATGCAGTTGGGTGCTTTCCTCAATGTGTGTCCTATCCACTTCCAGCACTTCTTCCTAATTTCTTCCTCCGTTGGGATCTGATTTGTTCTTTCCCACAGTTGGTTGTTGCTAATAGTGTCCGGCCAACGGATCCGAAGTATTTTGCGTAGACAACTGTTAATAAACACTTGTATCTTCTGTCTTGACATTTGTATTGAAAATTGTTCATCCATCTATTCAACAATAATACAAGTATTACATAAACAGAAAAAACAATAAATAGATAACTAAATCTAATCTTTTCTTACATAGATTCGATCGTGAAGTTGTATGTATTAAACGTTCAGCCATTGGTAAATGTGTATAATAAAATCGACCATGTTGACGTAATGAATCTTCTACAGGATCAACACACCAACCAAATGGAGTAGATTCCGAATGATAAAATAATCCTCTTTATAAGTAAAAATAAACAAACAGACAAGCAAAATAAGAAATAATAAGAGCTTTATCAACAACAACAAAAATGACACGAAAATATCAGTTCGATTTCTTTTGTTTTTATTCAATTAACTATGTTTAGTTCTAAATTCACTTGGTATTGTTTTGAGATTAGATGGTGGTTGGAGGTAGTCGACAGGAAACCATGGACCCGGGTTTCGTGCTACTTGGCACTCGTCAGCAAGGTGTACCTGTAATCTTGAGGGGACTGGTGCTCCCTGGAGGATTCAATCCCGTGTCACCCTCTCGACAACCACCATCCATTCTCATTACATAGTGCCCGCAGTGTCGAGTCACTTAGACTAGTGGCCACATTGCAACATAGTCGATAGCATTCGATCTCACTAAATAAGGACTTGACACACATGACATTGATCACCACCCAGTGATCAATCAATTGTGACTTGGTGTTGTTTATTTGAATCTTCTCATTGATGTTTAGGACTATAATAGATCACACACTTATTGCCGTATGTGCTATCCTGTGCGTGTTGCTTTGATATAGGCTTAATTCACAAACATTATAAGCAAAAATGGATAGTGGCTAGCAGTGAAATCCAGGACGCGCGTTTCATCCTATTTGGGACTTGTCAGCTAAATATACTTGCACATCGGAGTTGATGTTCCCTCTGGGGCTCGAACGAGCGTCCTGGATTCCACTTCTAGTCACTATCCATCTTTGCATATGTGTAGTCCTGTTATTGTTTCTGAATTGTTATTGGTTATTTTCAATATTCAGTGTCAGTGGATCCCATATGTATAAATTTACGGAATTGTAAGCTCTTTTTTTATTTATATCACTTCCAACTTCTTACATAGGGACGCCTTTTGTCATACATCGAAAAATCAATAACAACGTACCTCTGGACTAGATATAAATGTATCAACAGCTAAATGTTACACCAAAGGAATCACTATTAAAATATTTTGTCTTAATGATTATCTTCCTTACACTTCTACATGAGATTAAACAAAAGTTACCATTTGAATCATGATGAAGTATATACATGTCACAAACTGTCTGACCATTACTACATATCTCGGTACTACCGATTTATAATTGATAAGCATATAAATCATTTTTATTGGACGACATAAACCAAACAATTCATGTAATACTATTATTCGGCTGCTTACAGTGGAAGTAGATAGAACGGGGTTTGAATCAGAGAAGGATCAACTATCGATTGATGGCTTCAAAATCAGATTCAGTTGATTTATGGATTACTGGAACAAATGACTTCATATTTCAAGTATTTCCAAGACTGTTTGATTTAGGACTGTGAATATTAGTGAAGTCTAGAAGGAACATTTTGCTTTATTTAGTGAACACGCTTGTACCTACTTAAATCCCGAACTGTTATTCTAAGTGATCTAAAAGATAACGAGGATAATCCTTTGGAGTTTGAAGTAATGAACAATCGATTTGGTGCAAGCATATTCAGTTGACAAGTAATAGACACAAAGAAACATCTCTCCTAAATATTCGCAACATTCAATAAACAAAGTAAAACAGTAAATCAGAACATAAATTTTCATTAAAAAAAATCAATTGTATTACCTGCTATGACTTAAATGCTCAGCTACACGAGCCCAAAGTACAGTACCCAATGGGCCTACAATACGTTTACGTTCACTATAAGCATCTAACCATGCATTATGACCATCAACGCATTGTTTACGTGCTTGACTACACAATTGTGTAATAGGAAATTTTCTTGGTAAATATTTTTTCGATGAAGCATTCAATGATGAGAAGAGATTTTCATTATTTGTTAGTTTGTTATTAGTTGATTTTGGCCAAAACATTTGTATCAATTGAACAAGTATTGACTTGAAAAGTTAACAAAAAAAAGACAAACCCGAAAAAGAATAGATTTGGACAATTCAGTTAAGAATACAATGGAATTAGTGAATACAAACAAATCCATGAAGTCACTGACAAGTGGACTGAGTCATGTTGGTAGATGTAGAATACCTGGTTGGGATCAGCGAGATGATAGCAATCGATGGTTAGAAACCTTGAATGACATGGCTCAAAATCGTTTGCAACGGTGCAGGTGAATCCACTGTTTGTGTCCTTCCGAATTCTAATCTTCTGAATTCTTCATGTCCCTTTTCTTTTTCTCTTTCCAAATTTATTTCACTGGATTATGCTCGTTGAATAACATCTTCGAACCCTAATCTTTCCGACCACTGCTTACACTCTTACTACCTTTACCACTACGGGATTTGAATGGACAACTGCATCTCTGTGCTTATGTGTTATAACAACTCGAACTGATGTACGTACGTACGTACGAAGTTCTACGTTGTGACTGACTGACTGACTGATAAAATAAATATGTAGGCAATATTATAAGCATTGTTATATGAAGATGAAATTTCTGTTGAACAATTAGGTAAGCTGGAATATTAAACACTAATTTAACTTCTTACATTAGGAAACTTAAAAAAGATAGAACCTAGAACTAGCAAGATCTTAAAGTGAATAAGAATATGTTCAACCACAACATCAGAATATAATGACCCATATTTCTAACCACAAGACATGAAGATTTCGATGCTCCATTCCATGATTGATACCAGATAAACTTTGTTTAGAATGGAAGGAAACATTCAGTTAACCCCAACTGATTTCTGCTTATGATTACGATGACAGTAATTCACATGAAATTATAAAGCTTAAAAAAAGCCCAGAAACTTCCGTTTGCCAAATTAAAAAAGTGTTAATCACTAAAACTGGTCACAAAAGTTCATAGAATGGTCTTCTTGACAGAATTTTAAAGATTTGAAATCTTCATCAAGATGAAATCATGAATTTATACAACTTGACAGATTATTGAATATTTCACTAATTGAAAACATTTCACGATGTAATCCCTTGAAGTTTACAATTCTGGTAGATAAATTGTTCATTTGTTTACTTTTAACTAGATACTATAAATTTTCTTCAATCAAATATCACTAATTTTAGTCTGATCTCTATCAGTTCGTATGATTAGTGAAAGTTGATGATAACAGATACGAAAATCATTTTAAAGCTTCTTATCTACTTACTCAAAGCTGAGGAAAAAATTCATAAACGTGCTAAGGAAACTATATAATTATTTAATTTTTGATTGAGATCATGAACTGATTGATGTTAGAAGCACTGGAAGGTCGTTTCGTCCTATTATGGAATTCCTCAGCAGTGCGCGTCCACGATCCCGCTCGCGGGATTCAGACCCAGGGCCTTCAGTCTCGCGCGCGAACGCTAAACCTAACGGACCACTGAGCCAGCACCCAATGGTGTTAATGCCTAACCTCAACCAATCCATGAAGTTGAGCAACCATCTTCCATTATACTGAGGTAGATACCTGTATCTACCCGACACGGATTAGCTCCACTGGTCACGGCCGTCTAGTGCTTCCAGGTTTTCAATGGTGGTTTAACATCAATCGGTTCATGATCTCAATCATAACTTAACAATCTCCACAACCCCTATACTGATAATTACTTAATTATTATTATTATTGTTAGTGTGTTACTAACAAAGGTTACTCAAAATGATTTTTATCTAATTTGATTATCTAACACTAGTGGCTCTCTTCTCATTGGTTTCTACTACTTACAATGTCTGTCGACGTTACTTCCAAGTCCTCATTACTCTATATACACTAAATTGTACCATTTGTAAGGTGTTTGGATATCGAATTTCCCCATGGTTTATCTTCTTCCTGTTTTAAAAGCTAACTGTTAAAGTGTTGCGTTACAACTACCAACATCGAGTCTGTAATAAAACCGTTCATATTAGAGAATAGCGCAATTACTTCTCGATTCGCAAGTGTCGTAAGTCCATACCGAGCCATTACAATCAAATATAACAAACTGGTAACAGAAGTTCATCCAATTAATAAACACCATGAAAATATGAGAAAAAAATCTAACTTGAAAAGAAGTAAAATACTCGCTGCCTTCTCGTGGCGAGGATGTTGGTTACGAAATTCAGAGGACAAAAAGCGAATATTTAACTGGGTTGATGGACACGGGGAATCCACCTAGGGGCATTGGATAACCTTGATTCCAAACAAATGGTTTACATGGCCTCCAGAAACCTGAAGGAACGATTGGCGTATGAATCAATCGTTGGCCAACGTCTACCATGGGACTGCATCTCTTGACGTTGATCCCCTACCTTTTGGTTCAGACCTTCAGGTCTAAGGCTCGAAGTGTGGCTCTCTAAGAAAACCACCTCCTTCGATCTGAGCACCCGAGCAGTATCAAGGCCCATACACAAATCAAGTAACTTGTGTGGCGTATATGTATTCAGTGCCTCTTTGCACTAATATTTATATGTTCAAATAAATAAATAAAAGTGGGGTTTTGTGGATATTATAGTAGTCAATTGAAGCTAGACCATCATGGAAAACCTGAAAGCACTGGATGACCGTCTCGTTCTATTATGGTACTCCTCAGCAGTGCGCACTCAGGACCTTATCATTCTCACGCACAAGCGCTTAGCCTCTAGACCACTGAGCCGGACGGCATCCAACGGTGTTAATGTCTAACTTCAACTAATCCATGAAATTCAGCGACACATCCACCATTGTCATCAGTAAGTTACTATCTCACAACAGACCCAGCTTCTTACTATAACTCCCAGAAGTAACCTCTTGAATCCAATCACTAGGAAAAAATGGCCATCTAATACTTGCAGGTTTTCCATGCTGATCTAGCTTCAATTGATTCACGAATTCAACTATTAAATAAATTAAAAAGAAAAAAAAAACAATATTCACAATTACAAACCTTTTTATCATGAACCATAGATACACTTTTATTATTTGTAGATAATTTTAAATGTATCAATTTGTTTAAATCAGGCAGTGATAATTTCCATTGTTCACCAAGTTTTTTATATTCAATTTTAATTATATCATGATATGTATACAATTCAGATGGTGTAACATGATTGAATTTCTCTTGTATCCAAGGTGATAATAATATAGATGGTAAATTTTGTATTGATTTATCACTGATAATATGATTATTGATAAGTATCATTTCAATAATTGTATATAGTTGAGTTAATTGTTGATTTATATAATAATTAGATATCATATTCGTTTCATTATTAGTTGTTAAGTTGAATAATAAATCATGATTTACATTATGATGAATATTTAATGTATTGGATGATATATATATGAACCATATTGATAGATTTTGATGTAACCAATATTTTATAGCGATTAGATTATTCCAAAATGTAGGGGAATACTAAATAATTATTAAAATAGAAAATAGGATATGAATAAATATGTTATATCTCTATGAGAATAATCATTGGTAACTTTGGGGATCCATTTATGGACCAATAGTAAACGTATATTTCTATCGTATAGTTGTTAAGAAACTAAACTATACATATTCATGTCCCTCTTATTATGAGTTTTATTTTTACCTATGGACTGTTGTTATAAGATTTACCATTCTTGAGTTAAACTCAAGTCTACCAATCAGTATCTCCCACATTCACAGCCACATTTGGCTAAATCTTATACAGGTGTTGTTTCTAATTTTATTGGTACGATGTGGTAGATCTAATTGGTATATGAACCCAGTGTGTTTGAAATAGATCAATGTTGCTGCTATGTCTAGAGCTTAGATTCTTAATATACCACGTACAACTTGAGCATTCAAAAGCTAGAAACATACAAGTCATAAATGAGAAGAACGAAGACAAGTGAAAGGAATACTATTCCAAATAGTGTCCATTGTGGTACAAAACTGTCAGGTATATATAGTTTTCGGTAAAAACGAATTCATCATTCAGTCAGCCAGTAACAACGTAGAACTTCGTATGTACGTACATCAGTTCGAGTTGCCATATCACATTAGCACAGAGATGCAGTTGTCGATTCAAACCCCGTAGTCGTAGAGATAGTAAAATTATAAGCAGTAATCGAAAACATTAGGGTATGAAAATATTATTCAAGGAGTATAATAAAGTGAAATAAGTTCGAAAAGAGAGAAAACGGGACATGAAGAATTTAGTAGATTAGAATTTAGAAGAACACAAAAAGTGGATGCACTTGCGCCATTACAAACGATTTTGAGCCATGTCATTCTAGGTCTCTAACCATCGGTTTCTATCATCTCGCGGTCCCCAACCAAATAGTCTACACCTACCAACATGACTCACTCTGTGCACTTGTCAGTGACTTCATGGATTTGTGCCATGTTTTGATCTGGCCGCCCCTAGCCTTCTTCCAACCTACTCCTACACCATAAAACATTGCACGTCGAGGCAGTCGGTCGTTGGGCATACGTAACACGTGTCCCAGCCATCTCAACTGATCAAGTTTCACTACGTCATCAATTGATTTATCATCCTTACCTAGTACCCGTTTCCTAACAACTGCATTACTTACTCGATGGTCCCAGGATATACGAGTAGTGTTTCGAAGACATCTATGATCAAATACTAGTAACCTACGAATATCCTCTACTCTTACCGGCCATGTTTCACTGCCATAAAGTAGGACGAAACGAACTGCTGCGCAGTAAACACGTCCTTTGGTTGATAGACGGATATCTCACCAACTCCATAAATGAAGCAAGTTGGCAAAAGCTAGTCGACCCTTCTGTATCCGTGATGAGACTTCGACACACACCAGACCACAAGGGCTGATGAGACTTCCAAGATAAGTGAAGCGGTCGACACACTCAACTACTTCACTCCATATCATTAGTTCGGGTGTCAATGCAACCCAATCCTGAAGCAACATTTTGCATTTCGAGGGAGAGAATAGCATCCCAAACATGCTTGCATTGTTGCTTAGAGTGGTCAGAAGACTGCATTTTGTCAGCGTCTTCACCAAATAAAACTATGTCATCAGCATATTCTAAATCAACAAGTGAACCTCCCGGTACAAGTTCAACCCCTGTAAATTTAGATGAGGAGAGTGTTATCTCTAAAAGTACGTCAATGACAAAGTTGAACAAGAATGGGGAGAGTGGACAGCCCTGACGAACACCACTTGAGGTAATCAATTCTGATGACAGTTCGCCATAAGCTCTCACTCGACCAGTTGTGTTCGAGTAGAGAGCCTTTACAAGCTTAATGTACTTCTTTGGTACTCCTTTCAGTGACAAACACTGCCATAGAACCTCACGATCAACAGAGTCGAATGCCGCCTTAATGTCAAGAAATACTACCATTGTGGGGCGTCTGAATGTGTGTCTGTGTTCTAGAACCTGACGTAGTGTGAATATCTGATCTATACAACCACGTCCAGGTCGAAAACCGATACACGAAGCGTAAATCGAGTCGGTTCTTTATTTTGACATGGTGGGGTCAGGTGAATGACGCTACTCGAATCCTGTATGCGCGTTTCGGAGACGCAGCACACATCGATGGCGCGAGATTCTAAAGTCCTAGCTAAGGAAGCCTGCTGTCCTATTTGACACAGTGTTCGGACGTTAAAAGCTCCTACGTGTAGTTTAGAGCGTGGTTTCAGGAGACCAGGAATAACGTTCCGCGTACTCGAATCGTTTGCCCTCGCGGTGAGAGGACGTGAGAAGGGTTAGTCAGGGAGAAAAGAGTGGTAATAAGAGGTGTAGGAAATATTTGAATGTGACCAACTTGGTCTCGTGTGCTGTTACGGGTATGAGGGCTGATGTCACTTCCCGGCTGCCCACACCGTGGAAAGGTATTTCTTGAGGAACCTGAAAAAGAATTCGGATTATTGTTGACCTTAGCGACCTGGGAGCGTGACCGAGGGAAACAACTTATTGCTGTCACACCCCTCTACAGTCGGCAGTACGACTTTGGCCCTCAGACCTTGAGTTTCTGCTTTTAGTCTTACCGTTCTCCAATCGACCTGCCTGGCATGGTAGAACCTACATTAACATATGTTCCAGCCAATATAGCTTGGTTGAATCATCATGATAGGCAACCTCGATCACCGCGTCAAGGTAGCAACTATGGTCGGGAAATCATCATTATAGTCCTCCAACCCGCACACATGAGGTTATTAGCATTTGTCCAATAGGGAAGCTCCACGTATGGACTCTAGAATATTCTTCAACAAGATGCTTGGATGGAATATCTTCGGCTCTCTCTGAGCTCCCTAGAGCTTCCTCAAGTTAACCGGTGGACTGTCTGCATAGCTTCTTCTATGATAATCGAGCATCAACAGGTGTTTTAAAAAAATCTAAAGATAAAGCTTAATCAATATTCGGTTAACAATACAATTGACATTAATCGGTGAATAACAAGCAAGTGGTTTAATAATTGATGACTTGCCACAAGACTAGAAAGTTTTAAGTTCGACTATTAAAGAGTTTCGTAATATCATGGAATAACTTTCTAGTGCTGTCTGGTGCCAAAAAAGAAATCAATCCATAACAAACATCACATGGAAATGAATATCATAATAATAAGCAATTCAATATAATCTTCATTAAAAATCAACTTACCATTGGTGGCAGGGCTGCTAAACATGAATTTAACAAATAAGAGTCTTCATTAAATAGTTTTAATAAATAGGTAACTAACAAATCGACAGCTACATCAATTTCTGGTAATTGTATACGTGAAACAAGAATTCGACCAAGTGCTTTATTGTATAAATTCATAAAATCATTCGTTGTTATATAATTTGAAATATTTGGAATTTTTAGTAAATTACCACTCTGCAAGAATACACATATTTAAAGAGAGAAAAAATATGAATCAGTGATAGAGATTATAGATAAGTATAGTGTTGTGGAGGTTATTAAGTTATTGATTGAGATCTTGAACCGACTGATGTTAGACCACCACTGAAAAGCTGGAAGCACTGGACGGCCGTTTCGTCATATCGTGGAACTCTTCGGCAGTGCGCATCCACGTTCCCGCTCGCGAGATAGTAGGCTAGGCGTTCGCGCGTGAGACTGAAGGCCATGTGTCCGAATCCTCAAGCAGGACTTGTAAGGGTTTGATGTGAACAGAGAAACAAGAAGCCTTGACCTACTACGAAAGCTATTTTTGGAGACGTTATCTTGTTTAATTCAAAGAATGTCAAATAGCAACATTTAATTTTGTGCCTAATCTATTCTACAGACTATAAGCTTTCGTTTGATGTTCCAAAGCTACTGTAATTTAAACGTAATCTTTTGTACTCTGTCTAATCCCCAGTTTTGGACATAATTGTATTTTCCTAACTGTCTGTGCGTTGTGGTTAGTCATCTATCTATTCCTGTATATTTTTACACTAATTTGAATCGGGAACCAAATCGGAATCGGGAATAAGTCGAGTAGTGTTTCAGTTGATGTATTAGCCAATCAGATCCTTCTTAGTGCAGATTAAATGCTATCGACCAAGTTGCAATGTGGCCACTAGTCTAGATGACTCGACATTGCGTGTACTATGTTGAGATAAGATGATGGTTGGAGATAGTCAACAAGAAACCCTGGAGCTGGATTTCGTGCTATTTGGCACTCGTCAACAATGTGTAACCGGTGCTCACTGACAGATTCGATCCCATGTTACTCAGTTTCACAGTCAGAGACGTTACAACTAAGCTATTCGGGCCGCGACTGACCTCCTGTAAGACTGAGATGCATTTACAATTAATTGATAATTGGTTGATGATCAATGTCATGTATGTCAGGTCCTTCTTACTACAGATCGAATCCTATCGAATTATGATTCACAGTTGATGGTTGAGGCTAAGAATTAGATTTAAGATTTTCATCAGCTAAAATGCCAAAACGCTATTTAGCCAAATGGATGAATGAATTTCGCACCGAAATCCAAGACCTGTTATCCTAAATCTGATTATTTCATCCATAAATTGTAGTCTCGCACTACAAATTCATTAGATTAAACAGAATAAAAAAGGAATAGGAGAAAATAAACAGAAAAGCATATTTTTAATTAGTATGACACACCTGAATATGTTGTGCTGTAGTAAACATTGAAGTGATAATAGCTTGTTCCAAACTTTGATGCATGCATAAAAATAAACTCTTATGCTTTGAAAATAACAAATGTCTCTCTCTCATTATCTCACATCTAGAGTTCTTGTTGTTGTCATGATGGAAACAGTATTTCGACAGATCACATGAAGTTTGTTTTCTATCACCAAGATCATGATGATGTTGATTAGGCGTAGAAGGAGTAGTGCAAGCTTGATTCATATTTTGATCTACATCAATCTCTTCCCCCAAATCAACATGAAAACTTTGTATTCTTACAGGAACTGGAGAAATGGTTGTATTTTTGTGCTTGGATGTTTCAGGCATTGAATTTAACTGATTCAGGATATTAATCATTTGTTCATCTCGATAAGCTACAACAGAGAGTTGAATGATACATTGCATTTTACAACATGTGGTTTGGAAGAATTCTGTTTTTTATTGTTTGTTTGATAAATTGACCTACTAATATTTTTCTGAGAGTTAAAATGATTGATGTTAGATAACTAACATTCACTAAATCATTCGGACGGTGGTATGAAAAAAAATCTAGCTTCTGTCGATTCATTACAACTCCCTGTTGAGATCGTTGCGATAGTGCTTCAGAGGTCAGTTACGTTTCTAGTAAAGTTTTATTTAACATTCCTTATAAAATTGAAAAAAAACTCATGTAAAATCGATAGCAGAAATAATCATATACATTTCTTTAAGAATTTATCATTGAGTAAAAACGATAGCGGTAAACGTATATAATGCTCATTTCTTTCAAAGAATATACATTGTATGCAATTTAAGCATCAGCAATCACTGCATCAGTAGGCCTCAACATACACAAGGGGAAAACCAAGATCCTCAAATACAACACGGAGAACACAAACACCACCATTCTTGATGGCGAAACTCTATAAGATGTAGAATCCTCCACGTACCTAGGAAGGATAATCGATGAACAAGGAGGATTTGATGCAGATAGAAAAGCAAGGGTCACATTCTTATAACTGAAGAACATATGGAACTCAAAACAACTGTCTGTCAACCAATATCAAAGTCACAATCTTCAATACGAACATCAACACAGTCACCTCTACTGTACGGAGCTGAAAATTTTAGAACTACTACAACCATCATCAAGAAGGTACAACTATTTATAAATATTTGTCTACGCAAAATACTCAACATACATTCACCGAATACCATCAGCAACTGCCTACTGTGGGAGTGAACAAACCAGCTTCCGACTGAAGAGGAAATTAAGAAAAGCCGATGGAAATGGATATGACATACATTACGCAAATCACCAAACTTCATCATGAGACAAGCCCTAACATGGAATCCTGAATGGTAGCGGAAAAGAAGAAAGCTAGAGAAAATATTACGTCAGGAAATAGAATCAGATATGAAAAGGATGAATAACAACTGGAAAGAGTTGGAAAGGATTGCTCAGGACAATGTTGGATGAAGAGTGCTGGTGGATGGTCTATGCTCCTCCAAGAGGAGTAACAGGCGTAAGTAAGTAAGCAATTCAAGCATAGACCTACACAAACGCACAACCAGGTAAATGTAGGATCTTCAGAAAACGCTGTTTGTAACTCTCTAACGATAAAAGAACGGGTTTTCTGTAACGGTGTGAATATATATTTCTATGCCGTTATTTTTATTCACAGTCAAAAGAACCTGTAAAATACTTCAACAGATTTATCAATTAACAGTTAAAATAAAGTTTCAAAACATGAACTGATTTCAATCAGATAATCATTGAAATCTAGCAAACTGTTTTATTTTACAATGAGACCAAACACCGATGTGTAGACCAGAAAAATGTCTAGTGGTTTTTGTCATTTTGTTTTAAAAATCGCAGTCAATATTTAACGCAAAACAACATTTGATGGTATTTAATTCATTTTTATTTCGTATTCGTTGTTTGAATCATCCCATCGATGTTTGAGACTGTATAAACCAGTGCCTATCAGGACTCGGTAGCTAAGTGTATAACGTGATGGCGGACAGCACCGGATTCGAGTACTGAAATGAATATCAACACTGGGATACACATACATCCAATTGACAAGTCTGTGGTAGCAGAAGGAATGGGAACAGAAAGCAATTGATATGAAAATACAGGAACAATGAAGTCTAAGACAATTATTGAACATTTCGCAAATGAAGTATTTACTATATGATTCTTAGACATTCTGTAATTTTGTGTTCAAATACATTTGATTATGGCCCCATTTGTGTTCTCGTTCACTATACTACTATTATGAATAACAATAAGTAGTTATTGAATAAATGATGAACTAATCGTATAAAAAACAGTTTAGCTAACCAAAAAAAATGAACAATAATTATGGGTAAACATACGTGAATAAATCAGTACATTTACAATACAATTTAATATCCATACTAAATGATTATAATGTAATTTTAAATTTTCACAAAGATACTTAACATTCCCATCTTCAGTAGCTGTTTGTATATCATCTGTAGTAATGAAAAACAGAGAAAGAGGAAGGGAAAGAAAAACCCAAATACAATGAAACATTGAAAATCGGTACAATCATCCAGATTATATCACAAAGTGGTCTTACCTAGACGAGCATTGAAAACCTGGAAGCAATAGAAACTCATTTCGTTTTAGTATGGGGCTTTCTATTAGTGTACATTTAAGACCCCGCATTTGGAAATCCAACTTACGAATATGAATTAAGATATGAAAAACTTACAATCTCGACAAATCCCTCCATACCAATAATAATTATTTCTAACTAACAATTCCATTTAGGGTGGAACTCTTAGAGTTTTAATAAGAAACAGTAAAAAATGACCATGTATGCTGAAACAGAGTTATTCACTGAAGGGAGTGAGTGGGTGGGCGTTGCACACTGTCGTCAGTTGATTGAAGGCAAAGATGTACGCGATTTGATTCCAGTACAAGATCAAGAATCTTAGCTTCGAATCCCGGACACAAGGTCGTAAATACACATTGTTGGAGTCCTACACCAGAACGAAAACGACCATCTAATGGTTCCAGGTTTTATATGGCACTTTAACCAATATCAGTATTTTTTTATTTCAGCTATGAATTATTTAAACTGTAACGACTGAAAGTACCAGTCGAAAAAACACCACGCTGCATAGCTGGTCGTTACTAAGAGAATTAAACTCACATTCCTAAATAGGACTCAATATCACATATTGTTATATTATATTCGGACGAATTTACCAAATAACATACGTGCATGTGTACAAATGTTTATCGAGAAAAGAAACCAAAGAATTTATTCAAGGGTGATGAAATACTTAATGAAATGAGTTTATGAAAACTTCGAGTCAGATACAATAAACACAGACAACATAGATGCATAGTTGAAACAAGACATTGGATTAATCTTAAAACAATATTTAAAATTTTGTATGGGAAAAGCCGAGAACGGATTCTTAGGTTCACGGAAGCCTAAGCCACTAGAAAATTTAAACATCTTTAGTGTTCAGACTTTAAATTTGCTCTGATAACGTTTAATGGATAAGATTTACATTCATGGAATCGCAGTCCATTTGAATTTCAATATTTATAAGGTATGGAATATCTATCACTTTTTTTCCGTTCACTTGGTAAGTGAATGCTACGTATTAAACGAATTCATTTTCATTATTTAAATTGAAGCTCTTTTCATTCAAGAAGTACGAATACATTAACGTTTTGTGTTCATAGAAGATCTATGAAGATGATTCAAGTGAAATCTCTAGTGAAAATTATACTCAATGAATGGAAGTGTTAGAAAAACCTAGATATTTCACTTTAATTGAACAATGAATAAAGGTTGGTTATTCTCATATATATATGATCAGTGTGCTTATAACTATATGATAGTGATGGAGTTTTGTTCTCTGAGCTGGATGGTTTGGTTGTAGAGTTTCCATCGTTCTTCTGAACAAAATCATCAGTACAAACTTCAGATAGAAATGAAGTGTTCAAATTTCTCCACATGTGGTTCACAGCTTGTCCTATACAACTCGATATGGATTGGTTCTTGTTGACCTTAAACTTGTCATTGTTTACTTCTTCGTTTTGGTTGTATCTCCCATTGGTTTGATTTTTGTTTCTATATTTGTACATAATTTTCCTGAATACTTGATAAATTGGATCGATTTTAGTGTGCTTGTTGATTGTTGATGAAAGCTTCATGACCAAACCATCCAGCTCAGAGAACAAAACTCCATCAAAATCATCCACTTGAGCTACAAATCTCCTCCACCATCTCAAAAACTATATGATAGTTGTAACTTGTGTTTTCTATGTTATATTCTCTTCTTTTGGTGGAGTTTTGTTCTCTGAGCTGGATGGTTTGGTTGTGGAGCTTTCATAGTTCTTCTGAACGGCATCATCAGCACAAACTTCAGATAGAAGTGAAGTGTTCGAGTTTCTCCATATGTGTTTCACGGCTTGTTCTGTGCACCTCTCTTTTCTATTCTATTCTTTATTTAGGTTCCTTTGATATTTTATTTAACTGATCTTCATTAGTTTCGATATAAAATCACATGATAAGTAAATGTGTGACCAGGTTGTTCGAGATAAATCCCACATTTTGTAGATCAAGTCTGTCACGTCATTAAACTATTGAAAAGTATAAATTATTATTATTATTTTACAGACACCACAACCAAAAATCATTCACCTCTTTTTACAGTTTAAATTAACAGTCAATAAATTGATGACCTGAAGTCATATGGTGAGGGATACGTGGTGACTGGATTGATGTAAAATATGCTCTAAATAAATCAGTCGATGAAGATTCACGGACACATAAGAAGAATCGAAACATCTATCCGGTATAATTTACATCACTGTCATATTTCAACGACTTTGTCATATAGTTATTTCTTTACGCCTCTTGCCCTTTATAATACATAGACCGTCGATCAGGAATTATCGACCCACTATATGATGGGTCCCCTTTCCAAATTGTTGACAAGTGCTATTAATTATTTCGCTGTCTTGCTCCAATTCCTGACGCAATGTATTTTTTGGTCTTTCTCTTTCCTTTTACCCTTTAACAGCCTGTCTTATGGTTCAGTTTTGATTATTCCCGTAATGTGTATCCTATCCGCCTCCAGTGTCTTTTGCTAATCTCCAATTCAGCTGGAAGCTGATATATTTTCTGCCAGAATGCGTTGTTTCTGATAGTTTCTGGCCAACAGATGTTCATTATTTTACGTAAACAACTGTTTACAAATACATGCATCTTCTTAAAATATCGGTTATGCAAATTTCGAGCTATCTACAGTGTACTACTACAATCAATCACTAACTGGATAAACTAGAATACAAATATAGTACTCACATGTACAAACACTAATCCACATATTATTGTAAAGTACCGGTGTCGATTCAAATATTAAAAAAACTTTCCCCTGGATAGACTCACTTTCTTGTTGTTTACCTATATTTTGTTGACTAAAGGCTACTGATTTGTTAAGTTCTTCTCCAATTCGATCTAACTGACTAATTGAAGTTTCTAAAAGACTATGTAAAACTCGCCGAACAAGACATCGACTAACTGGTCCAGGATTCAACTGTACTTCTGAAGTTGAGAATAAAATGAAAGAGAAAAATTATAATATGAAATTATTATAACCATCCAATAATCTTCAAGTAATATCTCACTGTATATTGTTAAATATTTAGGTTAAAAGCATTCTATAATGCATCAAATATATAGAATACATTCATTAGAAATCTTAATTCATTTCTAGATAGAAATTGAACTTAAGAAGAAGGGATCTGTAGAATGAAAGGTATAAAATAACTGTGAAACCTAAGATTTAAGACAACATAAGATGTGAGTGCATCTGCAGGATTCAAACCATTTCTAATCAATGTAATATAACGTACCAAAAAACATAAACTAGATGGTCTATTCCTACGACATAGCTTAGGACAGCAGTTAATTACTTTATAGAATGATTTTATTCAGTGGTTTGATCATTCCTAGATTTCTTACAACGTGTTTCTCTGCCACATAACTTTACACGTCGTGATAGATGGTATTTAGCATTACGTAATAAATGTCTTAACCACCTTAATAAGTGAAGATCTACAACTTGATCAAGCGCTAGAGTTGAAGCTATCACAAGTTCAATTAACGAGAAACAAGACTCCGTGACCAAAGACCAATAAGCTAGCTGTTGATGCATCCTAGCCCCCCTAATTAGAAGGATAAATCAAAGCTTGGAATAGGGAAGTATATTCTGCAAACAGCCAGAAACGAGCGATAACAGTAAACACAATTTAAAACGTATATATACAGTACAAAACTATCCTTGGGGAGAGTTACCAAATAGCATACTAAAAGACGCAACAGACCAATAGCATTTAAGATATTTCCCAGTGGGAAATACGACATGAAGGTGACAAGAGCGCCTTTGGCGCGAAAACAAAGAAATTCAAATTTTCTAAATAAAATTACAAAATTAGGTCGTTTCCCAAGTCAGTTCTGGGGATCTAACGTCCCCAACGTCAAGTGAGTTAGTAATTTTACCTAGTACTTTATATTTAACCTTAGTATGGTAGACCAAAAACAGATATCATCACAGTGCTTGTGAGGAAATCTGAACAATGTATTCGAAGGCATCAATAATCCAACACTAGTAATGTACTAATATTCACTATTTTCAAACGATTATATTTCATAGTCATAGAACAAAACAGAAATCCAGCAATAATAACGACAGTGATAATATCTAATAGTAACTAACCTGATTCCAAATTTACAACATAACCATCATAATCTTCATTATTTAAATCAGGTTTCATTGAAATTAAATATTGTAGAAAAGTTCTTATCAATTGAAATCGTAATGATGTATCCAATGAATAATGAAATACAGGACAAGATGAAGGAATTAATTCATTACTGAATTTTTCATCGATTATCATCCAACTAATTACACGACCAATTAAACGATTTAAACTAGTGAAAATAGGCATTAAGAGAGATGGAATAATAGACATTGGTCTATTAGTGTTATGATAATCATTATTATGCATATGTAATAATGAATTAGCTTCATGGATGCCAAATTCCAATAACCAAGCCATATTGTATAATACTGGTAATAAATTAGATTTGATAGCTGAACTAAGAACACAATTATCTGAATCCTATGTGAAATTCAAAAAGAAAATGGAGAATGAATTTGACCACTTTTGTTAACAAGATGACACTGTAATAGAGAGACTGAATATAATTTTTATTTATAAAACTACGAATGTAGACAGTATGACTCGAAAGTTTCTTTTAAAAAATGAGGTTAAATATCGAGATCTTTATGATCTGAAAAGCTTGATGTGCTGAGAGAACCATCCAAAATTTCCATAGTGAATCATCATTATTTAGAAAAATAATGAAAAATCTACACCTGGAAAAGATTGTTTGCTTTTTGGAGGAACAGTCATCGAGCTTTTCACCTAAAAGTGTGATCAGATAACCCGTGAACAATATACACGCCTACGCCATTCTTTGCCTTGGGAAACTGAAACCCAAATGTACTATTACTTTGCAAACTGCCCTAGTTGGTTTCTATATCATCATTAACAATGGCTACGAACCGAACAATACAATTTGACACTTCATTTTGCGCCAAGTAGAGGTAACAATTTAAAGAAGAGAATATAAAGACGCAGCTATAGATAAACTACTGAGTGAATACAGAAGGGAATTGCAGAAACCTATAAACTAAACTTTAGTACTATATAACGACCTATTTATATATTTGGAAGATTATTGAATAGATCCATTTGTGTTAGGAAAGGGGTACTAGGTAAGGATGGCAAATCCATTAATGAAGTAGTGAAACTTCATCAGTTGAGATGGCTGGGACATGTGTTATGTATACCCAACCACCGACTGCCTCGACGTGCGATGTTCAATGGTATAGGATTAGGTTGGAAGAAAGCTAGGAGCGACCACACCAAAACATGGCACAAATCCATGAAGTCACTGACAAGTGCACAGAGTGAGTCATGTTGGTAGGTGTAGACTATCTGGTTGGGGACCGCGAGATGATAGAAACCGATGGTTAGAGACCTTGAATAACATGGCTCAACATCGTTTGCAATGGTGGAGATGCATCCATTCTTTGTGTTCTCCCAAATTCTAATCACCTCAATTCTCCATGTCCTTTTCTTTTATTCTCTTTCCAAATTTATTTCACTGGATTATACTCCTTGAATAACATCCTCGAACCCCAATCTTTCAGATTACTTTTTATACTTTTACTACCTTTATCACTACGGGATTTGAATGGACAACTGCATCTCTGTGCTAATGTGGTATGGGAACTCGAACTGATATGCGTACGTACGTACTTACGTACAAAGTTCTACGTTGTGATTGACTGACAGACTGATTCATGAATATTCAGAATAAATTGTAATCAAATGAATACATAATAATTCAAAAAACAAACAAACAAACATATACATAAACTAACCTGTAATAAAATAATGAAAGCATCTAAACCATAAGTACATAACTCAATTTCTGGTGTACTGGTTTCATCATCAGCATCATTATCATCATTATTGATAGTAGCCGTAGAAGAACTACAATGATTTCCTTTGTGATGATCATCTTTATTATCTTTCTCATCAGATTTTAACTTTGTACGATTAATTATTTTTAATTTAACAATACAGCTTATTAATGCATCAATGAAACTACCAATCAATGTTGAAAATAACACTGGAAATGTAGATAATAGATAATATTTATGAAAATTAGGATTATTACAACGGTTGTTATTATTATTACTATTAGTAGTAGTAGTAGTAATGGTAGTAGTGGCAGTAGCAGTACTAGTAGCAGTAGAAGTGGTAGTAGCAGTACTAGTAGTAGTAGAAGTGGTAGTAGCAGTACTAGTAGTAGTAGAAGTGGTAGTAGCAGTAGTAGTAGTGGTAGTAGTAGTAGTAGTAGTAGTAGTAGTAGTAGTAGTAGTAGTAGTAGTAGTAGTAGTAGTAGTAGTAGCATTCTTATTAGCTGGCAATTGATCATATCTCCCATTACTGACATTTGAATTATTATTTGCATTGTTGATAATATTTTCAAATTCGACAGAGATAATAGGATGGTGATGATGACACTGATGATGAGCATGATGAATGTAAGTTGGTTCAGAGATAAATCCAGTTACATCATGCGAAGAAGATTCTAATAAACAATTAGTTTTCTATAATTGTAAGCAAAAAGAAAAAAAATAATAACGTAAAGAAATAAACTGACAATACATAAATAGATCTTTTTTAGACGGTATTGATATCAACAAAATGTAAAACTGCCTGGATTCGGTAATATGCAATATTATATCCCGACAAAATGGTTTAATGAGAATACACTAGCATCAAAACTTAAAAGCCCTACATTCGATCCTGGGTGGGATTGTACAGAGCACTGATGATGAGTACCAATTTAGGATTAAACAGTTTTTCAATGGTCTTTGTTTTTCGGCAGTAATATATGGGAGATCCGTTTCTATGATATAAAATATCATCATTAAGTAAGAAAATCTGACCGGAGTTGATGATAATTCAAATCCTAAAAAAGATTATTTATCATAGTTATCTAGAAACCTACATCAAACTTCAGAATAATTCACTTTGAAACATCAATATATACTCGAAAAAAGCCTCAAAGAAATCTATGAACACTTGCGAGAAACTTATATAATCAGAAAGAATCTCGGCAAAACTATGAGTTGTGAACGAACCAATCAGATTTACAAATAAAGATCATGAATTTGGACGTAAATTTAATTTGTCTATTTGGTTAAGTAGAATTTTGGAATTAAAGGTGATGTCAGTTCATGATGAAAACCCTAAATCTAATTCCTAAACCTAACTATCAACTGTAAACTTACTTACGATCGTTACTCCTCGTGAAGGAGCATAGACCACCCACCAGCACTCTTCATCCAACCCTGTCCTGGGCAATCCTTTCCAACTCTTTCCAGTTGTAATTCATCCTTTTCATATCTGATTCTATTTCCTGACGTAATGTTTTCTCTGGCCTTCCACTTTTCCGATTCCCTTCAGGATTCCATGTTAGGGCTTGTCTCATGATGAAGTTTGGTGATTTGCGTAATGTATGTCATATCCATTTCCATCGGCTTTTCTTAATTTCCTCTTCAGTCGGAAGCTGGTTTGTTCACTCCCACAGTAGGCAGTTGCTGATGGTATTCGGTGAATGTATGTTGAGTATTTTGCGTAGACAAATATTTATAAATAGTTGTACCTTCTTGATGATGGTTGTAGTAGTTCTAAAATTTTCAGCTCCGTACAGTAGAGGTGACTGTGTTGATGTTCGTACTGAAGATTGTGACTTTGATATTGGTTGACAGACAGTTGTTTTGAGTTTCATATGTTCTTCAATTGTAGGAATGCTGTCCGTGGTTTTCCAATCCTCGCTTTTACATGTGCATCAAATCCTCCTTGTTCATCGATGATGCTTCCTAGATACGTGAAAGATTCCACAATTTTCTCTTGTAAATAATAATCTTAATTACTCCCAGTGGTTTATAGTACTGAATTGATCATAATATGTACATGGATATTTACCAGAGCAAAACATGGCACAAATCCATGAAGTCACTGACAAGTGCACAGAATGAGTCATGTTGGTAGGTGTAGACTACCTGGTTGGGGACCGCGAGATGATAGAAACCGATGGTTAGAGACCTTGAATAACATGGCTCAACATCGTTTGCAATGGTGCAGGTGCATCCATTGTTTGTGTTCTTCCAAATTCTAATCACCTGAATCCTCCTTGTCTCTTTTTCCTCTTTCCAAATTTATTTAACTGGATTACAGTCCTTGAATAACGTCTTCAAATTGTAATCTTTCCGATTACTGCTTATACTCTTACTACCTTTACAAGTACGGGATTTGAATGGACAACTGCATCTCTGTGTTAATGTGGTATGACAACTCGAACTGATGTACGTACGTACGAAGTTCTACGTTGTTACTGACTGACTGACTGACTGACTGACTGACTGACTGACTGTAAATGGAGATTCTCATGATCTTTTTATTATCATCTCTCTTCGAAATTGTTCATAAATGATAATCTTATCAATACAAATTGATTAATACACATATATAATCCATAAATCTTACCTGAAAATATTCATTCATTATTATTATTTCATTAGAATTCATGAATGAAAATTTCTCTAATCCATGTAAAATTAAACCGAATGAACGATTTAATAATTTTTTAGAACATAAATGACGATTAGAATAATAAGTTTTAAGATCAATATCTGAATTACAATTTGTTATACATAGAAATGGTAATGTTGGTAATAATAATCCGATAGCAAATGAACGTATTCTTGATAATTGATATGGTATAATTCTATGCAATTGTGTGGTATTAGTAGTATTATTAGTAATGTTAGTAGTTGGATGATGATGATGATGATGATGTAATGTTGTTACAGGAATAGACCAATCAAAGTAAATAGATTGACTGAAATTTGTTGATAATTGTTCATATTTTTTTACCCATTTATTAGCTTCAAAATGTAACCAAACACAGTAACCGGTAAGAGCCTTTAATGAGAAGATAAAATAATTAACAGTGAACAGATACATGAATAAAATTTTTGAATTCATGAATCAATTGCAGCTAGACTATCATGGAAAATCTGGCAGTATTGGTCGGCCGTTTCGTCCTATTGTGGGACTCCTTAATAATGAGCGATTGTGCATATGCTCATTAGTGACTGGCATCAAGATGTATATTACGGAGTTCTAGTGAGAAGCAGTGAATAGTGGAGTTCAATCAGGTCTGTTGTGAGTCAGTGACTCATTGAAGACAATGGTGACGGTGGCGCAATTTCGTGGATTGGTTGAAGTTAGACATTAACATCGTTGAACGCCGGCCAGCTCAGTGGTCTAATGGTTAAGCGCTCGCGCGCAAGATTGATAGGTCCTTGGTTCGAATCTCGCGAGGCGAAATCGTGGATGAGCACTACTCAGGAGACCCATACTAGGGCAAAACAGCCGTCCAGTGCTTCCGGGTATTTTATGGTGGTCTAGCTTCCGTTGAAACATGAATTCAACTATTAAATTAATATAATATCCACGAATCCCCTCTCAGATGTATATATTTTGCATTATCTCTTATCCAAATTAGTGAACACTTCTAAATGTCATATGTGCTGTATGCATTTTGGCATGCTTGAAAACTGACAACTAAAAGGCTATTATGCACAGGAGTATGGTTAACTACTACGTACACTGATTTGAGATTAGGATCCAAAATCAATTTTAAACCGATTAGAGTTGTTCTACCTTTCTTCCCTTTCAATTAATGGGTGTCCATGAACATATGAAAACTTTTAAGCTCAAAAGGAATATGAAGATGGCATTAGTGCGATGTTAAAGCGTATGTATAGAATCAAGTGACTTCATCTTTCACTAACGGAAAGTTTGGTTGCATATAATATATCGACGATAGCTATTTAAAGCTTTCAACTCAAAGATACACTAATGAATTCTCCCCTGAGTAGACAGCATAATGTAAATAATTCAAGAACTTTCATTAGATGCTTCCAACAACTTAACATATAAACATCGTGTGAGTAAAATTGTGATCCTAAAAATAACGACCACACTGTAACTTTGTCGATATAGTTCAATCAGATTCGAAATTAATTAGTATATTTCATTCTTAAAGAAATCCAATCACAGAATAGATAACTCTGATCGTGTTCCAACCAGTTTAGCTCAATTCAGTCATAGTGATAGGTGAACCAGACTATCACTTAAAAGCAGCAGATTTGGTGGTGATAAATCAACATTTATAAATATAATGAAAATAAAATTATTCATAATCAAAGTAGATTTGTTTACAACTGGCTTTGAGCAATACTGTTCAAGCGAAATTTTTGATACCCATGCAACGGCGAGACTATAATTTATGGACGAACCAATCAGGTATAAGATAACAGGTCTTGGATTTTGGTGCGAAATTCATTCATCCATTTGGCTGAATAGATTTTTGGCATTACAACTGATGTCGATTCGTGATGAAAACCCGAAATCTAATTTCTAACCTTAACGATCAACAGCAAATCCTAATTTTAATTCCCTACACAGGTTTATAACCATCATTTGGTCTTAGTTATTAGGTGAACACTCTCAAGGTCAGTTCAGGGTCGCTCAAATCTCGTCCATAAATTATAGTCTCACTCATGCAACTTCTATAACTGATGTAGAACAAATTGAAACTTAAGTGTCACAGTTCCACAATGAATTCTCATTATTACAATATAAAATAATACAATAAATACTTACACATTCACGTTGAGATAAATATGGATGTCGTATTAAACTATAAATCAACCATAAAGGTGGTCGAATTGAAGTAGAACAATGTGATGCAATTAATGAATTACTATTAACATGATCTAATAATAAAGGATAAGTTGATTTCAATTTATATAGATTCCAATCATTTGAATGTGAAATACTTTTTGTGAAAACATGAATAAATCCTTGATGTTTATCCCCCTGCTCCTCCTCCTCGTCATCGTCGTCGACGTCGTCCTTCTCCTCCTTCTTCTTCTCTCCATCCATCTCATTATTGTTATTGAATTTGATTATATTTCGTTTCAGCTTATCTTTGAAAAAAACTTTTGATAATAATTCAATTGGAAAATGTCTATACCAAACATGATCTAAACAATGAATTAAATGTTGAGAAAATATACTATTTTGTTCAATACGTAATTGAACACAATTTAATATATATTTATTAGTAGTATAATCAGTTTCAATGAAATTATTTAATTCTTCTTGAATATGTTGTGTAGGAATAGATTCATTATCTATAATGTAATGAAAGAAAAAAAAGAAAAGAAAACTAGAATAGGATGAAAAGATTAGTAAAACAACGTCAGGACAAGAGAAGATTTTGTAGAACAATCAAAACATTTTGAGTGATCTACCATATACCTTTATGATTTTCGAAAAGAGTTCGATCCCAACTCCTACATACAGATAAAGCTATAAGAATTTATATATTTAACCCCAATTTATGTGTATAGAAGAAATTCGTGACCACCCCCTCCAATCCCTTTCATGGCCGGATATAACTTAAACGCCCTTTTTTAATAATTATTATTTTCAATAGTTGAAATCATGAATCAATTGAAGATAGAGCACAATGGAAAACCTGGAAGCACTGGATGACCGTTTCATCCTTATGTTGATAGGTCCTGGGTTCGAATTTCGTGGGGGGGCGGGATAGTGGATGTGCACTGCTGAGGAGCCCCATACTAGGACAAAACGACCGTCCAGTGCTTTCAGGTTTTGCATGGTAGTCTAGCTTCACATCCTGTATTAGCTTGCTCTTTTCGTTTGTATTCTTCATTATCTAATTATTTACACACTTCTTATTACGTAATGATTTTAATGTTATGTGGTAATCAAAACATAAAGTCAATTATTTCTATTTTGACATTTATGTGTCCCTTCAATTGATGAAAAGTCTCAAAACGGAATGATAAGTTAATTGTATTCTGAAAATCTCAATGTTCTTTTTACTATTCAACATTTAAGACCAAAGAGAATTGAATTTTTTTATGAACGAAACTAGGTTAGAAGTGTTTTTCTCAATATCTACAATTGATTGATTGATGAGTAGTTATCGGTATCATGTTAGTTGTCACGGTACCATGGAACTAAGTTTCGTGTGAGCTGGTACTCATCAGCAAGAAATCCTTGTAAACCTAAGTGAATTCATGCACTTTTCAGAACGTTAAAGCTCAACATCCAGCTTCACAGTCATAAAAGTTATCACTACGTTATTCAGATAATCACTGATTTCCTGTAGGACTAAGCTATTTACAATCGATTATACACTGAGAGTAGTGATTTGCTTAGAATTATGAAATCATTTATCAATACTATATTCTCCCCATGTTTCAAATATTATTATTTTTAGTATATTTAGCATGTAGTTAGCAATGGAGTACAAAATTTTTGTTTCATTTAAATTAGGACTCATTAGCTGAATATTCCTGCTTCCCATTACCTTTCACTCTAAACATACAATGCATCCTACATTGAGCTAATGAGTTGAAATAACCGATAAGTTATTTAACCAATCACACATAAATTTGTTACACTACCCAGTATCAAGGTAATTAACTTAGAATTCATGAATATTAATAGAGATTGGTTAACAGTTATTAAGTGATTAATAAATTATAAATGAATAATTAAAGATAAACAATCAAAACTAACTAACCTTCAGATATATGACATACATCCTTTTCTATATTTATTAGATCAACACTACTAACCGGTAAAGATGATATACTTACACCGGAATCTGAAATAACCATTGGATACTTTATAGATTCAATCATGTTCAATTGGTATCCTTCATTACTTGACAATTGTTCTTTTTGTTGATGTTGTTGTTTCGATGTAGATGATGATAATGATGACAATGATTGACAGTGATTAGATTGAATTTCTGCTGCTTTAATTTGATTATCTTCAGTATTACTTAAATTTTGTGTTTGTATTCGAGTTATATCATATGATGTAGAAGAATCAATTAAAAGTTTAGATGAATTTTTTTCAAATGAAGTTTGATTAACTTAAACAAACGAAAGAAAAGATTACAATACCAAGTTTAACATTTGAAATATATGCAGAAGTGAATATTTAGTAGAGATAATACAATCTGAAAGGATTTCGTAGAGATTTAAGTAATTTTATAATTGAATTCATGAGTCATTTGAAGCTAGACCACCATGAAAAATCTGGAAGTAATGGACAGTCGTTTCGTCCTAGTACGGGACCAGGTCTGTTGTGAGATAGTAATTCACTGATGACGATGGTGGACGGTGGCACAATTTCGTGGATTGGTTGAAGTTAAACATTAACATCGTTGGATGCCGACAAGCTCAGTGGTCTAGAGGCTAAGTGCTCGCGCGCGAGACTGATAGGTCCTGGATTCTAATCTCGTGAGGCGAAATCGTGGATGCGCACTACTGAGGAGTCCTATACTAGGACGAAACAGCCGTCCAGTGCTTCCGGGTATTCCATGGTGGTCTAGCTTCAATTGACTTATGAATTCGACCATAAAATAATACAATCTGTTAAACTAAAGTTATTCTAGTCTTTTTCAATGTTCAATAAGTTTGCAGAATTCGGTATCTTTAGATATGTTCCGTTCATTTAGTAGGTGAATACTAAATTTGGGAGTACAATTTTCACTGAAAATTTCATATATATATATATATATATATATATATATATATATATATATATATATCTGCTATGAACAAGTCAGTTTAGTGCATCTAAACACACAAAATGACACACAAAAATATACTGAACATTAAGATTGTAAGTGAAACCTCCAGTAATAATTACACTCTTTTATGCACTACTACTCATTCACAAAAAAAACAGAAAAGTGTCCAAAAGTGAAGGATACAGTACACTTAAGAAAACGATGAGAAAAGCCTGAATAATCACAATCAATTGTTCCTACCATTAACTAGAGTTCGATAGTGAATGAAAAATGTAATTGTGGTAATGACAAAATAGAATGGTGGTCGATGAAAATAATAACTAATGACTACGTACGATAGCGAATTATTATTGACACAAGCCCTTAAAGACAAGACAACTAGCAAAACGAACAGGTTCTTTTAAAACCTAATATGTTTCTTTAAGAATTATCAACTGAACAATAAATAAGTAACTAGATATTTTGTAAGTCATTTACAGCCTAATGACTATCAGGCTTGATTCGCACTCATTTCACAAGGTTTACTATTATAGAAACACTTAAATACAAGATACGGTCTGAAAATACCTAAAATCAAGATTTTTTGTTATTTTTAATCGATGAAGTAAAAATGTATGTAATGCCAACTAAGATTTTTACTATCAGTCAGTCAGTTAGCTACAACGTGGGACCAGGCACACATATACATCAGTCCAAGATGCCATATTTCATTAGCACAACAACATGAACACCGAATTCATAAAAGTAGTTAATTCAGTGGTGGTAATATATAAAAGAAAGATTGCATATAAGGATATAGTACAGGAAGAAAGAATGAGTACGTAGAAAGAAAGATATGAAGTGATTTTAATCTCTTAGTTTAAGGGAAGACATAGAGTGTATACACCTACACCATTGTGATCGATTCTGAGGTATGTCACCCACAGTCTCCAACCATTTGTTGCGGTAGTCACGCGAAACCCAACCAAGTAGTTTGCATCTATCATTATGGCTCAGTCTAGAAGTTAGTGACTTCTACTGTAATATGATTTGAATAAACTTATAAGACAATTTATTCTATCATCGGGTTAATCAACATAAATCATTCACTTGTTATTGTATTATATATACGTATTAGGCTGATCTAAAATGTAATTAAATATTTGCATTCTAATTAGAAATACAACAAATTGCATTACAGAGCTATACATTATACATTATTGATTTAATTACGTTTCTAACTACATTTATTGTATGTATTTTTCTTGTCTTAAACGGATTTGAAGTTGTTCTTTTTGTTATTTTTTTTCATAGATAATGGAACACTTAAATGAACAATCTTGATGTTTGTATTTAAATGAACTTTGTACTACATAATAAATTAAAAAGTGGTAACTTTAGTATATTAATTAATACATTCAAAATACATGTACGTGTGACTCGATTGGTAAGTGTAAGACAGTCAATCAGCTACAACATAGGACCGGGCATATATGTGCATTGATCCAAGTTACCATACCTCATTAACACAACAAGATGGACACCGGATTCATAGAAATAGTTAATTCAATAGTGGTAATATATAAAAGAAAGATTGCAATATAGTACAGGAAGAAAGAAATAGTAGGTAGAAAGATATGAAGCGATTTTAATCTCACAGTCTAAGGGACAATAGAGGGTGTATATATACACCTACGCTAACCGTTGTTGCTACCTTGACATGGTGGTCGGGCTTGCATATCGTGTTGAACCAATCGAGCTAAACGGGCTGGGACAACCGTTTCTCAAGGTTCTAAAATTACGGACAGGTCGGTTGAAGAGCGGTAAGACTAAAAGCAACAAACCAAGGTCTGAGGGCGAAGTCGTACTACTGACTGTACAGAGGTGTGACGGCAGTCAAGTTTTTTTACAGACAACCAGCATAACAGCGATGCTGCTTTACTACAAGGAGGGGTGGGATTAGGAAAGGTCGACCCTTGAAATGCACACCTCGCCTTATCCCACGGATATCCGTTTGTGGCGGTAAGGTCTCAACAAGTACGGAGCTAACCTCCAGAAGAGCCCTCCCACGGTGTGAGCAACCGGCCTCACACGTCTAACAGCACTCAAGACCACTGATGAGTGTAAAATGGAATAAAACTAGTAACTTGACTGAAAAAAAACGAAATAAACATACGTTCACATTTGCCTTCAGTACTGTTATCACTATTATCTATCACTTTATTATGATTAAATGATAAGTATTCCCAAATTTTTAAACGTTCCGTATAATTTAAACACTTTCGTGTAATTTTATGCCAAAATAAATAATCATTATCTAATGTTGATAATGATATTTGTGATGTAGACATGGATAATGGTGATGTTGATGTTGACACTTTAGTTTCTAACTCATCATTATGTATAAATAATTGATGATTAATATTACCCTTATGATCGGGATCATCATCATCGTCATCATGATCTTTATTATAATCTGACATAGTATAAAATACTTGTTCAGCTGCAGATAAATACATATTAGCATCTAAATTAATAATTAAACGACATAAATTCAATAGACATAATCGTTTTGCACAATAAAATGAATGAATATAATCAGTATTATTATTATACAATGACTGTCTATGTATTGATTCCAAGGTTGCTCCAGTTTTACTCGGCTCATTTGTCACTACGGATAATGAAAGACGATTTATCAGACAATTCATCAATGAAGTAATTGGCCACTGCTGTGTTATAAATCTCAAATGTTCATGATTCATTAATGCTCTTTGTATTGAATGATGATTATCATTTTCTAGGAACAATTCCTGTGAAAAAAATGAAGCGTAAGCAAAACGAAAGAAATTTCGAGAAATTACAAGAACAACAAACAATACATTCAATCTTGATAGGAGCGACTATGTCCATTGGGGTTTTCAGTTGATCTATGATAATTGCGGGTTCAGATCCCTACGTGAGTGTGAATTTGCCCCCAAATGCCCTGGTAAGGCAGAGAGTGGGGAAAGTTAGCCCTCTTCTCGAAGCGCTCTTACATGACCTCGTGCATACAAACACTACCAGGAAAGTCCTACTCACTGCCTTCTCGCGACGATACTGTTGTTTACGAAACTGAAAGGATGAAAAACGAATATCCGATGCATTAATGGGGTTGGTGGATACGGAGGATCTACCTAGAGGAGTAAGAAAACCCTGATTCCAAACTAATGGTGCACATGGGCTTCAGTTTCCTGAAAGAATAAATGACGTACAATGCAATCGTTGATCACTGGCTAACATGAGAATGCATCTACTAACGTTGCTCCACTACCTTGTGGATTAAACCTTTAGGTTGAAGGCTCTGGAGGTGTCTCCCTAAGTAAACCACCTACTTCGGTTTTGAGCACCCGGGCAGTATCCCAGCCCTCACATAAACCGAATGATTTATGTGATGCATACCTTTTTGGTACCTCCTTGTAACGATATTAATGTGTTTAAATAAATAAATAAAAACGACGTCTGGATATCGCTAGCACACGAACACGATAAAGTGGAAGAAAGACCAAATACTCAAGCTCAGTATATGTAGTAACAGAAACATGACATTGAGGCACACAATAAACCAATACTGAAAGTGGTAAAAACTAATCATTACAAAGCAAACATCGTTTTACAAAATTAACTGGAAAAATCCACACGACTTCCAAATTATTACCAATTTTCTAATGTATAAGTCGAATTGATCTTCATAAAACAACCACTGAACAATAGGAAGCGGAGAATATCTATTTCATCCTAGTCTATAATTCCTCAAAAATGTTCACCCATCCTTCAAGGATAGTGAAACCTTAAGGTCTCATAACTCAAATGTTTAAGAATATTATACTAAGATGAAACAACGTCTTAATTTTTTTAATGCTTGTCTTACAAACATTGATCTGAGATATAAATGACCAAATTCATCAATCTCCACAAACCATTAATAATAGTCACATTATTATATTCAAATCAAACTAACTCGAAATCCAGTCAACATTGCCATAATCAATTGCCATTTATCTAATATAGACAAATTATATAATTTGATAATGATTATAGTTGAATTTGACAATTCATTATTATTCATTAATAATTCAAATATTCCAGGTATTAAACCATAATTAAATAAAATTGATTTGTTTGTTGATTTAGAAAGATCAGTTGAATTCTGAGTACCAAATCCAAATTGTTGTTGTTGTTGTTGTTGTTTCGATGAAGGATACCAGAATGATTGTGAACCGAATAAGATAAGACAGCGTAATAAACTTGGATTGATCAATAAATGTGCAATGGATGATGTATGGTTCATAGATTTTTTACATAAAATATTTACAGGAAATGTCAATATGATTTCATTTAGTAAAACCTATAAATATAAAAAAGATTATGTGAAATCTGGGGATAAAAGATTAAAAATTAACGAAAAGAAATAATAAAATGGGAGAGGGGTGGAGATTGTAGTGATTTTAGTAGCTGAAGCCATGAGTCCATCTAAGCTAAACCATTATTGAAAACTTGGAAGCAATCAACGGCCATCTCTTCCTAGTATAGCACTCCTCAGTAGTACGCATCCACGATCATGCATGCGGGACTCAACTATTAAAGTCACTACAATCTGATATTATTCGTCATATGTTCACTAGTCACTGGCTCCGAGACACATTTCCTGAAGTTTTAATGAGAAATCGTGACCATTGGAATCCAATCCATGTCGAGTTGAGACAGGTATCTATCTCAGACAATGGATGAATAATTGTGCAAGATCATGGAGCGACTAAAGGTAGACATTACCACAGTCTCGTGCCGGATCAGTGGTCTAGAGGTTAAGTATTCGCGCACGAGGCCGAAGGTCCCGAGTTCGATACCCGCCTGGGGAATCATGAGTGCCCACTGCTTAGGAGTCCCATACAAAGACTGAACAGCCGTCCAGTGCTTCTAGGTTTTTAATGGTAGTCTAGCTAGAATCGACTCATGTATTCAGCGATTTAAAAAACACACAAATAAACTGGTTAAGTAATCAATAAAATATTAAATAATGGTGTAATAACAAAGGAATGAAAGTTTTATATCATCTGCAGAAATAGATAAATGAACATGTTAAGTTTGACATCCAACATATACCCATCTACATTGAAATACATTTAGAAGTAAAATGAACTAATTAGCTTTTTCATTTTGTTTCAACTTTTCAACGTTCAAAACTATGACAAATTAAGATTTTGCATTCTACATGAAACTAGAATAGAAATCAATGTATCAGTTACAGTTGTGAACCCTTTATCGAACATAAGTTCCCAGTAGAGATTCAGGATGGATTCTCACTAGTTAGTATATAATGATAATCTTGATATGTAATTTATGAGGTTGTAGGTGTCAGTTATAACTATGCGTAGAGACTAATACAACTGTGCGTCAATCCAAGTTGTCACGTTGTAGAGAAAGAGGAGAACTTGGTAAAATAGCAAAACCATACTCTAATACTTAATTTGCGAAATGTTCATGAATTGTCCCGAATTTCATTGTTCCTGCATTTCCATACTAATTGCTTTCTATTCCCATTCTTCTCTTCTTGATCATCTCAATCTTCTGCTGCCAGACATTATATTCCTGACCGCGTTATATGCTACTTATGCCAATATAAGTAGCACACACCATAATATCATATCAATAGTACAAAAGATGAAATTATTAAGAGGAATTTCAATCTGGAATGCAATAGTTGCCTTATATTCTATAGTTTCCAAGTTCATATCAAATCATGATAAAGATATGTTTATTTTCAAAAGTAAACTTACATGAAATCTGAGCAAATAGTATCTGAAGAAAAAAAACCCGCTGAAACTACTTACTTTCATAATTTCATATGATTTAGATGAGATCATATTAAATTCTGGATGTTTGAATAGACGAGCTAATAGACAATGTCCAAAACTTAATGGAACTGGTTTACAATTTAGCTGATTATTACAATTTTGAAATAACCATAGTTTTTTATGTCGTCTTTCCATTGAATTCTCTAAACCAGGATGTGATAATGCTGGTGCATAAAATTTTGCATACATTATACTAGAATGATGCAACATTGTAAAGAGTAATTTTAGTCCATATGAAATCAAATTAGAACTGTGTGATTGACAGACAAGCTGTATAGATAAAAGACAATTGTAGTAAATATTATAATAATAATAAGTAATGGATATTGATTATAATTAATACTTTAGAGACATTGTCCCCATTCACAACCTTATGCTCAATGGTGACTACTTTCTAAATGGATTCCTTCCTACCGACACTTCTGTTGAGAATCATGATCTTGATTATGTCAGCAAAGTCTATATTAAGGCACTACATAAACGAAGACTTTGAATATGAACAGTAAAAACCTTTAGGATTATAAAAACGTCTTTATAAAGTACGGTAATAAGTTTCATTATTATTACTATTACGGTTATACATAATTCTCTACCGTTATTTATATCTTCAGTGTAACGGTTAGCACTATAATCTCGACCTATTTGCAACTTACCCAGAGTAAACTTCACTTCTCATTCTTATGGAAATTAGTTCGATAAACACCTACCATGTTGTCTACGTCGGACTGAATAAAAAATAGCCCATCAAAGTGTACCTCAGTTTAATTTACATACAGTGTGAACTTCAACATTGAGACAGAGATACGTTTAACTGATAAGTCACAAGCAGGACTGAACAAACGTCCTTTATCCCAATACTAACCAATATACAATCGGTTCAAGTTGTAATAGGCTTAGGATCCATATATCATAAGAAAGATTGATAAAAATTTGTACCTGAATATCAACAAGGGATGGTAAATGTTTTTGATGGAGTTCTGTTCTCTGAGCTGGATGGTTTGGTTGTGGAGTTTCCATCGTTCTTCTGAATAAAATCGTCAGCACAAACTTCAGATAGAAATGAAGTGTTCGAATTTCTTCACATGTGGTTCACAGTTTGTCCTGTACAACTCAATGTGGATTGGTTCTTGTTGACCTTAAACTTGTCATTGTTTACTTCTTCGTTTTGGTTGTATCTCCCATTGGTTTGATTTTTGTTTCTATATATGTACATAATTTTTCTGAATACTTGATAAATTGGGTCGATTTTAATGTGCTTGTTGATTGTTGATGAAAGCTCCATGACCAAACCATCCAGTTCAGAGAACAAAACCCTATCAAAATCATCCACCTGAGCTACGAATCTTCTTCATCATGAAAGATGTTTGTTAAATTATTATAAAGTACTTAAAAGTGATAATAATCGATTAACCTAGAAATTTTAAAATCAGTTATATGGGTGATAAAATATATGGGAAAAATATTCCACAAAAACTTACTTCACCAATAAGGCAAATTGCCACTTCAATACCTCCATGGGGTTCAAAAACTGAATCAAAACTTTCCCGATAATAATAGTTAACATAGTGAGATATTGATTGATTGTTATCAGGTGAATATATGCTCCTTAATAACCATAATCGCTTTTTAGACGAATGAGAATAACTGATTAAATAGGAGGTATAAAGAAAAGGGAATAAAGTCATAATCACTGGTGAGATCTAAACAATTAAATGAGAAGAAAATACATAGATATAGTTACATCTAGCAAACAATCATTCAAGACAGTTGAAATAAACTCGTTAGGACCCATGTTCTTAGGGTTTTCTTTAATTTGATAAGAGTTAGAAGACCAGTTAATAGGTAGATAATAAGTAACTGGAAAGCATTCAAAGACCAGTTGAATTGTTTTCAATAGGAATAAACATATACGTATACTTTTGAAGGTGAAACAAGAAATAAAAAACAATATTATTAAAAGTGAATCTCGTAAAGATTAATTAACGAAATAACTTCAGGAACCCATCTTGAATAAATTCACAATTTTTTTGGACATAATTTATTATTGAATAAATTCCTGAAGTTTGACTAAAAACGGGCACGGTGAAGTGAAGCAGTACTCAGTGATTAAAGTGTAAGATCCTCATGCTTTATTATAGGTTGATTAAGGTTGAAAAGAAGAACTGTTGGATATGAGTCCAGTGGTTTAATGGTTGAGTGTTCGCTGTGACACCGAAATCTCAAGAGTTCAACCTCCAGTGAAGTTATAGATGAGCACTAGGGCGAACAATTTGTTCAGTGCTTCTAATTTTCAGTGATATCTCAACTGAGATCAATCATTTAAGAGTACTTAAAATGAGAAAATTTCCATATACTACCAACATTTTACCAATTTTTGACTAAACATGACTCCAGGTGTAAAGTCCTTAAAATAGTGATATATACTGGTTGAACTAAATCTTGTAATCACTAACATTCATTAACTCCCCACCTGGAGCCCCTCTGGGGCTACTACCGGTCCTAAGCCCGGATAAAGGAGGAGGGTTGGACATGGGGTTAGCGACCCCATATCGTAAAAAACTAACTCGTTAAAAAAGCGCTAACCAGAAAAAAATTATTCAAACCATTTAAACTCTGCCATGGGAGTCAGAATGTCTTCATTTAGAAGAGTTATGGCAAATCATGTTGAAAGCCGAGTTCCTTCGGAAGCCACGAGGCTGATGCCCCTTCTGAGCAACTACTTATTTAGGTACATTAACAAAGTATAGAAGTATTATACAGGAAACATATTCTCTCTTTATATTTGGAAAGTCCAATAAAGAGGAATGTTTCTTTGGAATTGAATAATGCCCGGAAGTACCTCATCGATTCGCTTACAAAATATTATTTTTAAAAAAAGTGGAAATTGATCGGTTCAAAAGTGTCAAGTAATACCTACACTGTTATAACTTGGTAACCGGTTTTAAAGATAATTTGATGGGTGCAATGTTTAAAAGTTACGCAATTACTGTTATCAATAGTAATAATAATAATACTTATGATAATGAGTGTAGTATCAGTTACTATGTTCAGCCCACACAGCTTATTCTAGCCTTCGGAGTCACGTTTTGACCTTGTTAATTATTCACTTATGAACCTTGACTGTTTTTATATGGGCGTATGTTTGTGTACACTTCTTATCCTGTTCATCACATGTTTGTAACCTATTTTTATCTGACTATAGATATTGATAATCGTTTGACTAAACGGAGTCGGCTTACATGCCTTCTCCACTACGCGTCTCTCTTCTATTCCCTTCGTCTCTCTGATTGCCTGCCCAGAACAATGAGTGTACAAGGTATATGTATTCGAAAATTCATTCTCGTATTTGACTTATTTTAATTCCGTTATTCAATAACTCGATAAATTAAGCCGATAGTTATATACGAGGATAGCCAGGATGTATATTTTGACAATAATCGATCATACGATTTAATTGGAGTCAGTTCCCGGGCCACTAAAATGGTGAGGCCAACGACAATATCGTCTGATCTACTTGACGACAAAAAGAAGACCTCCACTAAAATAAAAACAATAATAGTATCCAACAAATTATAACTTACTCAATTTGTATTGTATTTTCATCAAATGATTTGTAATGTTGGCTAACATTGGAATTTACCAAGTATATGTCATGCATGTTATCGTTGTTCACTTCCGTTGTTAACGATTCATTATATTCAGCTCTATGGAATGATATTAGCGATTTTGGTAAAATGAATTGTACACAAGTTAGATTATGACTCAACAAAACGATGAATAAATGCTCCTTTAAATAAAAAAGAAAAAGAAGGCAAAAGGAAATGAATAAAAAGAATAAGGAATAAAACACTCTAATAGTTGAGATCATGAATCAATTGAAGCTAGACTACAATGGAAAACCTGGAAGCACTTGACGGCTGTCTCGTCCTAGTATGGGACTCCTCAGCAGTGCACATCCACGATACCGCCTCGCGAGAATTGAACCCAGAATCTATCGTTCTCGCGTGCGAACGCTTAACCTCTAGACCACTGAGCTGGCCAGCATCCAATGGTGTTAATGTCTAACTTCAACCAACCCACTAAACAGAGTGATACATCCACCATTGTCTTCAATGTGTTACTATCTCACAACAGACCCAGTTGAACTCCACTAGTCACTGTTTCTCACTAGAACTCCAGAAAATACCTCTTGAAGCCAATCACTTTTGAACATATGTTGATTAACATCAAACGGGGTTTTCGTGGATATTTATTAATGAAAATGATGAAACTAAACTAGACTGATAACGTCGGATAAGCCATTCGAATTTCAATAGTTCCGTGTTGAACATCTTTTGAATTTCTGATAAGTGAAATGAAACCAGATAGATAGGTAATATATTCACTAGTTATTGAGAAGAGCATATGTGATGAATAGTGTTTGTTAACAGATGGGCGCCATAGATAGTCACCACAAAAATACAAATCTTTAGAAATAAAATACCAATGAAACAAATTCAGTAACAATAAGTAGTTCAGTGCCCCCAAATGCTTTGGTACGGCTGAGAGTAAAGAGAGTCAGCTCACCCTCTCGAAATGTTCTCACGTGGCCACGTGCATACAACCACTAACAGGGAAGTCCTACTTAATGCCTTCTCGAGGTATTACTGTTGCTTACGAAATTAAAAGGACGAAAAGTGAATGTCCGGCGCTTTAATCCGGTTGGTGGATACGGAGGGTCCACCTAGGGGAGTTGGAAAACTCTCATTCCAAACGAATGATGCACATGGGCTCCAGTATCCTGAAGGAACAAATGGCATATAAATATAATGTTGGTCACCGGCTAACATGGGACTGCATCTCCCTACGTTGCTCCACCACCTTGTGGATAAGATTTTTTGGTCGAATGCTCCGGAAGTAACCCATTAAGAAAACCACCTGCTTCGGTTTTGGGCACCTGGGCAATATCCTAGCCCTCACATAAATTGAAAGATTCATTTGGCGCATAAATGTTCAGTGCCTTCTTGTACCAATGTTTATGTGTTTAAATAAATAAACAATAGCTAGTAATTTAAATAATAATCATTACTATTATTAGTATTGATATTAGTGGCTTTATTTAGTATCATATATATATGTTCGCACACTTATGCAGGTTGGACAACAGATAGGGCTGGCTATATCTTTGGAAAGTCTTAATATCGACGTTTGTTATCTATCCGAGACCGGTATTCAAGACTCTGATGAAGTACTACAAATTCGCTCTTCACCTGTCGCTTCGAAAAGCTTGTTTTACGTGCGTTTATCCGGGGGCATCTTCATCTGGTCTTGCTGGCGTTGGTGTCGCACTAAGCGCTAGAGCTGAGGCAGCACTAGTCGATTGGATCCCCATTAACAGTCGGTTATGTGCTGTTAGATTTGAAAGTTCCATCAAAGTGAGAAGAAATCGGCGTGAGAAACGATGTCTTTTCGTCATCTCCGCCTATGCCCCAACAGATTGCAGCCCGGATGCAATCAAGGATGAGTTTTACCACCAATTATATGTTCTTCTCCAGAAAGTGCGTTCGACAGATATTGTAGTACTAGCCGGAGACTTTAATGCTCAGGTCGGGCGTCTAAGCACAGAAGAGAGTCGTTTAGGTGGCCGATGGGGACTCGTTGGTCGCAGGTCAGATAACGGGGACCGTCTACTGCAACTTTGCACAGACCACAACCTGTTTCTGGCTAGCACTAACTTTCGGCACAGTCATCGCCGATGTGCCACCTGGCGTCCTCCCTCTGCATCCCAAACCTGGACTCAGATTGATCACATCGCGATCAGCTACCGCTGGCGTGGTTGTGTACAAGACTGCCGCTCCTTTTGGAGTACCTATCTGGACTCTGACCATGTTTTGGTCTGCGCCAATCTTGCCTTACTTTTCAGTGGACAACGAAGTGACCGCCACCAACGGATTGGTGTTAGCAAGCTGGATGCAACTTATGTTGCAAGTAGGTATCGAAACGAGCTAGCTTCTAGGCTAGCTACCATTATACCGAAAAGTATAGATGAGCATTGGTTGCAATTGCATGACGCCATGAAAATGGCGTGTACAGTCAGTTGTGGGTTTGCGAAACGTCCCGCTTTTAAGCACTGGGTTTCTTTAGGCTCCTTACAACATTCTGCTAACTGACTTTAACACTCTTGACAACTCGTAAAAATGTCTTCTCAAAAAGTCTTGAAACAAAAATGATGAGGAACAGTAAAGAGAATAATAAGCATGAGTTTAAAATAGGATAAAATGGATATTCTGAATGGTTTAGTCAAAATCTGAAAACAGTTTAGAAAATTTGAAGAAATAACTTACTGAACAGTATGTTTTTAAGAATCTTAACCAAAATTCTGAATGGATTAAAGAATGAGCTCTTATTAATAATTGACTGATATAATCATAGTCATGATGATAAGGATGATAATGATTACTTTTCAATGTTGAATCCTTTAATGCATATCTACGTATAAATGCATGAAGTATACAATCAGCTGAATTTCGATAGTATGCACTTGATTCAATTGAATCAAAATAGCCATTGAATAATGGACCTAAAAGGCTAAGTGATAAAGCGACTGCTTTAATTGAATTGTTAAAATAATTTTCATTTTGATTATCTGACTGTTGTGACATTTGTTCATGATGTTGTTTTGAAGATTTCTTTTTGCATTTGAAGACATAATCAGATGATGATGAAAGTTTTTGCACACTAGAAGGTAAACCTAGGAGGAAAAGAAAAACAAGAAATAGAATCCAGATTATGTAGAACAGAATAAGTGATTTTCAGTATTGATGACATACAAAAATTCTGGAGAGAATGACGATTCTAACAAAAAGGAACAAACAAATATTTATCAGTATGGAGTTGTGGAGAAGGTTGGATTTCATAGAAGCCATGAACTGGTCCAAGTTAAACTACCGCTTAATACGTGGAAGAACTATACGGCCGTTTCGCCATAGTATAAAACGCTTTAGCAGAATCCGTGACCAGTGGAGTTATACTGGATCGAGTGTGAGGCAGTTACCCATCGAAGACAATGGAAAATGATCGCATAATATTGTGGATTGATTGAACTTAGATACTAACATTGTTGCTTTCCAGTTCAGTGGTCTAGAAGCTAAGCATTTACACACGAGACCAAAAATACTGGGTTCAATTCCTCGGTGTGATGTCATGTTTGCGCATTCTTGAGGAGTCCCACATTGGGACAAAAAATAGTCTTCCAATGCCTCCATATTTTCAATGGGAAAGAAATAGTTATTCGATAAGCTTGTTTACTGTTAAGTAAACAAACACTATTGATTCAGAAAGTTTAACCTTTAAAATAAATGATGCACGATGTTTTGTGAGTAGGTTGGCTTACGATAGCCAGAATAAATATCTTTGACTAAGATATTGTGTACTACAAATTTTTTTTCCGATAAGAAACCACTCTTCGAGCAGGAAATGACAAATGTAAAACAAGATTTAACACAGTAGTATCCAAACAGCATTACTAATTGGATTATTTGATTCAATCTCATAGACATTCCCTTTTTAATTGAACAACTCAACTGTAGTGTTAAAGGAAACACCTTTCGGTGATTTTATTTTATAGTAATCTAGAGACCATAAAGCTGGATATTAAAAATTCCCAAAACCAAATGATCTGAACACTGGAAACAGTGTTGTTATTATTTAGTATAGTGATCAATAATGTCTGTTACTCAAACACTTGGGGCTGAATTTCTAACCAACTCTTAGCACATTGAAATCTACTGTGCCAGATCCAGGGGTAAAATTAAAGAAGAACGTAAGTATGACAAGATTAGCAATCGATGATAGTTTGAATAAAGATAATTGCAGGTTCGTTGGTGACCATGATATTCTAGAGGTTTTTGAAAATATGTTAACATTGATAACTAAATCGGTAATTACTCAATCAGGATATGATAATTACCACTGAAACAATGGTGTATGGAGGACAGCTGGCAGATGTATTCCAAGTTAGGATCGGAGCTAAAATAGGTTGTTTATTCTCCCCCTTCCTCTTTCTTTTGGTGGTTGACTGGATTATGAAGACCCTGACATCTGAGGGGGACCAATTAGAAAATTCGGACACCGCAGATGATCTGGCCATCCTATCCCTTACACACAAACAAATGCAGAGGAAGACAACTAGTGTAGCAGCAGCCTCTGCATCAGTAGGCCTCAGTATACACATAGGTAGAAGCAAGATCCTCAAATACAACACGGCGAACACCAACACAATCACACTTGATGGCGAAACTCTGCAAGATGTAGGATCTTTCACGTACCTGTGTGGTAGCATCATCGATGAAGAAGGAGGATCGGATGCAAACGTAAAGGCGAGGACTAGCAAAGCAAGGGCCACATTCCTACAGTTGAAGAACATATGAAACTCAAAATAACTGTCTGTCAATCAATATCAAAGTCACAATCTTCAATACGAACATCAACTCAGTCAGTACTCTTGTACGGAGCTGAAACTTCGAGAACTACTACAACCATCATCAAGAAGGTACAAGTATTTATATATAGTTGTCTACGCAAAATACTCAACATACATTCACCGGATACCATCAGCAACAGTCTATTGTGGGAGAGAATAAATCACCACCAGTTGAAGAGGAAATTAGGAAAAGACGATGAAAGTGGATAGGACATAAATTACGACAATCACCGAACTGCATTATGAGACAACCCATAACATGGAATTCTGAAGGGAATCGGAAAAGAGGAAGGCCAGAGAAAACATTAAGTCAGGAAATAGAAGCAGACATGAAAAAGATGAATAACAACTGGAAAGAGCTGGAAAGGATTGCCAGGATAGGGTTGGATGAAGAGTGCTGGTGGGTGGTCTATGCTCCTCCAAGAGGAGTAACAGGCGTAAGTAATATGATAATTAATCCATCGTTTTTTTAATTCTCTGAAAGGTTACTACTGAACACTGATTCGATAAAATATTTTTTCAGGTCCAGAAGACTTTAAGAGAAAATCTCGAAGATTCTAGACAATTGCAATACAAAAAGAAACAGATCAACGTTTGCAAATATATTAATATAATTAATTTGTTTCTATCTAGGAAACAATAGATTGACTTTAAAAATAAGCTTACCAGTAAACAAAAGTAAATTCCCTAAATCAAAAGTATTTCTTCTACATTCTAAAGAAGAGTATACATCAATTACATGACCAAAACGCAACACAGGAGGCATAAACTGATGTTGACAGTTTATATGTGAATCGGCAAACTCTTTGTTAATCAATATTAGATCGCCGATAGATTCAAACCAACCATTGATTACAAGTGACACCTTAATTAATAGTAGATAAATGAAAAGAATTAATCCACAAATTATCATAAATATAAAAACTTAAGAATAAATCTGTGAAGACAGTTCACGGGTAAACTTGAAAAAACCGTAAGAAGCTCAGAAAGAGCCGAAGATATTCCATTCAATCACCTTTTGGAAGAATATTTCAGAATTCCTATGTGTAGCTTCCCTGTTGGACAAATTGCTAATAACCCCCTATATGCGGATTGGAGGACTGTAATGATTATTTCGTTTTTTACTAAAAACTATAAATACCTGACAGTTTTGTTCCACAATTGACACTATTTAGAGTAGTATTCCTTTAACTTGTCTTCTGTCTTCTCGTTTACGACTTGGATGGTTCTAGCGTTTGAATGCTCAAGTTGTACGTGGTATATTAAGAATCTAAGCTCTACATATAACAAAACCTCAATTAAATCAAAGAAGACCATCAAAATTTTTGCGATGACTACTTTTCAGAACTTGATTCGTTAAATAATGGGTCACATAAATCACCTGATTTGCTCAAGAATCTTCAGAAAATGTTTATGAAAATGATTATCTCTAAATCTAAACGGCATTATCACTGTGACTATTTAAGGAATGACAGATCATGTTGTGGAGCTTGAATATAGATCACCGATATTCAGTCTGTGAACTGAATGACAAGATTCTAAACTCCAAAATGAGCATAAGTTCAATCAAGGATCTACGTACATTTTGCTCATCAGTGGTGACTAACACGAAATTTAGAGCTAGGGTTTCGTACAGATTATCCCCAATTATCTAAAATATATGGAAATTTCTACCCAAGTGTCATTGACAATCAATAACTAAAATCACCCACTTCAATCATAGCAATATCTATTCTCCGAAAATTATACTTGACAACTGAATTATTGATGAGCCCCTCTGGGTCTACCACCGGTCCTAAGCCCGGATAAAGAAGAGGAGTTGAACATGAGGTTAGCAACCCCATACCGCAGAAAACTAACTCGCTAAAAAAACGCTAACCAGAACAAACAATAATAATAACCATTTAAACTCTGCCCTGGGAGTTGGAAGGTTTTCATCTAAAAGAGTTATAACGCCTTATGGTGAGAATCGATTTCCTTTGGAAGTCACAAGATTGATTTTCCATCTGGCAATCAGAGCAACCATTAATTTAGATACATGGAATACTCGTACAATGTGACTCCTTTTAAAAGTTTAGAAAGAAAAGAAACAAAAAAAAAGCAAAAACTAATTTAACATACTTTTGCATTGAAATAATTTATCCATTCAATATATAAAAATAAATGATTCCATTCATCATAAATATTACATTCTTTAGGAAAATCTAAGCATAAATCACTAAGCAATACAATTTCATTTGTATTCCCCTTCAATGATATAGATGTTTCATTATAGTCTAATGTTGTATTCTCTTTATTGATTGACATTTCAACAATACGAATATATATACATGAATAAATAGATGATATCCATATCTGTTAATGTAAATGAAATGAAAAAAACATTAATAACTGTTATATCCCAATGAGAATAATGAATGGTAACTTTGAGGATCCATTTATGGACCACTAGTAAACGTATATTTTTATCGTATAATTGTTAAATAACTAAACTATACATATTCATGTCCCTCTTATCATATGCTTTATTTTGACTTTTGAACTATTATTATACGATTAACCATTCTTCAGTTATACCCAAGTCTATCAATTACTACCTCCCACATTCACAGCCACATTTGGCTAAATCTTGTACAAATGTTGTTTCCTATTTTATGGTACGATGTGGTCTGTCTGGTCGGTATATAAACCCAGTACATGATTAATACCGCAGAGGCTGAGATTGGTGTTCTGTACTTAACAGGCTGGGCTAGGCTGGGAGCAAAACCAATAAGGATTCTAGACTGCTCGTACGGGTTTTTATGCGTCATTGGTTTGATCGATAATTCACTGCAATCTAATTGGCGATATCATTACGTTATACATTAACAGGGCACACAGGTCACAAGTTATAACAATGACATATACAAGTTACAAATTTAGATCATGTAAAGTATTTAACCTGATTACTCAATCAAATAACCAATAAATAAACATAGTCAATAAGAACTGATATAACACAACAAACAAAAACAAGTCGATTAGATTTGAATATCTAATTTCCTACTGTTATTCAAAGCGCTTACTGGTAAGCGTCATTGATGAACACAGTGAATCTGATACAGATGTGAAGGCAAAGCAAGAGCAGCCTATTTACAACTGAAAAACATCTGGAACTCAAAACAACTGTCTGTCAAACAACACCAAACTCAGAATTTTCAATACAAATGTCAACACAGTTCTACTATATGGGGTGGAAACCAGAAGAACTACGAAAGCAATCATTCAGAAAATACAAGTGTTTATTAATAGTTGTCTATGCAAAATACTTCGGACCCATCAGCCAGAAACTATCAGCAACAACCTACTGTGGGAGAGAGCAAACCAGATCCCAGTGGAGAAAGAAATCAGGAAGAAGTGCTGGAAGTCGATAGGACACATATTGAGGAAAGCATCTAACTGCGTTACAAAACAAACCCTCACATGTAATTTTTAAGGCCAAAAGAAAAGAGGAAGACCAAAAAACACAATACACCGAGAGATGGAGACAGACATGAGAAGAATGAACATTAATTGGATAGAACTAGAAAGGAAGGCTCAGGACAGAGTGGGTTGAAGAATGCTGGTCAGCGGCCTATGCTTCACTGGGGGTAACAGGCTTAAGTAAGTAGGCAATTGAAAGCGCTACTGAAACTAAAAGGTTCGATGACAAATATTGAATTGAGATCATCAATTGGTCAATGCTAGGCTACTATTAAAAACTTGGGAGACCAATGACCAACTTCGAGACGTAATTCTCGGAGTTTGAGTGAGAAGACGCGACTAGTGGAGCTAATATGTGTCAAGTGTGAGGCAGTTACCCATTGAAGACAATCGAAAATAGTCGCACAGTATCGTAGATTGGTTGAAGTTAGACATTAGCACCGAGGGATGACCGTTCAGTGGTTTAGAGGTTAAGCATTCGTACGTGAAACTGAAGGTCCTGTGTTGGAATCCCTCGTGCAGGATCGTGGATGTGCATTGTTGGAGATTCCCATACAAGGACGAAATGGCTACCCAGCACTTCCAGGTTTTTAATGGTCGTTTAACATTGATTAATTCATTATGTCAATCAAAAGATCTGTCTTAGTTTAAAATCATACACTAGTGTACACCTTAAAACTCAGAATGACAGTGGTTCAATAAGCTCCAGATGTTGTGGAGTAAAAATGATCAAATTAGACCAGTTGGTAGGTGGAATTTCAATGACTTACATTTCAAAATTAAAGAAATTTATGTTGAGTCCAGCCACTAGTAAAAAACAAGATCATTATTTATTTTAACAGTATGTATGACTTTTTTCAGACATCTTTTACCCCGACGATGGATATTAGCTGTAAGACATGTCAGAAACCTTGGAACATAAATCTCCAAAAGCCCACATAAACGAACAAAAACATATTTGTCTAACATAGCAACACAATGATTTGTCATAAAAACAAAGAGAATTAGCCATCAACAAGAAATTATCAAAACAACGTAAATCGTAAAAACAGTCAGCTTAAAATGACAGTTTTTGAAGGAGTCTGTAGTTGTTATTGCTAGAAACTGTAAGGCATATGTACATCGAAAAAGCAACCTAAACTTCCACAACGTTTGCCCTGCTGTCAGTAAGGGGTTGTAGAGACCGTTGAATTCCATTGAAATCATGAAGCGATCTAAGTTAGACCATCATTAACGACCTAAAAGTACTGGACAGACATTTCGTCCTAGTATGGGACCAAATTAATGTGTACCAAAAAATTCACACACACGAATCGAAACCAGAACTTTTGGTTTCGCGCAAGCATGACTGACGTTCTGTCATAGGACCAGACAGTTGTGTATACCGGTAAAGTTCGATGAAAACTGTAATAAATAATTGTCTGAAAGAAAATTCGATACCCTAGAACAAACATAAATAAAAGTAATATTGAATAACGAAGTATGACGGAAGAATACAAGTCAATTCGTCAGTCGTAAGATAGGGCATGACAAGTAAGCACATCGTTCCAAGTGGGATGAGATTGTCAAGCCAATTCCATGATTAGTAAAAGTAGTAACAGAATCAGTAGTAACTGAAAAGATGGAATGTCAAAGATACGATTCGGGAAGAAAACATAGTTTGGCGAAATAAAAACAAGAATACGTTATAAAGAATTTAAAAGCTCAGAATTAGAAGAAAGATAAAAAACGAATACCCCTGTGCCATTGCAAACGATTCCCAGCCACATAATTCAAATTCTCTAACCTCTAGTTACGATGATCACGCGAAGCCCAACCAGGTAGTCTACATCTATTAACATAACTCGGTCCAAATGTCAATGACTTCATGGACTCATACTATGTATTGATACAGACGCTCTTAGCATTATTCCAGCCTTCTCCTACACCAGACATCAACCGTTGAGATAGGCGGCGGTCCGGAATACGTAATAGGTATCCTAACCACCTCAGTTGGTGAAGACTTACTACATATTCGAAAGATTTACCAATCTTACCTAGTAACCCATTTCTAAACCAGACATTGTTTACCCGGTAGTCCCAAAACACAGGATCAATGAATCCAAGACACCTATGGTCGAATACTAGTAAACCACGAATATTCTCTCCGAGCAAGGACAGCATTCTTACAGTTGAAGAACACACGGAACTCAAAACAACTGTCTGCATGCCAACGTCAAAGTCAGAATCTTCAATTCGAAGGTTAAGACAGTTCTGTTGTACACATCTAAAATTTCAAGAACTACCACAACCATCGTCGAAAAAGTACAAGTATTTATAAAACACTTGTCAACGGACCAAAGAACACATTGAGTCAGTAATCGGAACCATCCATTTTGATTATCTGTTTAGACAGTAGAACAGATGTATTTTTGGCAGTATTACTATTTTTATTTCAACTGTTTCTTGTCATGATACTAACATCCTTATAACATACTTTCTCCCAATCTCTTTACTTTTATATTCACAACAATGTTCTAGTCTCAGATCAGATCAAAATTTTTGTATTACAATGATGCAGTGGCAGATGTCCAAACATTATTCCTTTATTTATTTATTTGTTTATTTAAACACATAAACAATGGTACAAGAAGGCACCAAATAGATATGCGCCACATAAATCATTCGATTTGTGTGAGGGCTAGGATACTGCTCGGGTGCCCAAAACCGAAGCAGGTGGTTTTCTTAGGGGGTCAAACCCAGAATCGTTGGCCTAAAGGTCTAATCCATGAGGCAGTGGAGCAACGTTAGGAGATGCAGTCCCATGGAAGACGGTGACCAACGATTTGTTTGTACGCCATTTGTTCCTTCAGCATACTGGAGCCCACATCATATCACAATGTGCAAACTTCTTATAACCGTGCGAAATAAAACCCTCATCTATACAATCTGATCAACAGATTTCGTTCAGTAAAATCTACCCTTAAGTTACGTAATGTAAGTTATATCACAGCTAGAAATTACAAAAAATCAATATACCTAATTACAATCAAAACAAGTTGAAATAATTCTGAAATATTAACCATGTGTTTTCTATTTAAATAGAAACACATAAAAACCTGTGTATATCAGGTTACTATTTAAGTATCAAGGCAATCGAAATGTAAAACACTTTTGTACAAAATACTATACAACTTGACTAAACAACAACAATTCAATTACGGTGTGTGTGTGTGTGTGTGTGAAGTAGTCAGTTAACAGTAGCAATGGATAATTGTTGGGTGATACTGCATGTAAGACATTAAATGACGGTTCAGTAGTTTAAAGATTCGACATTCATAGTGAGATCAGATGGTCCTAAGTTCGATTTCCTATAGGATTGTGAATGTGTATTGTTGAAGAAGAGTATTATAGTAAGATGAAATCGCTAGCCACTGTTTACCGGTTTTGAATAGTTTTCTAATTAAGGTGGAAATGAAGAAATTCAATCCACTCAATAAACTAACTACAGTAACAAGAAAAGTGTCTGTGTCACATGAAAATATTCCATGCATTAGCAAAGGATCAGTAAGAAGCATCAACTTTCTTTGAAAGTCTTGCTGTTCTTGAGATATTAATATATCGAACTCATTGTACACAAAGCTTATCGAAGCAATACTTGCTGTAAGTATTTATCGTTCAGTAATAGAATTGTATTTAAGAACAACAATTGTATCAATCAATCAATAAGGACCAATAAATATAACAATGAACCAGAATAACGTCATTCAAAGAAATGCTTGTAGGTGGCTTCTCGGCTCACTAATTATATTTTGATATAAATTTAAGAGTATGCTTTCCTTGAATAATTCGTTAAGTAATCAATATTGATTAAAGGAATTATATGCTCATATCTAAATCCCTACAGCTGAACTCAGACCAGACTTATTTTCCTTCAGGAGGGAGTGGTGATACAATCAGTTATTCAGATATTGACCGAATGTTAAGCTGACGCAATTGGACAAGATTTGACTTCTTGTTCTACGGCTAGGGCTTATCAGACTTCAAAGATAAGTGAAGTCGTCGACGTGTTCGACTAATCCACTCTTTATCCTTAGCTTAAGTGCTGACATAGCCCAGTCCTGAAGCAACAATTTGTATTTAGAAGAGAAGGAACGCATCCCAAACATCCTGGCATTGTTGCTCAGTGCCATCAAAAGACTCTGCAAGAAAACTAAATTCCCATTTAGTACGTCAGTAACCGTATTGAACAATTTCTTTAACAGCTATGGCAATTCGGTTCTTACAGATTCTAGTACAATATTTTTTTATAAAAATCAGTAAAGTGAAATTATTAACACGAAAACTGTATACTCATACTTGAAGTGAGAGGTGACTACGATTAGTTGAACAAGGTGGTAATGTGTTTGTGGTATTTATCGATGATTGATATCCAGATTGATTATTGTGACATAAGGATGAAGATAGTATATCCAAACTGATGAAATGTTGTAACTGATTTAATTGTACAAATTGAAATAGATCCACTTCAGATAATTGATTGAACTTAGGTTTAACCTTCTAACAAATAATCATAATAGTAAATATGATTATTATTATTATTATAACAAAGTTAAATATACACTTTAATAATAATAATGATATATATATATATATATATATATATATATATATATATATATATATATATATATAATGTCATTCTATTGACTTTCATCTTTGCCTTTCTTCCTGTCTGTGCTTCAGTACGTGAAGATCGGATGATATAAGTGAGAATATCACAGAGGAGTATCGCTTCCTTTGAAATTTTAAATACATTTTGTTGATGAGTGTCGACTAGTGAAAAACCTATGCCCAGAGCATCTATTTGACTATCATTCAGTTAGTCTGTCAAAATTAATGTAGAACCTAAGTTATCATAAAATATTGGCACAAAGAGATAAATATATAAAGATGAAAACCAGAGTACTAAGCATTGTAGTAATATCAGTGGTAGTAAAAAGATTCAGGTACAAAGAATATGATTTGAGTTAGTCAGTCAGTCAGTGATCTACAACGTAGGATCAGGCACATATGTGCATCGGTCCAAGTTGCCATATTTTATTAGCACAACAACATGAACACTGAATTCATAGCAGTAGTTAATTCAATGGTGGTAATATATAAAAGAAAGATTGCATATAAGGATATAATACGCAAGGAAAGAATTAGTTGGTAGAATGAAAGATATGAAGCGAATTTTGATCTCATAGTTTAAGGTAAGACAGAGTGATATGATTCGAGAGGTAAAATGAATTCATCGCACAAGAAGAAATTTCAGATTCAGGATCTGAGAGAAAAGAGTTAATGTATCTGCGTCAATATAACTGAGTCAAAGAGACGTTACCCAACAACTCCAACCATTAGTCATGACAATGGCACGAACCCCAACCAGGTACTCAGAATCAATCTATATGGTTCAGATCATAAGTCAACAACTTAATGCACTGGCCGTAAATTTTAGTTTAACCGCTCTGTCGGTTGTTGTAAACACAATTGAAAGCTTGAAATGATTCAAAAATACAATAGATCCTACTCAATAGTATACTTGAACTGTACTGCGTATAAGAAAATCAAAGCTTTTTACGTAGACAGGGACATACAGTGTAATTCTGAAAGCGAAAATCCAGCATATTTAATTATAAGAGCTTGTATTTTCTAATCTCGATATTCAAAAATAGATTGATCAGTCATTATAAGTTCATTATGTTCCTTTGAACATATAATTTAGTAATAAATGGATTAACATATCAAGAAATTAGGCGTAGTGACTATAGTAACTAAGATGTTAAACTGGTGATCAGTGGTTTCTACTCCTAATGTGAACAAAAACACCATGATTAGTAGATATATCTGCTATGTTTGAAGAGATTACGAGATCAATGAGAAATCGGCGAACGGAACGAAGGATCAGCAACACAACGACAAGATGGCGTCCCAGCCACGCTAACTAGACAGAGAAGTCCAGGTTCAGAAGGGGGGAAATGTATTTCACAATCAGACAAAAGCACGAACAACAAGAAGCATAACTCAAGCATATATATACAGCATAAAATGTTCTTGGGAAACGTCACAATATAGCATATTATAAAAAGGAGTGAACCAATGATATTTAAGATCCTGCCAAGTGGGAAATACAATATAAAGGTGAAAATGGGCACTTTTAGCGCGAAAGTGAGAAATTCAAATCTACAAAATAAAATTACAAAAATAAGACGTTTGTTAAGTAATCTTTCGGGATTTACCATCCTAAACAATCTCCAATCCCAAATATATTAAATCTCATATATTGGATTCAGCTGTCAACTATCAGCCAATACAAATATGATCAATAAACCCAGTAAAATAATTTCAATGATAGAAATTTTAAAAAATTACAATGTTGTCGAAAAAAATTGTATCAGAAGGGGTTTTTGTGAATATTATAGTAATTTCAATAGTTCAGATTATGGATCAATTGAAGCTGGACCACCATGGAAAAGCTGGAAGCATTGTACGGCAATTTCGTCCTAGTATGGGACTCCTCAGCAGTGCACATCCACGATCCCGCCTCGCGAGATTCAAAACCAGGACCAACCGGTCTCACGTGCAAACGCTTAACCACTAGATCACTGAGCCGGCCAGCATTCAACAGTGTTAATGTCTAACTTCAACCAATCCACAAAATGGAACTGCACGTCCATCATTGTCTTCAGTGAGTTACTATCTCACAACAGACCCGGTTGAACTCCACTGGTCACTGCTTCTCATTAGAACTTCAGGAAATACCTTTTGAAACCAGTCACTACTGAGCATATGCTGATTAGTATCCGAATGGGTTTTTTCTTGTGGTAATTATAGCAATTTCAACAGCTGAAATCATAAGTCTTCGTTTAAATTTTAAACAACATTTATTCATATAGATAACTTGGTAGTTTAGAATCTCCTCTATACAACACTGAACCAATTATCATTCATATTTTAAAAAAAAAGAGAGAATAAAACGATTTAACTGGGGAAATACAAAAGGCTTACCATATTATTTAACTGTTTTCCATGTAAACAAAACCAAGTCGACAATCCTAAACTATGATTATCAATAGTATAATTAAACGAAGTAGACAAAGATGATTGATTACTCTGGTGATTAATAATGGTTGATAATGGATAAATATAATTTAATAGTTTTTGATATAGAATTTGGTGATTATCAATTTCATTTTGATTATCTTCAAATGCCAATGCATAAGAATAATGATGAGAGCACATATTAGTACATTGTAGAATAGGATAATGTAGCTGTCCATGTTGATAATATAAGAGATGAGTGTTTAATAATTTTGGCCAAATGGTATATATGGTTGGCATGAGAACATTATTTGTTTGAATCCAATCAATCAGTAAATTGAACATTTGACATGTAACCTTAAAAAGAGAGAGAAAATGAAAAAGAAAGTAAAACTGCCCCCAAATGCCCTGGTATGGCCGAGAGTGAGGAGAGTCCGCTCTCCCTCTCGAAATACTCTCACATGGCCACGCGTATATAGCCTCTGCTAGGGAAGTCCTACTCATTGCCTTCTCGTGGCGCGGGTGTTGTTTACGAAATCGAGAGGACGAAAAGTGAATGTCTGGCGCTTTAACCGGATTCCAAACCAATGCTCCACATGGGCTCCAGTATCCTGCGGGAACAAATGGCGTATGAACCAATTGTCGGTCACCGGCTACCATGAGACTGCATCTCCTTACGATACTCCACTGCCTTGTGGACCAGACCTTCAGGTCGAAGGCTCGAGGAGTGGCCCCCTAAGAAAATCACCTGCTTTGGTTTGGGCACCTGGGCAGTATCACAATCCTCCCACATATCGAGTGAGATTTGTGTAGCGCATATGTATTTGGTGCCTTCTTGTACCAGTATCTATGTGTTAAAATAATAATAATAATGACGTAACTACAGAACTTTATAAAGCATGCTAGTGAAGAGGAACTTTATAAGAATTTGATATAACAATCGAAAATTTAACTTATAAATGATAAATTATGTTATTTTCATACTTAATCTACTTATTTACAACTGTTTTTCCTTGTGGAGCTTGGCTGCTAATCAGGATTCTTCAACTAACTCTGTCCTTGGCTCACTTTTCAAGTTGTTTCCATGCCCCATTTATCCTTTTAATGTCTGCTTACAATGGACAGGACAATGTGTTATTTGGTCTTCCTCTTTTTCTTTTCCTTTCGGGATTTCATGTTACGGCCTGCTTTGTGGTGCACTTCAGTGATTTCCGCGATATACACAATTCACCTCCATCTTCTTTCCATATTTTCCTCTTCACCTGGAAGTTTGTTGGTTTTCTGAATACAGTAGATTGTTGCCGATATCCGAGAAAAGGAACTAGAGTATCTTGCGTAGACAACCTTTTATAAATACTTGTACTCTTTTGATGATGGTTGTAGTAGCTTTGCAAGTCTTAGCTCCACCTGAAGCCCTTATGGAATAACTGCTGATCACAAGCCCGGATAAATGTAGAGGAGTTAGGCGGGAGGTTAGCGACCCAATCTTGTAGAGAAGGACTTTTCTAAAGAACGCTAGCTTGAATCACTTGGGTAAACAATTAAATGTTTAATTGGTTTGCGGAGATTGTTACAGTCTATAGTTTGTTTCACAAACTAATCCTATTTAGACAATTCGTAATAAAGGTTCTTCATACTACGACGAAACAGCATCAGCATAGTGTACACTTACACTATGGATATGGTATTGTCTACCAACTAGTATGTTCATACAATGAATTCTCAACAAATATGCAAGTTAGTCACATCATGAACAAATATCTCTTAGACAACATATTACGAACCTTGAATCTGACTGGCGAACATTCGAATTCTCGATAAAATATAAAACCCACGAGTAAAGCTGCAGATTCTTCCTAGTAACGCACATCAGTAAACATAAACTTTATTTGTAATGTTACGTCTACCGATATGAAATAACTTAAATTGATATTCATATTGTAAATATCTGTTTTGTAGATTTTATCAATTCTCTAGAAAAAGTTGAACACGTCATCGATCGTTGATTCATGAAAAATTATCGCAAATTGTAGCTTGTACTTATCACAAGTTGATCTCAGATGAGTTGTTCCTGAAAACCAAGTAGCACTGGGCAGCCGTTTCGTCTTAATACTCAATAATGCACAACCACGAACCCATAAGCGATTGAATTCACAATATCCAGATCTTGCAGCGAATGTTTAACCATTAGAGTAGCTTAGTTTAGACCCAATGTTATAAATCCAACTTCAATCATTTCGAGATATAGCGCAATGATTATCCAATCCCTACTGCAATCAAATCATCGCAATACGTAAGTAATAAATTGACATCGAAATATGAAAAATGACAGTTGAACAACAACAGTTAATTAATTAAAACCCTCTACTTACGTATGGATATATACTATTGATTGCATGAAGCGTAGCAGGCTTCGTATCCTGTTCTGTAAGGTCATCATCATGATGAGTAGTAATGCGTTGGTATTTATGGTTATTACCTTTGTTAAGACTGTTACTGCCTTCAGTATTTTGTATTTGTCTTAAATCTTTCAATATCAGCTGCATAAAGTGTTTTACAGATTTCACACTTAATACACCAAGTGGTTGTGAATAGTCTGTACAAAATTGAATTGGTCGAATATATTGTGGTATCATGAAACATCGTAATAAATCTAAACAGCTTAGTCGAATAACTAGATATATATGTGCGTAGGTGTATAGAGATGAAGTATGGAATATAGAGAAAAAAACAGAGAAGAAAAAAGAGGTTAAAACTGCGCACAGAACAATATGTACACAACAGAGATAAGTAAGAAACTTATAATACGAACAATTGTAAAATACCAATATAAGGATTTGTAAGGATTGTTGAATTTCATCACGTGCTCAGTGGTAACTAATTTCGAGAGAATTCTAGAATTTTCACTGATTGAAATCATGAGTCAATTGAAGCTAGACCATCATGGAAAACCTGGATGCACTGGACGGTCGTTTCATCCTAGTATGGGACTACTCAGCAGTGTGCATCCACGATACTGCACCCCGCGAGATACGAACCGAAGACCTATCATTCCCGCGCCAGGTGCTTAACCAACTAGACCACTGAGCCGGCATCCAACGGTGTTAATGTCTAACTTCAACCAATCCACGAGACTGATAGGACCTGGGTTCGAATCTCGCGGGCTGTGGGATCATGAATGCGCACTGCTGGGGGGTTCCATTCTAGGGTGAAACGGCCGTCCGGTGCATCCAGGTTTTTCATGATGGTCTAGCTTCAATTGACTCATGATTTCAATCAATGAAATTTCAGAAATCTCGACAAAACCCCTTCTGATAATTCTAGAATCGTAATGAGATGTTGTGGTTGGTGGAGCTAAATCACGTTGGATAGGAAACAGTTACCGGTACAAGAAAAATAGAAGATGGTTGAGCAATGTCGCGAGTTAATTGAAACCAGACATGTACATCACTGAACTCTGACTCAACATACTAGAGGTTAAACGCATTTTGAGAGAACCGAAAGGTTAACAGTTCGATCTGAAGTGTGATATGAATGCGCGCTGCTAAGAATTCTCACACTAATACAAAACAGAAGTTCAATGCTCCCTGATTTTATATGGATATCTAACAGAGTTTGATTCATGATATTGATAAAATTGTAAACCAGTCAAGGCTCAAAAATATTTTCAAAAAGGCAGATCTGTACACTCAAACTCATAGTAATATTAAATACATAGTTTGTTCATGGAATACATGAACAAAGACTGAAAATCAAATTTATGATAACATGGGACAAACATCTAGGATATTCATGAAATGCTAAACACTATTATATGAATAAAACACAATGAATGTATTTCAGTTTGGATCATAACGAGTAAGAGAACTATGTAAAATGATATATTTTCTGCAAATTCGTCAGTGATATTTCACATTTATTTATATAAACACATGAATATTGATACAAGAAGGAACCAAATAGAGAGGTGCAAACATAAATCATTCGATTTGCATTACGGCTGAGATACTACCTGGGTGCCCAAACCGAAGCATGCGGTTTTCTTAGGGGGCCACACCCGGAGCCTTCGACCTGAAGGTCTGATCCACAAGGCAGTGGAGCAACGTAAGGAAATGCAGTCACATGATACCCGTTGACCAAAGATTGGTTCATACGCCATTTGTTCCCTCAGAATTCTGGCGTCCATGTAAACCAATGGTTTGGAATCAGGGTTTTCCAACTCCCCTAGGTGAACTCTCCGTGTCCACTAAGCTGGTTAGAGCGCCGGACATTCACTTTTCATCCTCTCAATTTCGTAAACAACAGTAATGTTTCGAGAAGGCAGTGAGTAGGACTTCCCTGTCAGTGGTTGTATGCACGTGGATATGTGAGAGCATTTGGAGAGGGAGAGCTAACTCCCCCCCCCACTCTCGGCCTTACCAATGCATTTGGGGGCCCTAATTGAAACTATTTATGTAAAGGTTAGTAATACTATCCTGTTGCCCACAATCAATTAGGTGAAATACATTTTGAAGCAAAGAAACATTTGTGATTGAAACACGTGTCACTTAATTGGTAAATTATCACGGTACAATATTATCAAATGAGATATATGATCTTTCTAAAAACAAATTGTCATCTTTCATCATAAATGTGATTCATTATCTGTGAGGACGGCTCATGGATGAACTCGAGGAAGCTCTAAGAAGTTCAGAACGAGTCGAAGATATTGAGAAGTCATTTTGTTTTCAATAGTTACTTCTAATTACATAAATATACGATAAAAGATAAACGTTTTCATTAGAAACCTAACTTCATTTAATTAAGTTAAATGTAAATGTTACATAAGTTAACTTACTTGAACACTTTGATAAATTAGTCATTAATTTTAAAATCTCCTCAGTTAAATGATTTATATTAATCTGAAAAGATACAAAAACAAACGAACTATTCTATTAGTGATAGAAATTAGTTCCGTTAGTCAGTCAGATACAACGAAGGATCAGGCATATATATGCACCAGTCCAAGATGGCATACTTCATAAGCACAACAAGATGAACAACGAATTCATAGAAGTAGTTAATTCAGTGGTGGTAATATATAAAAGAAACATTGCATATAAGGATATAGTACAGGAAGAAAGAATTAGCTCGTAGAAAGAAAGATATGAAGCGATTTTAATATCATAGTTTAAGGGAAGACAGAGAGTGTATACACCGACACCACTGTGATCGATTCTGAGGTATTTCACCCGGAGTCTCCAACTAACTAGAAATTAGTTCAAGTAGAAATCAACATTTTATGTCATTCATAGAAATGTATTCACTACAGATTTGGCGAAACTATAATTTATCACGTATAGAACAACAGGTCTCGGATTTTGGCGCTAAATTCATTCATCCATTTGGGTAAATAGAGCTTTGGCATTATAACTGTTGTCAGTTCGTGATGAAAACCCGAAATCTAATTCCAAAGTAAAATCATCAACTGTAAATTATAATTATAATTCCTCACACAGGTTCATAACCCTTATTTAGTCCTGGTTATTAATTGGACACTCTTAAGGTCAGTCTAGCGTCGCTCAAAGGTCGTCCATAAATTATAGTCTCACCACAGATTTTAAATCATCCTGCTACTACATAGTCAAAATAACCTTATTGTGTGATGTGCGCTACTTATGAGGAACGATATAATTAGTATATAGAAGGAATCGGAGGTGAAATGAATACCGGCAAAAGATTCAAATAAAAAGAAGAGGAAGGAAAACAGAATAACAATAGAATTGGAAGAATGATCAAGTGTGTAAGGGACAACTCAAAGAGAGTGTGCAAATAATGTATTCTTATATTTTGCAAAAACATTTCGTGCTTTAACCTACAATAAATAGTTGGTTTGCCGTATCTAAGTTTTCGGCCAGTACAGTTAGACAATTCATTCATAGTAGCTAGGTGGATAACGCAATGGCGTTTGAGGTGAACGATACTGCGTTCGAGGCCCAAAGTAAACATTAACTCTAGGTTACAGGTACATATAGCTAATGAGTCCTGAATGGGACGAAACACACATCCTAGATTCCACTGCTAGCCACTATCCATCTTTGCTTATAATCCTTTTGACTTAAACCAATATCTAAACAATTCGCACCTGATGAGCATATGCGCGCTAATAAGAGACTGTGCAATTGCAGTCCTAAACATCAAATGGGAAGATTCAAACAAACAATACAAAAATGAACTGATTCATTATATTGTTGAGTAAGTCAGCACGAACCATATAAACCACTTTTCACCATAATTTTAGGCCATCAAAAAATGTATTTAAAGTGTTACATTCACAGGCTAGGTGACATCTTACGATATTCTTGAGGCACTTTAAAATATGACGTACTAAGATTAGCTACTATTATACCTTTTGTCGATTCCTGTGTTATCGGTATAATTTGATTTCTATAACATATTTCCACAGTTCATTATTAACGTAGAAGACAATGTTACACAACTCGAAACAACAGTACGCTTTCTATATTCTCATTTTAAAAAATCCTGAAAAAAAAGATGACATCACTTAGAGTTTATGAGATCAATGAGTTATACAATATACCCTTGTAATTTTAAATCGGTTTTCAGGAGAACCAGACACCACCCGAACTTTCACGTAACAAACCAAACAATACAGCTTAATCCCATTTAACAAGAGAGTCAGACACTGCCCAGGCTTAAAATTTATAGCCCAAATAGTACGGTTCAATCCCGTTTCCAAGAGAACCAGACTGAAACTTTATAACCCGAGCAGTACATCTCAATCCCACTTCACAAGAGAACCAGAAACTATGTAGACTTTAACGCTACGATCTGAATAATACATCTCAATCCTGTGGCGAAACCACACAAGTACCAAGCACCCTAATGGATCTAACAGTACTTACTTGTAAATATTTATCCTCCATTGAATGTGGTCCATGTATATCTGATTTAAATATACTAAAATAATGAGCAATAATAATTGATAGACAATTTGACCATAATTGATTTTCACATTTAATTGAAGCATTTACATTATTCATAATAGATAATGATAATTTAGTATGTAGACAACAATTGAATAATGATAGATTATGTAATGTTAATCGAATAAATAATCTTGTTGAAAACACTAATAGTCGTACTGATTGTGGATTATACTTGTATATTGTATCCTTTTGATTTGTATCATTTGATTGATCTATTCTCAATAAAGATAAAAAAAGAGAATTTTCTAGATTAAAAGAATAATGATATACTGATAAAGATAAAGTAATAGAAAGTATTGAACTAGAAGATAACTGATTATATAGGGTATACAGGGAGAGAGAACAAGATAAACACTTTAAATTCACATCAGTTAGGATCACCGGGTAGGTAATAGTGAGCTTAGAAGCAGAGTATTAGGGAATGATAGAAAATAAGTTGATGAAGTTGTGAAACTTTATCGACTGAGATGAATGGGCTACGTGTTACGTATGCCTGAACACCGATTACTACGACGCTCAAAGCTGACTAGTGTTGGGAATGGTTGGAAGAAAGTTAGGAACAGCCAAACCAAAGCGTGGCATCACTCCTCAAAGTCACTAACTTCTAGTCTGAGCCATGTTGATATATACAGACTACTTGGTTGGGGTCCGCGTGACTATCGTAACCAATGGCTGGAGACTCTTGGTGGCATGGCTTAGAATCGGTCGCAATGGTATAGGTGTATACACTCTCTATCTTCCCTTAAACTATGAGGTTAAAATCGCTCCATATCTTTCTTTCTACGAACTAATTCTTTCTTCCTGTACTATATCCTTATATGCAATGTTTCTTTTATATATTACTACCATTGAATTAACTACTTCTATGAATTCGGTGTTCATGTTGTTGTGCTAATGAAGTATGGCAACTTGGACCGATGCATGTATGTGCTTGATCCCAGGTTTAAGCTGACTGACTGATGTAGTTAACAAAAAGTATAATTTGAATGGTTTCATTGAAATGTTCCTAACAGAGCTAGTGTAGATGTGTGATTCGCAGAAATAACTTTGAGACCTAGATTGTTTAACTACGAGGTGGTATATATACCTCAAAAATTACATTTACTTAATTAGGTAACAATATCCATAAGCGAGGGATATACTTCGAATCAACCAGCTATTCCGAACTTTTGCAAGGCAGTTAGGAGACTTTACCTACACTCATTCATCGTTGATTTTAGCAACCCCGTAAAAGACTGTATGGATAGTGAATCGTTAAAAACAGTCGTGTTTTACACTAGTAAAACCCAGTTTCTCAGAAATAATTTTGACTGTGGAGAAATATTTCGGTCATCCATGCCCACAAACAATTCAGTATAGTCGGTAGCAGAGCTTTCTAAGTAATACTGAGATATGGAGGACTGTAGTTGGACACAAGAGAGGTGATGTGAGAGCTAACGCTACTACTGGAGTACCCCAAGACAAATGCGTAGAAAGGAATCCAAATCGGTGATTTAATAGCTAAAGGAAAATTCATTAACTATGAAACCATTGCTTTACTCACTCTCGAGAATAAAAATTTTCGCTCAATGACATAATATGCATAAACGTGTACTCATGTATTCGATTTATCAACTCGTGAAAAAGAGGTTATTCAACCATATAGTTTGGGGTCGATCAAAATTGAATATTAGGATAAATGGCGATAAAAATAGCTACGAAAACAACCAATTATAAACATGCCCACTAGAACAAATTGGTATAAAACTCAAGGAATAACTAAGAAGCTCACTTCTACATGAAGTAAGCGCTAATGTTAATGTCCTGAACTACAATAAAAACTCTCCTACTGAATGATATAACTCAGGGAAGTCAACAACACCAACATAAATCTATTAATTAGTTGAAGCTAGTCGACAGGAGGCCTTCTTCTTGAGTATCTCAATGGTAACATTTCAGACTAAAAAGCTGAGCGACATGAGATTAAATCCTTCAGGAAGTACTAATTCCCTCAAGGTTATGAGTACAACTTGCCCACGTGTATCACATAGCAACCAACCTAGGTCTACGAATTTCTATCGATTAGATTCAACCACCTAAAATTTTAGTATAGTCCATGCAGTATCGAGTTCCTCGAACTAGTGGCCACGTTACACGTCAATTAATAGAAATTGATTAGTATTGACAGGTGACTTACCAAAATATTGATTATCCGTACAAGTATTTGATGTTTTATTTATCGATTCCTCAGAAGTTAATGATGAAGAAGATCGGGATCTTTCGTCGAACATTTTATTAGATAATGTTATCTTATCATTATTGGTAGCAGTAGTAGTAGTAATAGTAGTACTGTTGTTTATAAAAGAATTTTCATGAAAGGTATACTGAATAAAATGTACAAGGAACTCATAAAAATTATTAAAACCATATGTTCTAATAAATTGCACTTGTGTAAAAGCATCTTCTAGTATAGTGAATAACTGATCGATTGAATTGTTATACTTATTATGATTATCACTATGTGAATCACCATTATTCAATAATGGCTGAAATGTAAAAAAAAGAAAGAGAGGGAGGGAGGGAGTGAGGGAGAAAATAGTAGGCAACTATCAAAACTTAATTATTACTATGAAAAGAAACATAAATGGTGTTTGTATGTAAATTTATATTAATTGTAGAAATCAAGAATATACTGTTGTTTTTTATTATCATAATATCAAGTGTATATTATTAACTGTCACTCAAGCTAATATTCCATCCGCTAACAGTTATGTGATTTTATTGATGAGACCCAGAAAATTCCTTAGGAAAAAAAAAGTCAAAATGGGCCCTTTAGACAGTGAGGAACATCTTATTTCATCAGTATTCAATAGAAGTTTTACATATTAGGGCAGGATCATTGATGAACACAGTGGATCTGATACAGATGTGAAGGCAAAGCAAGAGCAGTCTATTTACAACTGAAAAACATCTGGAACTCAAAACAACTGTGTCAAACAACACCAACGTCGGATTTTTAATACAAACGTCAGAACACTTTTATTGTATGGGGCGGAAAACTGGAGAACTACGAAAGCCATCATCCAGATAATACAAGTGTTTATTAATAGTTGTCTATGCAAAATACGTCGGACCCATCAGCCAGGAACTATCAGCAACAACCTACTGTGGGAGAGAACAAACCAAATCCTAACCGAGGAAGAAGCGCTGAAAGTGGATAGAACACACATTGAGGAAAGCACCCAACTGAGTCACAAGACAATCCCTCACATAGAACCCTGAAGGCCAAAGGAGGAGAGGAAGACCAAAGGACAAATTACGCCGAGAAATGGAGAAAGATATGAGAAGAATGGACATTAATTGGATAGAACTAGAAAGGAAGACCCAAGACAGAGTGGGTTGGAGAATACTGGTCAGTGGTGTATGCTCTATTGGGGGTAACAGGAGTAATTCAGTAAGTAAAGTAAGTAATTCAATAGTAGTTCACCAGAAACATCTAGGAAGCGAAAAGTCAAGTGATACATTTCTAATTGGATGATTACCTATCCTACTACTATGTTTAGTAGCGTTCAAGAACTTTCCAGAAACCTAGGGTTATCTACTAAACCGTTATAATTACCCTTGATTTCCTGTACAAAAACGAACCTTGGAGTAAAGTAATATTTCTCTATTCTTCGCCTTTTCTCTCATGTTCAAGTTACCGTGTGGGCTTAACCTGAGGGTTACTAGAAGAGCTTACGAAACCGAATTAAGCGTTCAATTAGAAGATTTATCACTTACGCCAAACTTTAGTTAGATTGTATCATTTACATAATTAATGCAAAGATGTATGTAAAATAGTTGATTTAAATTATGAAACTATTAAGTGAATATAGTTTGATAGGCCTATCATAATGATTTTTATTGTGTTTTCCATGTCTTTGGGTCCTTTTTTCTTTTCAGTTATAGATGATTGTAAGAACCAAGCAACGAAACTGGAATCTTCATTCATTACACCATACCATTAAAAGCGTTATGTCATAGTTATCTCATTAAGCAAATGCTGTTTTTCAACTATTGCGTTGTATGTACATTTATCATTCCGAAACGCTCATTACATAGTAACTACATCATTCCTGTAGTGCACTTACGCTCTCGTTATACGGCTTATACAAGAAAACAATGTACTTGCAAAGGTGACGTCTATTATGGTGTATGTTTCAATAATAGTCAGTCAGTCAGTAACAACGTAGAACTTCGTACGTTCGTGCATCAGTTCGGGTTGCCACACCACATTAGCACAGAGATGTCGTTGTCGATACAAATCCCATTGCGGTAGAGGTAGTAAAAGTATAAGTAGTAATAAGAAACATTAGGGTTTGAAGATGTTATTCAAGGACTGTAGTCCAGTTAAATAAATTTGAAAAAAGAAAAAATAAGAGACATGAAGAATTCAGAAGATTAGGATTTGGGAGAACACAAAGAGTGCATGCACCTGCTCCATTGCAAACGACTTTGAGCCATGTCATTCAAGGTCTCTAACCATCGGTTGCTATCATTTCGCGGATCCCAACCAAGTAGTAATATACTCTATAATGTTACTACCTATGGGTACGAAATATTATGCTTCATACTATTATAACCCATATGACGAATTGGCAAACAAAACAATATATAAATCATGTTTTCTCAAATGATGTAATCTCATATTTTCTTACATATTACAGTCTTTTTTGTGTCTACTCGATCATCCTTGTGAACTAAAGTGTACTCGGTAAGGATTTTCAAAAGATAAATTATTACAACCGAACTCAATAAAATGATAATCCTATACATTTTATTTTATGACTACAGATTTAATGTCACCTAGATGGTTGGAAGAAAGTTAGGGGCCGCCAAACCAAAGCGTGGCATCAGTGCTTGAAGTCACTAACTTCTAGTCTTAGCCTTGTTGGTATATACAGACTACTTGGTTGGGGTCCGCGTCACTATGGTAACGAATGGTTGGAGACTGAATGACATGAATCACAATTGATTGATCACTGGGTGGTGATCAATGTCATGCTTATCTAGTCCTTATTAGTGCAGATCGAATGCTATCGATCATGTTGCAATGTGGCCACCAGTCTAGGTGACTCGACACTGCGGGCACTATGTATTGAGATTTAGATGGTGGTTGGAGGTAGTCAACAGGAAACCCTGAACCCGGGTTTCGTGCTACTTGGCACTCGTCAGCAAGGTGTACCTATCCGAGCCTTGACTAACCTCCTGTAGGACTGAGATGTAATCACAATTGATTGATCACTGGGTGGTGATCAATGTCATGCTTGTCTAGTCCTTATTGATCACCACCCAGTGATCAATCAATTGTGATTACATCTCAGTTCTACAGGAGGTTAGTCACGGCTCGGATAGCTCAGTGGTAACGTCTCTGACTGTGAAGCTGGGTGACACGAGATCGAATCCGCCAGGGAGCACCAGTTCCCTCAAGATTACAGGTACACCTTGCTGACGAGTGCCAAGTAGCACGAAACCCGGGTCCAGGGTTTCCTGTTGACTACCTCCAACCATCATCTAAATAACTGAATGACATGGCTGAGAATCGATCACAATGGTGTAGGTGTATACCCTCTCTATCTTTCCTTAAAATCTGAGATTAAAAATACTTTATATCTTTCTTTCTTTCTTTTATACATTACCACCATTGAATTAACTACTTCTATGAATTAGGTGTTCATCTTGTTGTGGTAATGAAGCATGGCAATTTGGACCGATGCACATATGTCCCTGGTCCTACGTTGTAGCTGACTGACAAGATATTCAATCAATATAATGGAACTCATTTATTGAATATCGATTTGTACATTAAAATTTGAATTAAGCTGCTTGTATAGGGATTCATGAAACTACCTATTTAGCTAAACTTTAGAAAACAAAACAGGATTCAAATACGTAACCAACTGAATACTTTAAATACTAAGATGCCACTTTCAGAAATAATATAGATGTTTTGTGAACCAGTGAACATTGTTAATGTTAACAAAACAATTGAATATTGGTAAGGGTTTTATGGATATTATTAGTAATTTCAATAGTTTAGAACATGAATCAATTGAATCTAGCCCACCATTAGAAAACCTAGAAGAACTGAACGGTCGTATCGTCCTAGTATGGGACTCCTTAACAGTGTTCATTCACTTTGAATATTGAATAAAAATTCCATTGGCAATGAATGATAAATAAAGAACTAGTAAAGAAAGAAAAACATTGTACAATATTCAAATAACATACCGCTATATTTGGTATCATTTCAAGTAAAACAATCATTGGCGGTAAAATTAAAGAACTTAATTGATTGACATTTCGCAAATCAACTACATCAGTAATTGGATCCTTGTAGTTTTCATTTATATAAAACTTTACTTGTATAACTTTACTTATAAATGAAATACCAAGTTCAGTAAAAGATTTTTTCGAATGTTTATTTGAATTCTGAACATTGATTAATGAATGATGAAATAAATTCTGATTTAAATGAATGATCATTGGTGGATTTGACCAATTTGAATGAGAGATTAATATAAGATAAGCTAATAATTGCCAAATTGATATGATTTCTTCAATAGTCTATGAAAATAGGAGAAAAGATGTATTATTATTTATTTATTTATTTAAATAATTTCAATGGTTAGGATCATGAGTCGGTTGAAGCTAGACCACCATGGAAAACTTTGAAGAACTGGACGGCCGTTTCGCACTATTGCGAGACTCCTCAGCAGTGCGCGGTAGGTCCTGGGTTCGAATCTCGCAGGGGGAGAGGTCGTGGATGCACACTGCTAAGGAGTCCCACAATAGGACGAAACGGCCCTCCAGTGCTTCCAAGTTTTCCATAGTGGTCTAGCTTCAAATGACTCATGATCATAACCACTGAAATTACTATAATATCCACAAAACCCATTTGTTATTTAAATACATAAACATTCGTACAACGAGATAACAAATAGATAGGTGCAAACATAAATTATTCGGTTTGTGTGAGTGCTGGGATACAGACCAGGTGCCCAAATCAAAGCAGGTGGTTTTTTAGGTGGGCCATACCCGGAGCCTTCGACCTAAAGGTCTAATCCACAAGACAGTGGAGTAATGTAAGGAGATGCAGTCACATGGAAGCCGGTGACCAACAATTGGTTCATACGCCATTTGTTCCTTTAGGATACTGGTACTCATGTGCACCATTGGTTTCGAATCAGGGTTTTCCAACTTCTCTAGGTGAATCCTCCGTGTTCACTATTAATGTCATAAGCATAAGCGTTATTCGTGGAAATGGTAGTTTCCATAGTTAAAATAACGAACTGATCACAGCTAGAACGTCATTGAAATTTATTTTATTTTTACTTATTTGAACATACAAATAGGGGTACAATGGAGAACCGAATACATATGCGCCACACAAGTCACTTGATTTGTGTGTGGGTTGTGTTACTGCGCGGGTGCCCAGACCGAAGCGGGTGGTTTTTTAGGGGGCCACACCCGAAGCCTTCGATCTAAAGGTCTGATCAACAAGGCAGTGGATTAACGTTAGGAGATGCAGTCCCACGGTAGACAGTGACCAACGATTGGTTCATACACCATTTTTTCCCTCAGGACACGGGAGCCCATGTGCACCGTTGGTTACAAATCAGGATTCCCCGTCTCCCCTAAGTGGACTCTCCGTGTCCACCAACCCGGTTAGAGCACCGGATATTCGCTGTTTATCTCCACAATTTCGTAAACAATAGTAATGCCAAGAAAAGGCAGTGAGTAAAACTTCCCTGTCAGTGGTTGTATGCACGTGGTCATGTGACAGCATTTGGAGAGGAATAACTGATACTCCCTACCCTCGGCCGTACCAAGGCATTATACGAGCGTCTCGTCCTATTATGGGACTCATTAGCAGTGCATATCTACGGCTCTACTACAGAGGGTTTGAACCAAAAACTTTGGTTTCGAGCACGAATGAACAATAGTTAGACCACAGAGCCGATATCCAATGAAGTGCATATCTAATTATAGCCAACATTTGATGTTCTACTACTATCTTCCATTATTTGCAGTGGATAACTGTCTCACACTCAACATGTTTGCACTTCTCTGTTCACCGCTTCTCACTACAGTTACAGAGATTGCATCTTGAAGCTGGTCACTAGTGTGCAGATGATTATTATCAGTACATTTGGATATAAAGAGGCAGTGTTCTGGTTAATATCAGTTCTCGATTCAAACCGCTATTACTATGAAAGCTATTAAAAATATCCAAGCAGTTGAGGTAACTCTGTTTTATTGTAACAACTTACTTAACAAAAAGTATAATACAATCAATTCAATCGTCAAAATTTAAAGATAATGACGAGATTGATGTTGATAACACACGGATATACACGGAATTATAACAAACGTTTTACCTTTGAATTCGATATGTGTAGTAACTTTTCTGATTCATTTAAAATATCAAAAAATAAGCTGGCTGTGGAATACATCAAACGACTTTGTAATAGTTCGTATTCTTGTATTAACGATAATTGAATGTGATCACTGGAGACTGTTGAAGGACGATTCAACTGGACAGTTAAAATATTATTAACTAAACATCTATAATAAGAATAAGAATAATAAGAAGAAGAAAGCTGAACAGTCAACAAAATTTATTTATTTATCACCAAAGAATTGAAATACAAGTAAACTTCTGTTAGCTTAGGTAATGCTGAAGTTATAAAATACTGTCAAGCACAAAAATTGAGCTCTGTAATCACACTTTTGGGTCGTTAAGACAACAACTAACCAAGTTTTCGTTTTAACTATTTGAAGAAGGAATACCGATTCCCTAAAGACTGCAAATGCACATTCATGACGAGTGCCAACTAGTATGTAACAAATCCAATGTTTCCCGTCGATTATGTCTAACTACTTAATCAAACTCAGACCAGATGTCACATGTCAACTTGATTGATAGAATTTGACCAGATTCGACAAATACGATAATAATAACTACTAGGTGATTATACAGTGCAAATTCATAGTATGACCTTAATGCAATATCTCATTTGTTACTATGTCGTCAAGTTAATATAAATATTTTCCCTAACTGAATACATGAATATTATTAAGATTAACAGTGTTTTCATCACCACCTACCTACTTCAATAAATAATTATAAACTAGAAAGTTAATTATCCTCATTAAATTATTTGAATAATTACTAATAAACAATCCAATGGGAAGAAATTATGCTTGAATAAATATAGACGAATGGTAATCAAACCATATTGCAAATTAAAAGTTCATCGGACAAGTAATAGGATAACACTAAGCTAGGTGGGTGAGATTATAATTTATGGACGAGCTTTGAACGACACCAAAGTGACGTCGATAACATTCACCTACTAACAACGACTATATAAGAGTTGTAAAACAGTGTGAAGAATTAGAATTATGATTTGCAGTTGATGTTTAGGGTTAGAAAATAGATTTAGGATTTTCATTACGAACTGACATATGCTAAAATGCTAAAACGCTAAAAATCCAAGACCTACTACCCCAAATCTGATTGGTTCGTTCATAAATTATAGTGTCGCCACTCATTCGTTACAGTAAAATTTTGTCATCAGCACTATGTGAATAGTAAAAAACTCACCACTCTACATTCCACGTAATATGTTAAATTACTAATTGACTATGAAAGAGTAATTTGAATACTCAAACAAATTACAAGTTAATTAACATTCATTTCCACTCCTGATTGTTCACTTTTTATACGAAAAGTTATTTATAACTAGTACTATTTTGTATAATAATAACAAATTCAATCATCTATAGATATTTATATATTGAGTAAGTCTATGGTTTCGCCTTCGGTAATAAATTCTATAGTTAAGTTCATGAGTCACTTAATGCTAGACCACCATGAAAAACCTAAAAGTACTGGATGACCATTCCGTCCTAGTTTGGGACTCCTCCTTAGCAGTGGGTATCCACGATCCTACTCGCAGGATTCGGACCCAATGCCTGTCTGTCTCACCGGCGAACGCTTAACCTCTAGACTACTGAGCCATCATCCAACGATATCAATATCTAACTTCAACCAATCCACGAAATTGCGCCACCATCCAGTACTTCCAGGTTTTCCATGACGGTCTAGCATTAACTAACTCATGAACCCAACTATAAAATTACTAAAATCTCCACAAAACCACTCAATCTGATAATAAATTCTAATTCAATTAGTAAATTCATTAAAATTGAATTATTTGAATATTTTGATGTCACATACTTTGTTCAAATTATTCATTGAGTTTAGTAATTATAAGAACATTCGTAAAGGAACTGATTTTCCATGGATTCATTACTCTTAAACACTAACAATAGATATACCTGATTAAAATAAGCCATTCTCGATTAGACAATATGATATACCTTTTTTATATAACAATTTCAAGTTTTATTGCTAAATGATAAAAAAGAAAAGAAATTTGCTGAAAAAGCTCGTAACTTAAGGCTACATTGAGGTAATCCGCATAGGATGCATATATGACAACAAGAGACTGATCAATTGTAGTCCTAAATAACAATAGGAAGATACAAATAAAACAATATCAAGTGAATTTAAACTTTACCCAATTGTACAAACAAGTGACTATCAGGACTTAGTAGCTAAGTGGATAACGCGAACGGAACTGAGTTTGAATCCCAGAGTGAATATCAAAACTCTGAGATTCATGTATATCCAGCTGACAAGATCCAAATAGAACGAAACGCACGTCCTGGATTTCATTACTACCCACTATCCCCATCTTTGCTTAAAAAAGCTTATGATTTATGGCAAATATCGAAGCAATCCACACAGGATACACATATACCAATAAGAGACTACTCAACAATAGGAAGATACAAGTAAAACAACAATACCAAGTGAATTTAATACTAAACCATAAAGAATATTATTTATTTATTTTAACACATAGATATTGGTACAAAGAGGCACCAAATACATATTTCTCGACCGTTGTTGCTACCTTGACGTGGTGGTCGGGCTTGCCTATCGTGATAAAGCGACCGAGCTTTACTGGCTGGAACAACCGTTCCTCAAGGTCCTACCATGTCAGACAGGTCGGTTGAAGAGCGGTAAGACTAAAAGCAACAAACCCAAGGTCCGAAGGCGAAGTCGTACTGCTGACTGTACAGAGGTGTGATGGCAATAAGATGCTTCCTTCAGACAACCAGCATAACAGTGATGCTGCCTTCCCACGAGGAGGGGTGGGGTTAGAAAATGTCGACCCTAAAAATGCACACCTCGCCTTATCCCACGGATATCCGTTTGTGGCGGTAAGGTCTCAACAAGTACGGAGCTAACACAAAAACTACCCATAAAAAGGTCGTGTGTGACCGACCTCAAGCAGTTGCCCTTGGGCACTACGGTCACGCTCTCAGGTCACTAAGACCACCTCTAATCCAATTTCTTTTTCAGGTACCTCCAGAAGAACCCTTCCACGGTGTGGGCAACCGGGAAGTGATAACCGCCCTCATACCTCTAACAGCACTCAAGGCTGAAATGCATATGCGCCACAAAAATCTCATTCGATATGTGTGAGGGTTGTAATACTGCCCGGATGCCCAAATTAAAGCAGATGGTTTTCTTGGAGGGCCACACTCGGAGCCTTCGACCTGAAGGTCTGATCCACAAGACAGTGGAGCATCGTAAGGAGATGCAGTCCCATGGTAGCTGGTGACTAACAATTGGTTCATATGCCATTTGTTCCCGAACGATACTGGAGCCCATGTGTACCATTGGTTTGGAATCCGGCTAAAGCGGCGGACATTCGCTTTTCGTCCTCTCGATTTCGTAAACATCACCCCCCGCCACGAGAAGGCAATGAGTAGGTCTTCCCTGGCAGAGGTTGCTGCTGATATAGAATATTTATATTATGAACAAATCATTTACCTTAACAAGTAATATGAATGATTCACATCATTTATACCCAATAGATTATCCATGAAATCATTGTATACTTTCCAATTATTTATATTAATGAATGAATCATTTATAATATAATGAATGGATTGAATTCTCAATCTCATTAAATTCATAAAACATTCTAATATTAAATCATATTCATTGAAATCCATTGAATTGATTTCTTTCATTGGAATCATTACATCATTTATTATGTAATCCATTAATATGATAATAATATTAATATTATTATTCTCATTATTATTATTATTATTATTATTATTATTATATAATAGATTCAATTGTAATTGTAATTGTATTTGCTTCAATAATTGAGAGAAAAATTTTATTTTTAATCTAGAAAATTTTGAATTATTTATAAATTGATAGAAAATTTGTTTTAATAAATTCAATTTTTCATTTTTAATTAAATTCATTAAAAATGAATAAATAATATAATAATAATAATAATAATTATTATTATTATTATTATTATTATTATTATTGCTATTAGTATTATTATTACTATTATTAGTAGTAGCAGTAGGAAGAGAAGGAGGAGGAGGAGGAGTACTGAAATGATTCGAAATGAATGGTGATATTATGTAATATAATTTAAACAATAGATCAAATATCCATTGAACATATTGATCATTTAATAAATATATAGAAGAAATTGATGTGATATGTATATACATAAATTTTAATAATAAACAGTAAATACTTGGTAGATTATTACTAATAGTAGTAGTAGTATCATTATTATTATCATTATTAACAAGTAATGTAGTAATGTTTGTTTGTGATATAAAACAATCTAATAAAACAATAAAATAAGGAAATTCATTATTTACAATTAGATCATTGTTTATTTGTTTATTATGATGTAATAATTGTTTATCTAATTGATGAAGTTGATGAAATAAACTCATATAACAATAATAATAATCATTATTATTATTATTATTATTATTATTATTATTATTATTATTATTATTATTATTATTATCATATTGTGTATCCATAGTACAATGATAATCATTTACATTAGATGAACAATCGTTCATGTATAATCCATTTGTAAATGGTAAATTCATTATAAATTTATTCATTTCATTATGCCATTGATTGTCAATATAGAAATAATGAGGATTGATATGAATAAGATATGCAAGTGTATCAATTATGGTTATTTTGAAAGAAAAATATTGAATAAAATCTATGGAAATAAACCATTGAATTAAACATTTATTCAAATTTAATAATAAATTATTATGATTATTATTATTGATAATGAGAGGGAGATTTAAATGTTTACAATATTTTATACAATCATATATAATCGATAAATTTTCACAAATTATTAGCACAGTTACTAAGTGGGAATTATCTCTGAAAAGAAAAAAAAAAGAACAATCAATAAAAAAAAGAATTTTATTGATATTAGATATTTTGTAATTAAACAATTTGAAAATAAATAGAATTAAACGTTTATAAAAGATAACCAATGCATAATGATCTAATTGTGTTAATAGAGGAAAGTCGGTTACGTATAACGTAGGACCAGGCACATATATGCATTAGTCCAAGTTGCCATACCACATTAACACAAGAAGATGAACAACGAATGCACAGTAGTTACTCCAATGATAGTAATGTATAAAAGAAAGATTACATATGAGGATATAGTATAACAAGAAAAATTTACTTCGCAAAAAGATATGAAACGATTTTAATCTCATAGTTTAAGGAAAGATAGAGAGTGTATACACCGACACTATTGTGATCGATTCTGAGCCATGTCACCAAGAGTCTACAACCATTAGTTACGATAGTCACGCGGACCCCAATCAAGTAGTTTGTATATACCAACATGGCTCAGACTAGAAGTTAGTGACTTTGTGGACTGATGCCACGTTTTAGTTTGGCCGCCCCAAACTTTCTTCCAACCATTCCCAACACTAGTCAGCATTGTGTATCGTGGTAATCGGTGTTTGGGCATACGTAACACGTGGCCCAACCATCTCAGTCGATAAAGTTTCACAACTTCAACAACTTATTTTCTATCATTACCTAATACCTTGAATCCAACCTCACTATTACTTACCCGCTGATCTCAGCAGATGCGAGCAATATTTCTAAGTTATCTGCGGTCAAATACTAGTAACTTACGAGTATTCTCTACCCTTAGTGGTCACGTTTCACAGCCGTAAAGTAGAACAGAACGAACTGCCGTGCAATATACTCGTCCTTTTATCGATAGACGGATATCTGGCCTCCGCTATAGGTGACGTAAGTTGGCAAAAGCCAAACGAATGCGAGCTGAGATTTCATCATACACTAACCCATACCATACCACATAAGCATAGAGAAAAAATTGTCGATTCAAATCCCATAGTGGTATAGGTAGGAGAAATATAAGCAGTAATTGGAAAGATCGGAAAATGAGTATTTACATACTTTTAAGATAAAACTGTGCATGTTAATATGGAATGGTGTCACAGTGTATAAAGTACTCAACATGAAAAGTTATTTTGTCTCATATACATCAATTAGAGAAACAATCAAGTATCGTTTCGATTAAATTCTTAAAATACAAACCTATGTAAGTGGTAAACTTTATAAAATATTGTTTTGATCAAATACTTTATTAAAAATCGATCGACCAAAATCACTAAAACTCAATTACGAAATCATTCCAAGTACATTACATCGCTCTTCATTACTTACTTAGTTACTTACTTACGCCTGCTACTCCTCGTGGAGGAGCATGGGCCGCCCACGAGCACTCTCCATATAACCCTGTCCTGAGCAATCCTTTTCAGCTCTTTCCAGTTGTTATTCATCCTTTTCATATCTGCTTTTATTTCCCGATATAATGTGTTCTTTTCTGTCTTCATTACATCATATAATTTTGTTCTACTATTGCTTTCAATCGATTATATCATTACTTACCATTTCTAACTATCTTCTAAATCAGTAATCTTATCTTAACTAACTGAGTTTTGGTTACTTTATTCTTATTTATTATTAGAGTGTATTTATATTGAGCAATCGCTTGTATCCAAGTCATTAGGGTTTCGTTACTACCGTATTGTTATCAAATGTTCTTCCATATTAAATAAATATTTGTAATATTCTTTACTTAATCTTATAAAACACAAATACATAAACATTTTTCCAGTTAAATTCGTCATTAATTCCTTTTGAATTCTTGTTCTCGTTCTCTTCAAGATATAGTAATATCACTACTAATATTAATACTAATAATACTGATGATAATAATAAGACCAAACATGAAGTTGGTTACTAGTTAGTGATAATACAGTCCGTTGTTAAAATACTTGATTACTGAAGCTAGAAAACTACTGGTCAAATTTGAACCAACAGCTCTGTTATTGAAGGACAAATACTTTAACTACTAGGACATCGCTCCACACACACACACACAAAACATTTACATCCTAAACTTTACAAAGAATCACTGGTAATTGGTATCGTTACAACCCCAGGTTAGAAAATATCACTTAATTTACTTACTTAGTCCTAATAAACTTTTCATAAATCGAAATAATGACATTTTCTAGTTCTGTTAAAATATTAATATTGAATGTCGCTAATATATCACTGTATTGAATTGAATATTCTTCATTCATATGTATGATAAACTGGATCATATTGATATATTGACAAAGAATAGTCAATATATGAGGATATGTGCAGAATTGAGGAAGTTCAGTAGTCATATGCTTTGTTAAATAAATACTCAACACATCTATATTTGAACAATTCGAATGCTTAGGAGACAGAACATGTTGATGAGGAATTGATATAGACTTTGAACAATCAAAAAGATGAAGATTATGTTCAGTAGGTGATATGTCATTTTCACTAAAAAAGATATGGAATAAATCATTCCGATGAGTTTTTATTAAGACATAATGGTTCAATATAAACTATGAAAAGTTTCTAAACATACCGCAATTTTATAACAGACATAATCACTATTAAAGCAGGCAACTATCATTACACTTAATACAACACAAATATTTATTTTAAATTTTCATATCACAAACTTACTTTGGTTAGGCAACCACTGAAAGTAGTGCACATCTGCTTTGTCCTAGCATAGCACTCCTTGGAAATGAGTAACCAAAAACCTACCACAGATTGAATTCGGGACATTCAGACCTCATAATAAGCTTTTAGCCTTTAGACTATTGAATTGAATTACAAGTAAAAATCATTGGATACCATTAAGTGTCGACAAAATATTAAAATACCTTTCAAATTTTTAATTACCTGAGTAAATTAATGCGCCTTAAAGGTAACTAATTACTGAAAATTTACGAAGATTACGTCATCCGGAACCTGGAACGATGTTGTATGTTACTAATAACATGTGTATCTTAAGATTTAAACGCTTCGTTCTCACTAGATTACACTCTAAGTAACGTTAGACGTAAAGCGCTGACTACTTCTCTAAGTTAGAACAGGCATGAGGAAAGTTTAAACCATTTAGAGGAAAAAATAGAGCTAATCGTATAGCAGAGATACAAACACGGCCATGTCACATCTAATCTTGAATTAAAGGGAGGATAGCATTACGATAACGCGACTAATTTATATTGTATCAATAATGTACCAAACTACATAAGAATAAAATAGAAATTCAGTACCTAACTCTAAATCTTAGGAATATTACAACCTATCATTCATAAAGCATAACATTTTTCAAGGTAAACAAAGCAGGGCAGAAAAAAATCTATGCAGAAATAATCACTGGAAAGCATCCGTTGCTTGATACGTTTCGAGTGTTTGGTGGAAAACGAAACAAAAAAACGATAGGCGTTGTGCAAGTGATACTGAACATTTCAAACACCTCTTTGTTCAAATTTGAAAAATCATCTTATTTATCAGAAGGGGTTTTGTGGAGATTGTAGTAATTCCAATAGTTGAGATAATGAGTCAATTGAAGCTAAACCCAAATGGAAAACCGGGAAGCACTGGGCGGCCGTTTCGTCCTATTGTAAGACTCCTTAGCAGTGCGCATCCCCAACAACGCCTCTCGGGATCCGAACCCAGAACCTATCAGTCATGGAGTTCTAGTGAGAAGCAGTGATCAGTGGAGTTCAACTGGGTCTGTTGTGAGATAGTAACTCACTGATGACAATGATGGATGTGTCTCTCAGTTTCGTGGATTGGTTGAAGTTCGACATTAACACTGTTGGGTGCCGGTTAGCTCAGTGGTCAAGTGGTTTCGCGCTCGTGCGCGAGATTGATAGGTCCTGGGTTCGAATCTCGCGAGATGAGATGGTGGATGCACACTGCTGAGGAGTCCCACAATAAAACGAGTTGGCCGTCCAGTGGTTCCAGGTTTTCAATGGTGGTCTAGCTTCAAATGACTCATGGTCTCAACTACTAGAAGCATCTTATTCACATTTGAGGAATATATATGGACGGTAAACACAAAGAAATTATACTTACTGTTCAAAATCAGGAAAGAGATTATTGAAATTGACTCTTTCAATCGATTTTTTGAAATGTGATGAGGTAATATTTCTTTTGATTGCAGATTTATACTGGCGCTTTCTAGTTTTTAAAGGAAATTGATCTGTAGAATTTGCATCCGTAATAAAATCTAAATATGAGACATCATCTTGAAAAGAACTACCTTTCTCTTCATATTTACAGATGGTTTTCAAATCTAAGGCGTCCTTATAGCACCTGCAATTATATTTCCCACTGAAATCACAGCCTGACGAGAAAATTCGATGTCTATGTGAATCTAGAACAAGATACAATTACTTTAAGTTACGTATTTTAAAAAGAATACGTTTACTGGAAAGAAATTTGAACAACACAACTTTTAGGTGAGAATAGATGTGATGCACAATGAGTTGTTGGGGAATAATATTCCTTACGAGAATAATATTTTTGAAACCTGACACCAAAGTGCTAGTCAATTATAAACAAGAGCATGGCAAACATGTGCACCGTCCTCATCTTGCTATATTACGCTGTCAAAGAAACATAGAATTGTCAATGTCAGTATCAAATTAGACGAATTGTACCAAAGCATAAGTAATAAGTGACATCTGGAGGGATAATCTCCCTTTAGTGGTCTAAATATGAGGGAAACGCTGAAAGTCTAAATTTCGTCTCACAGTGCAAGATACATTCCTTTTAGAGAAAATGAAATAAGTCGAAAAAGTTGGGATGGATGCATAAACAATAAATTTGAGTCTTGATAGCCACTTGCTTATGAAATGGGGTGAAGTTTAATTCCCTTGATATTGCTTTACTTGAAGCTCAGTAGCTAAGTGGATAACGCGATCGCGTTTGAAGCGAACGGTACTGAGTTCGAGTCCTGCAGTGAACATGAACTCTGAGATGCAGGTACATCCAGATGACGAGTCCCAAATAGGACGAAATGCGCGTCCTGGATTCTACTGCAAGATACTATCCATCTTTGCTTATAATGCTTGTAAATTAAGGCAATATCGAGGCGTACGCACAGTATGCACATATGCCAATAAGAGACTGATCAATTTCAGTCCTAAAACATCAATGGGAATATTCAAGTAAAACAATATCAAGTGAATCATGGATAGGGTTATATCAATAACCAACAGCTAGAAGTGATTAAAGTTTACGAAAAGGGAAGAAGAAATTCGGCTGTGTTTAGAGACGTTCAATATATACAAAGTGCTCAGTGTACTGATCTACTACTCTTCCAGTGGCTTTGAAAATCGCTGGCATATCACAAATCCGAAACGTTTCATGCTTATTTGTAGAGAAGAAAGCTTTGAGAATTTATAAATTGTTGTTAAAAGCGCTCAGAAGAACCAGACTTTAGAGATTTCTATCAGACAAGATTGTGTGATTTCTACATTCTGAAGAACTGATTTCACTATGAAGTAGACGAAATACAAAGCTCGTGATAATACCCACTATGCTATAAGGTGCAGTCAGTATATGTTACTGTTGTATCAATATTATACGTATATCATTCTAAAATGAAGAAAACACTATTGCTGATCATTTGTGTCGACATTCGAAGGACCAGTTAGAAGTTCATATAAATAAATTGAAATCAAGAATGATTGACAATAAGACATAGCATATCATTAGGCATGATTTAACTGTCATTCCGTTTAGCATATTAAAAGACATGTACACAGCAAAACTAAAGACCATCCCCATGATGTATTTTATCGGTTATACAACCGATTTAATACAGTAACTTTAGGCATTTTTACCAACAATGTCTACAACGTTCCAAATGTTTTTGAAAATTAAAAGTGAAAAAACAATAGATAGTCATGATCTGTAGCCTACGACATGTCGTAAACAACAAAATAGTTTTTATATGAAGTGAGTTTACACATCCTTAAAGCCTCAGGATTTAAAGTTATATTTTACTTTATAATCTCAACACTAAACTAATGTGCAGAAACATGAATTTATTTGACTGGTGTAACGCATTGTTTCTTCGTCTAATTCTTTGATAACTTGTAATCAATAATAAAAAATTTAATCACGCAAACATATTTCATTAGTACAGCTTTTTGGCTTAGACGTGATTTTTAACCTACCACTGATAATTTCCTTGCATATAAGTTGCACAGTTGATGATAGTATGTGTAAGCTGCAAAGATAACATGATGGAGAGTAGTAGCCATCACGCTGAGTATAATCTAAACAAAAAGCATCCACTTCCAAACACGAAAGTATGAAAATCATTTTGTATAATATAGTAAGATCAGTATATCCCGAACTCGATTTTAAGCACTGAAAATTGAGCGAATGCTTATAGTTCACCAATTGAAATAATAGAAAGTCCCTGAAGCTGGTCACATATCTAAAATAAAATAGTAAACTCTGACTATATTTACTTAAATGGAATTTCAAATGTCCCGAATCGGCGACTAATAAAATTGTATAATAAAGTCACAAATTCTTCCAAATTATAATCAGACAACTAAAATACAAGTCAGATAAAGAATTCACTAGATATACGTATGAAGAATTTTTTAACTTCCAAAAACATTCCCAAACAGTATTCATGGTAATTTAGTAGGTTTAAACGCTCCTAATAATAATAATCGACTAAAATTTTCATTTGAAGGTCACCATCTGTATATGTATATACCGCCTGGACTTCAGGGTCATATAAATTTCATATACTGCAAATAATCCTAAACAATATAGAAACACTTCGAGGGTTGTTTCCCACTTCTATTTGAGAAGAGTGGACAGAATGGGATTTGTGTGAGGATGACAACAGGCTTGAGCTTGTGTTACTTTTATCTAGCAAGCGTCTGAAAGCGTGTGGTTTCTCAAATCAGTAAATTTAAGGAGCAGACACCACTCCTTGGGTACCAGTAAGTGTCACCGGGCCCTATCCAAAACATCAGGCACTTGGGTTACTGGATGTTCGACAGCTCACCGATACCCATCAATGTCACGTACAACCAACGTGCAACTGTTAACTACACATCACGGATCGGCCAATGTATCAGTGGTCTCACTATGTTCCTTGTTCTTACTCATACTAAAATATTCCCTAATCTCATCCTTTGTGCTGTACGGTCATCAAAGCAACCGTAGTACCTGGATATGACAAAGAATAATTCACTTTAGGCACTAACCGCTGTTTGGCCTAACTGGAGTGGGCCCCGATTCAAACGACAAGGATAATCTACGTTAGTGTTCTGTAACAAGTTCTTGGTTTGAAAACGAATATGCCGCTGTTACTCTATTCTTTTACAGCTTTCGCAAATGCTTAGTATGTCCTCTGTTTTATCCTGATTCGGTAGGAAGAAAATAAGAGGATATATCAGGTTCAAAATCATTTCTTAGTACTCTATACATCAAAACCATCGATAAGACAGGGCAAAAAGATTTAGCTTCTCAAGCCGTTCTTTGTGTGTTGGAATTGCACCCTCTGTACCTATTCCAAGATAATTGAGTCGTTTTTCAAATAAGGACTCGCAGCCTGAACTCAATTCACAAGTTTAGATTTCATCAAAGGTGTACATACTATAGTGAAAAATTTAGTGCTTAACTTGGTAATTATCTGCCTTGGGGCTCATATTACTCTAAACCACTTAACTGCGACCTCACCATAGTGAGCGGCGATTTTAAGATCTTAGATCAATGTTACTCCTAGACCATTGAGAGACCGAACCTCGGACAAAGACTCCTTACCGTTGATGTACATATTCATCATTTTATGTGAATGCCGACACGCTTAGCCGAGTTGAGTGACATCAGCAATTTTTTTACCAACTACCTTGAACATGTAAGACCGCCTGAAATGAACGAGCATCTTAGTCTTCCATTGTTCAAGACACATTTATTCCTCAGTGAAAAATATTAGCACTGGGGTCGCGACCTTACTCGGCAGTTCACTTACACATAGAATAGAAAGTAAATGACTGATAATAACAGCCAGTTGTGTGGAATTTTGTCAAAAGCTTTACTGAAGTTTTCGAAAACGCACCAAATTTCGCGTGGTATTATAAGTCTATGAAACATGAATAACCCTTTCTAAAGCCGTATCGTTTTTCAGAGATTGTCCGGTTTTCGTAAAGATACTTGAATAACGCATTTCGGAGTTTTTTATTTAAACAGCCATTCTGGTCAGGTTTACAGACAGATAGTTCATAGGTTTGTGCTTCCTATATGTTTGAAAACATTATTTAAAACTTGTTAATTGAAACTAGATTACAGACAAAATAAAACACATAAAACTCAAGATCACCCTGAGCAAAACCAAATCGACCATATCTGCACCAACAAAAAGCTCAGGAGGACGATGGAAGATGTGAGAACCGACAAACTCAACCAATTCAAGATAGTCCTCAGCATTAGATTCCAGGCCTTTAACGATCTACTCAGTGGAGAGGGAACTAATGTAGAGGGAAACTAAAAAGGGTTAAAAGTGGCAATCACCTCAACACGTTGTGAGGTTCTGGGCCACAAGAACCACAATCACTAGGAATGGATCACTGTTGATACACTGGATGAGATTCAAGAAAGAAGGAACAAGAAGGCAGCAATCAATACCAGCCGAACAAGAGCAGAAAAAGTCAAGGCACAAGCTGAATACACAGGAGTAAAGAAGCAAGTGGTGAGGAGTATCAGAACCGACGAACGTAAATATGCGGAAGATCTAGCAATAACGGTGGAAAAGGCTGCAAGAGAAGGAAACATGAGAGAACTGTATGACACAACAAAGAAACTCACTGAAAATCACCGTAATTCAGAACGACCAGTGAAAAGCAAAGATGGCGAGGTAATCACCAACATTGAAGAGCAACAAAGCAGGTGGGTAGAACACTTCAAAGAACTCTTCAATCGACCAGCGCCACTGAACCCACCCATCATCGAAGCAGCACCCACAGACCTCCCAATCAATGTTGGCCCACCAACAATTGAAGAATTCAGAATGGCCATCAAACAAATCAAGAGTGGCAAAGTAGCAGGACCAGACAACATTCCAGCAGAGGCACTGAAAGCAGTAAATGCAATGATACTCAACTCTTCAGCTACATTTGGGATAAAGAACAAGTACCAACAGATTGGAAAGAAGAACACCTGATCAAGATACCAAAGAAATGTGATATCAGCAGGTGTGATAACTACAGAGGCATCATGCTTCTCTCAATATCGAGAAAAGTCTTCAACAAAGTATTGTTAAACAGAATGAAGGACTCCGTAGAAAGCCCAACTTCGAGACCAACAGGCAGGATTCAGTAAGGATAGATCGTGTACAAACCAAATCGCAACTCTACGGATCATTGTGGAACAATCAATTGAATGGAATTCATCACTCTGCATCAAATTCATTGACTACGAGAAAGCAGTTGAGAACGTGGACAGGACAACACTATGCAGGCTTCTTAGACACTACAGCGTAGCTGATAAGTTAGTCAACATCATACAGAATTCCTATGATGGATTAAACTGCAAAATCGTGCATGGAGGACAACTGACAGACTCGTTCGATGTAAAGACCGGTGTCGGGAAAGGTTATTTACTCTCACCCTTCCTCTTTCTCCTTGTGATCGAACGGATCATGAAGACGTCAATATCTGGGGGGATGAATGGGATACAGTGAACATCTGGGATGCATTTGGACGATCTAGACTTCTCAGACAATCGGGGTCTTCTGTCTTACACGCAACAACATTGCAGGAGAATACGACTAGTTTAGCAGCAGCAGGTATCAACATATGCTAAGGGAAAAGCAAGATTCTTCGATACAACACAGCATGCAACAATCGAATCACACTTGACGGAGAAGAATTGTAAGATTTTAAAGACTTTACATATCTGAGCAGGATCGACAAAGCAAAAGCAGCATATCTACAATCGAAGAATCTCTGGAACCCAAAACAACTGTCAACCAACACCAAGGTCAGAATTTGACTGAGGTATGAATCTATACTGCGTGTGTCAACACTAGAGTAATGAAATGAATCAAAGGAGGTATTTAATCACTTTTGAATATGGACATTACTTTGCGAAACCGTGGATAGAGGCATACTGTTTTAAATAGAGATTATGGTTCTCTTATTCGATCTACTGAAGATGCTGTGTATAATATCTTGTACATTTGCTTTCCAGACGTTTGGCCTGACTTCGGTTGACACATTCTTATTGTTAAAAGAGATATGAAAACCAAAGACTAGGACTGCATGGTTACTTCAACCTAGTGGTAGCATTTAATAGAGGTTTGTGGCGTTATCCCCATAATGTGTCAATATAAGATCTAGTAAGGTTGATTAGGAGTCCAGATTGTACCTGGTTGTTTTACTCACACGTTGCACTAGAGCAAATGTGATAATAGAGTCAACTAATTTCCGTTCGAAGGAATCTTCTGACACCTTATCGTACTAGCACTGGTCATTCTGTAAGGTAATAATACATCAATCGCAATTCTGCAATACAAAAGGTTGAGAATTACCATAAAATGGGATCATGAAGATGTAGTACGGACACTCACAATTTAACAAAGGCTTTCGATACTGCGTCACAGTACTTACATATCAGAAAGCCAACCCAGAACCTATTTCTGACGTTTGCTGGTTCTCTACTTAAGTTTTTTTGGTAAAACTAAGTAAAAATTATTTGGTTGTAGTTCCTCATCGAATATACCTTTAGGACTCAAATGGCCACAGATACCCAGTGAGCATAAGAGCACATTATCGGTTAGACATTTCAAACTTGTTCTTAGGTGTAACTCCTCGAGAAACCAAACGAAAGAAAATGGACACCCCTAGAGTTGCACACAGTATAGGTCCGAGTAACAGATATTTATCAGCTAGTCTCTGGTGAATTGGGAGTGTTAGAATTTCCGTCTTTGCTATACCCAGTAGGTTTCTAGTGGGACAGATTACCTAATACTGAATAAATGATAGTCGGCATAAACCCCACAGTAGTACAATAACCTACTAAGTTACAACTTCAGGACTAGTGTAGGCACTCAGGGTGATCAACATTCACTCAAAATATATTTGCCTGAAATTTTGAAGATAAATTTTGCAAATATAATAGACACAAATATCTATTAGATCCTGGATCGCCAACTAATTGGGTGGGTGAGAAAGAAGCACATCTACATAAACCTGTTAATTTGTTACCACTGACTTAGTTAACAAGTAAACAAACGACTTCGTCTACTTATTATCGACTCGCACTATCAATTACAAATCTATGATTTCTTAATAATAACCGCTACCACATGACGACCGAAAGTACTATTCAGTTTTTCAACCGAAGTTTGATAAAAACGAACCAAGAACTTCGATTGTAACAAATGAAACACGTCGCCCAAGAAGTATTTCAAACATTTGGACAATTTGAAAGATAAAACTTTCTACCAAGTATGATTTGACTAAAAGGTAGAAATAAGCTTCAAATACGAATGAAATATAATGCTTTATATTCAGTGAATTAAATAAAGTCTCAAATTATTAAATAGGTATATGATAGGTAAAATGATACGATAATTACAATGATGAATACAATTCATTAAACATTAAAACTTCAAATATTACATAACATTGTCTACTTCTTTCTAAGAAGAAATATCTACATTGAAGATTTACTTAAAATTACAAAAAAGAAAAAAATCCAAGGAACTCCATTTTATAAAATAAGGTTCAAGAAAAAAAGATGAACAATTTGAATATTTTTACAAATGATATAGAATGGAATGAAACCATATTATTGTTGTTAGATGATAATAAAAACATCAACATTTATCACGGCATATAACACATAACCTATACAATTTAATCGTCATCATCATCATCATTATCATCTCCAAGTAAACCGATTGGCCATTCTGCAACATTATAACGAGGTAATGAACCTTCAAACAGACGATCTAACCAATTGGATAAACCATCTAATAATTCACTTTCAAATAATACTCCATCATTTATTTGATGCCTTGACTTTAAATGTGAATGATTGTTATTAATATTAGATTGATTGAAATCTTCTTCATCATCTGATTCTAAACCGAATGCACGACCAAATATATGTCTATGTCGTAAGCGTTTACCTTGTTTTTCAACTATTGATGATTTGTCCTCATCTGATTCCTACATATATATACAGAGACAGAGAGAATTGAAATGAGATAAAGAAGATAAAGTCAAAAATAAAATTATTCCAAAACATACAGAAAACAATAATAATTGAGCATTTAGTGTTTTCTTTTTCTTTGTATGAGGACAAGTATCAACTAGTCAGTCAGTCAGTAACAACGTAGAACTTCGTACGTACGTACATCAGTTCGAATTGCCATACCACCTTAGCACAGAGATGCAGTGGTCGATTCAAATCCCGTAGTGATAAATGTAGTAAAATCATAAGCAGTAATCGGAAACATTAGGTTTTGAAGATGTTATTCAAAGAGTATAATCAAGTGAAATAAATTTGGAAAGAGAAAAGATAAAGGGACATGAAGAATTCAGAAGATTAGAATTTGGGAAAACACAAAGAGTGGATGCACCTGCGCAATTGCAAACGATTTTGAACCATGTCATTCAAGGTCTCTAACCATCGGTTGCTATCATCTCGTGGATCCCAACCAGGTAGTTTACACCTACAAACATGGCTCAATCCACTTGTCAGTGACTTCATGGACTTGTGCCATATTATTATTATTACTATCAGCTTTATTCAATATTACATTTTTGATACAATATAGAATTCTCAGCGCAAAGTATTTCAACAAGTTTCCGTTTCTTTTTTCTTAGTCGGTCCTGGCGATAAATATCGAGTGATCGCCAGTTAGATGTTAGCAGTTCAGTAAATGAACATCTGAATTATGTACATTCTTTTCGTTGTATATTGCCAACAACCATATTGTCTCTTATTGAGTTTTTTGTAACTTTGACAACGAAAGGTTGTACACTTTTCAGAAACGCAGCAGAATAAGTTATGCGATTAATCAGCATAATGATACATTAAAACAAACGAAAATAGATAACTTGTTGAAATATCTAGATGGCAGGAACAGGTAGCCCAGATGCTCGGGCAGGCCGCCCTTTATATGTTTTGGTCTGGCCGCCCCTAGCTTTCTTACAACCTACTCCTACACCATAAAACATCGCACGTCGAGGCAGTCGGTGGTTGAGCATACGTAACACGTGTCCCAGCCATCTCAACTGATGAAGTTTCACCACTTCATCAATTGATTTACCATCCTTACCTAGTACCCGTTTCATAACAACTGTGTTACTTACTCGATGGTCCCATGATATACGAGCAATGTTTCAGAGACACCTATGATCAAATACTAGTAACCTACGAATATCCTCTACTTTTACTGGCCATGTTTCACTGCAATAAAGTAGGACGGAACGAACTACTGTACAGTAAACCCATCATTTGGTTGGTAAACGGGTATCTCGCATACGCCATAAATGACGCAAGTTGGAAAAAGCTAGTCGAGCCTTCTGTATCCGTGCTGAGATTTCGTCACATATGAGACTACAAGGGCTGGTTATTATTAAAAAAAAAGAGGAATGATACATAAAATGATACTTGAAGTCTACAAAAAGAATTTATCACAAAAGTGGATAAAAAGAATACAGAATAACATAGATAACTGAGTTTTAGACGATAATGAAGGACGGAAGCATCCAAATTCAATCAATTAACCTATTACGACAAATTTAATGTGTAATTGTGTCATGTTTTAAATATAATAGTTGGCATGCTTGAAATGTAGAATATGCATTTATTTACGAAATGTCTCATTTTGATTAAAAATTCAACAAAATTCAATCTATAAAACTTATTAAGTTACAACTCAATAAACTTTAGGATGAAATACTCTTCCTAGAAGTGCAAACTTTTGCATTAGGACTGGTTTGAATCAACATATGACCTGATTATGGATTATGAAGTACATGAGCAACGTGATCACTTCACTTGAAAGTTTCATTAGTAATGGTGAGTCACTGGTTAACAAAACAATGATATGGATTCAGGAAGATTGCTTGGACTTTCTAAACATGCATCAGGTGTGGCATAAGTGTGATATCGATATGGATATCAAAGGGAAAGTATAATAAGCAGTAGTCTGCTCAATTTCTCTTTATAGCTATGGGATATCGCGTATGAAGTAAACAAGTATGGGTTGCTTGTTTGGTGATAGATATTTTTGAAGAATCACCTTCGTAGAATAGAACGACTAGATGGTTTGTGATGTGGTTAAACGTAGGACCCCAGGTAGGAGTGGGAAATCGATTAACGATGTAGCAAACCATTATCAATTAACGTGGTTTAAACACATCTCCAAATACCTTTTGTTTCAATGAACTATGCCGACTCGCATAAGAATAGCTAACAGCAGCTAAACGAAGACGTGGTATTATTACATGAAGTAATTGTTTGATGTACTAAGCAGTGTCACTAGACGAAAATTATCTGTTTGGGATGCTTACACCAATCGTGATCACTGGTTGAAGACTATAAGTAGCATAGATTAGAATCGATCACGGTGGAGTAGATGTGTTCATTATTTTTTTCTTCAATTTTCAGTCTTAAAGTTACTCTATCCTTCTTATTTTTCGAATACGTTCCTTATAGTGAAAGTATACATTAGGAATGAGTCAATCAGAATTCAGAACGCGGTTTTTAAGTCTTTGCACGAAATTAAAATATCATGCATAATGAGCATCCGAAATACCATTTTATACTACTCAAAATGTTCAAAATAATGGTGGAAAATTATTTTGTCACCACAGTAAAAAAAGATAGTATTCATCACATCAAATGCCTAATTCCGTCTCTACAGATTGTATGTAACAAGTAATTTGACACTATCTCCAATTCTCTAACTTATACCATGAATTGTGAAACAAACCGATACCTGATTGCACTACATTCTATGGATGAACTAATCAGACAGTGCTTCTTAACTTTTCAAGAGGAATTCATTCATGTGTATCACTGAATTAATACTCTGTAATACACAACTTAGAATAAGAAAACATCAAAATTTTAAATTATGTATCACTTACAGAATTTTCATCAGAACTGCTTTGAGAACCTGGAATTAAAGGATGATAAAGATTGAAATATCGACGATAACCATTAACGGCAATAACTGTTCCAACACAGTTCACTGGATTAATAAATAAAATTCCACTATTATTATTATTATCATCAGTAGTATCATTCACATTCATATTCTTTTGAATAGTTTTATTAGAACGAATATGTATTGGTAAATTAGATCTGATAGATTCAAGTAATTTTGCAAGCCAACCAGAATATCGATCCATAGAAAGACAAGCACGTTGAATTTGACTTCCACTAATGAAAGAATAAAATTATTATTAAAAAAAAATAATAAAACTAAAATAATAATTTCACTAATAATGAACACATGCTTTGATCGGATAGAAATTTATCATTAATTTGTAGTTGCATTTTAGTACACAAAGTTAGTGGTTCTTACAACCATTTTAGCACCGATTTAAACACCTTACAATAAGCTAATATTCAGTGATCTAACCGGTTTGGTGAACACGGACGCCCCACCTGGGAGAAATTGGAAAACTCTGATTCAAAACCAATGGTGCACATGGGCTCCCGTATCCCTAGGGAACAAATGCTGTATGGACCAATCATTGGTCACTGGCTACCATGGGACTGCATCCCCTAACGTCGATCCACTGCCTTGTTGATCCGACCTTTATTAGATCGAAGGCTTCGGGTATGGACCCCTGAAAAACCACCCGCTTCGGTCTGGGCACCCGCGCAGTAACAACCCACACACAAATCAAGTGACTTATGTGGCGCATATGTATTCGGTGCCCCATTGTACCCAGATTTATGTGTTCAGATAAAAATAAAAATGAGGCTTAACATATCAACTGAAATAAATAGTTAAATTGTGAATTATTTACAAGACCTGAAAGTATTACACTGCTGATCAAAATAAGCCTAAACTAAATGAGTTGAAATAGTGCACTTCTATATCGGTTAAGGTTTAAATAAGACCAAGATGTGTGATGTGTAAATTTCGAAAGTCATTTTAAAGTAAAGAGATAGCGAAAATTCTTTGGAAGGTATCGAGTTACAGTCAATATAAAGAAATAAATGATGTAAATAGAATGTATGATTCCGCCTGGAGCCCTTCCGAAGCTATTGCCGGTCTCAAACCCGGATAAAGGAGGAGGGTTGGGCGTTAAAAAAACGCTAACCAGAAAGTAAGTAAATAGAATGTATAATGGGACAGGCGTAATATCGAGCTGACTGAGATAATTGATAATAACACAAATTTAAAAAAATTCACGCGAACTAAGAAAATACAACTTGGAGCAAACTGAATAAGACAAAGTAGAGATAAACACAAAGGTTTATGACATGTGATTTATGCATTGGGTGACGAGATTGTGCATCACAGTAAACAGCATCTGAATATAACATTTCTGGTGCATAAGTCAGATTTGTTGTAGCGCGAGACTGAAGGCTCCGAGTTCAAATCCCGCGGGCGGGATTGTGGATGCACACTGTTGAGGACTCCCACGATAGGACGAAAAGGCCGTCCAATGCTTCCAGGTTTTCAATGGTGGCCTAACATTAGTCGGTTCAAGATCTCAATCAACAAAAACATACTGTGTGTGACAATAGTGTCAGTATATAAAAGCTATTGAAGTGTTTAAATAACGTCCATTCTGATATTAAATTCATCAGTGACGAGGAACATGAGAGCAGTATAGCTTTACAGGACATCGTTTTTTTCAGAAAGATGGACGAATTAGTAAAAAGGAATCAATTTGGAAATAATACATTGACTGGTTAGTATATTCATTTCCACAGTTTTACACCTCTTCAGTACAAAATAAATCTGGTTAACCATCTTAACCACAAAACCAAACTATAATGTCCTGAGGTTAGTGTGTATGAGGAAATAAGTAAACTGAATACACTATGAAGTAACGGATATAGAAATAATTTTATTAAAATGTATTATCTGAACTAAAAACAAAACAATCAAACCTACCAAACTCGACGAGTTTTGAAGTCAAACTGATCACGTAATCGATTATCTTGAGTAGTTCCACGAACACATAATACTAGAAGCCTGAAACCTTTAGGGGCATCACGTACAAGACGGTCATATGTGGAAGGATTTAATGAAACAATAGGAGTAAGTGTAGATGACCTAGACATAAATACAAAATAATAAATATTTATGGTATTACTATTAGCTAAAACTTTAGACTTGATACTTACAACAGTTTTTAGTAATTTCTAACGACATTGTTGTCTTATTACTCCAAAACATCAAAAGGTAATGTATTTAATGATCAAAAGATATCATCCCAATGACAGAAAATATGGGCTTTTAATCTACAACAAAATTTCAGAGCTCAGAATCAAACAAAAAAAGGAGGTTTTGAGAACATCCATAGCATTTGTAAGTTGCGATCTTGTATTTCTATAATAAAACCACACGAGTCATGGACTAAAACTACTCGTTGAACTTTCAGTTATTGTGACCAAAATTTTAGGAAATAGGAAGTTCCGTGAATTAGTGAAGGAACAGAAGACAATGGATGTCTACCTATACTTATGGGTCACTACTTTTTTATTATACAAACTTAACATTGAATTTTCCGGTTTTCGGTTGTGTTTCTTTTAGCAAAATCAATGTGTAATGTAAACAGTATCTACTCAAGTGCTTTTACACAACGCTTATAACCTTTTGTGAAACTAATTATTGCAAAATTTAAGAGGGATCGTTATGATGGTCGGTACAGTTTTCCTCTAGTTCATTGGAGAAAACAGAAGCGATAACAATAGAATTTATATGCCAAGTATATTATGCGATGCACAATTTCATAAACAATAAACCTGTACAAAAACCCTTATCAATAAATATAAATGGCAGTTATTAATTAAGGAAAGACGATTTTATTCAGTCTTTACATATATACAATCACTCAGTTACAACGTAGGACCAAACACATATGTGCATTGGTCCAAGATGCCATACCTCATTAGCAGAGCAAGATGAACACCGGATTGATAAAAGTAGTTAATTCAGAGGTGGTGATATATAAAAGAAAGATTGCATATAACGATATAGTACAGGAAGAAAGAATTAGTTGGTAGAAAGAAAGATACAAAGCAATTTTAATGTCATGGTTTAACGGAAGACAGAGAGTGTATACACCTACACTATTGTGATCGACTCTGAGCCATGTCACCCACAATCTACAACCATTGATTACGATACTCACGCGGACCCCAACCGAGTAGTCTGCATCTATCAACATGGCTAAGACTAGAAGTTAGTGACTTCGAGGAGTGATGCCACGCTTTGGTTTGGCTGTTCCTAACTTTCTTCCAGTCATCCCCAACACTAGTCAGCATTGTGCGTCGTGGTAATCGGTGTTCAGGTATACTTAACACGTGACCCAATCATCCCAGTCGATGAAGATTCACAACCTTATCGACATATATACAAATAAAACGGATGTAAGAAAAGAACCATTTAAAATATTCCATGTACTTTAAGCTATGATCAAACATATGTTAATGAATCAATCTATTATTTTTTTATGATCAAAACTAATTCATTATTATTGATGTAGGAAAACGCCTTATTACGGTCTTGAATAAATCATAAATGTACACTACTATAAAGGAATATTTAACTAGACTAAAACAGTGTTTCAGTGCTCCTTGATTATAAATGGCTCTTCTAAATGATACATCAATTGGTTGATGAAAACCATATACGTTGCAATCAAACAATTAATAAAAAAAAACAGAAATAAAACAAAACAACTGACCCTTCAGTAAATTTACACTGACTACTACTGCTATTATTACCACAGCTACTACTATTTTTACCACTAATATCACTGTTTGATGAGAATGATGTATTAACATCTTGATTTGTTTCGTTGTAACGCTTCTCTGTTGTACATTTATTCTGTTGTTCATTTTTTGTTGCTTGTACAAGTGTTGATATCAAACTGAATAATAGTAAACCGATGATAATCATAAAACTTGAAAAAACAAATGCCAAAGGATGATTTACGAGGCTGTAAAAAAGAAAAATACCAAAGAGAAAAATTAATATGGTAGAATGACTAGAGAATGAAACATATATATATATATATACATACCAGGTTACGATTATTTAGTCATAAATGACTTCAAGGCACTGTTCGTGTATCTTTGGTCCACAGAGTGAGAGATACAGAGGTTAAATGCATGGTGATAGGCACATAATGAGAAATCGATTGAAATATTAGTGAATCTCAATTGACTGAGGTGATCTGGAAATGCAGTACATACAACAAATAACTGCATATACTTTGGAGCAACGATGATGGTTGACGTAGAGATCAGTTGGAAAAACGCCAACGATGATAAAATCGAAAATCGGAACCAGCCCAAGAATTCACTAACCACCAGACAGACATACTGCAAACAGGTTAGGGTCAACCAGATAAGCACAACTAGTGGTTAGAGAGACTGTATGATATGATTCAGAATCCATCACAATGCCATAAATGCAAACAATTCAGTCATCGCTTAGATTCTGATTTTCGTAAATATTATAATTTTTCATTACACGAAAGTATAATCTCTTTAAAAATCAAACTACATTCTTTCGAAGTACCATTAGAACTACTACAACCTAATAAAGAAAAGATGTTATTTGGCGGTCTGCTTGAATAACTGGGCTACCTGTTTCTGCCATATAAATATTTCAACAGATTGTCTGTTTTTTATATTGTTTTAACACCTCATTATGTCTGTTAATCGCATAACCTTTATAGGTGTGTTTATGAAAAGCATAGGACATAGGTTACAAAAAAGCACAATAAGAGATATCGTGGTAGTTGGCAATATGTATTGAAGAGAATGAATATAATTCATATGTCGATTCCCAAGCTGCTAAATTCTAACTGCCGATCACTAATTAACAAGGTGGACTATCTTCAATTTCTACTAAGCCAAAGCATGTATCGTAAATGTGGCATCATCACAATTCAAAAATCTTGGTTAACTGATTTACAGGACGATTTCTTAGTATCACTACGTGATTTCAATATTTATCGTCAGGATCGATCAAACAATAATAAGTCGTTTGGCGGCAGTGTAGCTACGTTTGTAAGCGTAAACTGGTGTCGACTTACCTTTGTATGTTTCAAGTTTTCTAATGATTTTAGCGATTGTCTAACTACAAGATGCCATCCAAAACACTTGAATAAATACAAATATGTTTATGTTACCAACATCTACGTAACTCCAGACGGCACATCATTTGTAATATCTGCTTTCGCTGATGAATTCACTGAATTCGCTGTTACTGCCTTCAGTGGCTTACTTTCAATTGTATGTGTTGGTTTCAATTCATGTGACTTTCATTACTAGGTCACCAAAATGTGGTAGAATTTCACACTCGTTTAGATGCTCATCTAGACTTCGTTTTCATTAATGAGGTGGGTACATATGTAGAACGAGACGTCAATACATTGAAACCCACGCACGCAAGCAAAAGTATAGTTCTATAATACTTTACCTAGCAAATATACTGTGTGACGAACAGGTTGTTAGAGTCGACCTAGTCAATAACCTGTATTCTTAAACATATCTCTAACTAAAAGGTTGTACAGTCTTTCACACTCACAAAAACTTTTGGCTTAATCTTGTATAGTTATTTTCTATTTCATGATATGATACGGTCTGATTTGCTTGCACACAAACTGCGTTTGCCTGAATTACATGATTCATACAGTGGAAGCTGAGATTGTATTCTGGACTCAAATGGATAGGGCTAGGTGAGGTACAATAAGAACTCAGAGTTGACATTAGGCTGCTCATACTGGTTAACGTATAACTGGTTTGACACAATATCAAGGTCATGTAAGTCAGTGTTCTGATCGGCGATTTAGTCACGTGAAATTTGACGGGGCTTAGGACACAACAGTATGTAGCAAGGATTGGAGGTAAAATTCTTATTGACACAAAACGAAAATAAGAAGATAAAAATGTGGAAAGCCCAAATGCCCTGGTAATGCCGAGAGTGAGGAGAGTTACCTCTCTCAAAATGCTTTCACATGGTCACGCGTATACAGCCACTACCAGGGAAGTCCTATTCACTGCCTTCTCGCGGTGGCCTGTTGTTTACGAAATCGAGAGGATAAAATGCGTGTTTCCGATGCTTTAACCGGGTTGGTGGATACGGAGGATCCATCTAGGGGAATAGGGAAACCCTGATTAAAAACCAATGTTGCACATGGCCTTCAGTATCCTGAGGGAGCAAATGGTGTATGAACCAATCGTTGGTTACCGGCTACCATCAGACTGCCCCTCCAAACGTTGCTTGACTACCTTGTGGATTAGACCTTTAGGTCAAGGGCTTCGGGGGTGGCCCCCTAAGAAAACCATCTGCCTCGGTCTGGAAACTCGGGTAGTATCACAGCCCACACACAAATCAAGTGACTTGTGTGGTGCATATGTATTCGGTGCCGCTTTGTACTAATATTTATGTGTTCAAATAAATAAATAAATAACACAATGGAGTTTATAGGGGACAACTCAACGAAGATGCGCAAATGGTGCATTTAATGTATTGTTTACATATTTTACAACTGCAGTGTAATTATGCAGTTGGTTTTTCGCCTGACGATGTCTTCGTTCTTTAAATAAGGTGATTTAATGCTTTAAACAAAAAAAAAGAAATATGTAACTGTAATCTATCTACTTGTTCAGCATAATTTAACGTCAACAGAGAAGAGAACAATATATCTGAATGACTAACCTACTGAGAAGAGAAAGAGAAAAAATCAACTTACTCAAACATCGAATGTCCAATATCCACAAGAATTTGTAACAGCCTATTTCTCATTCTAATCCATATTGACGCTACTAATTCATCAATCATTAATTCCTCAATCATACAATCTTTGAGTAGATACCATTGAGATACCACTTTATCAATTGAATGAGTGAAATGATTTGTTGGATTAGTTACTTTGTCAATAATAGATACTGTCTGGATAATATTTTCTAAATCATTCATTAAAGCAGTATACATCTGTTTAGTAGATTTCAGGATCAAACTTTTTAAATCATTTGGTTTCAGCATTTTTTCATTTAAATGAGTTCTTGGATGAGACATTGAATTAGTGGGAAGAAATTGATAAACTGTTTCAGTTGAACTGATACGCCAAATTAATGCTAAACGGCCCATATTATCTAAAGTAAAAAAAGAAGAAATTTATCAAAAACTTGAAGAAAACACTATAAACAGGTAAGAATTTTCGGAGGTTTAACGGACACAACAAAGTTTCTCGATATTTGAGGTGAGTCTACAGTTCATGCGAATAGGCTCAGATTACTTGACTAAAGTAATCGTGATTATCGTAATCAATGATTAGAGATTTTGGATGATATGGCTCAAGGGAACATAATTATTCACTAATTTCGACCCCTTAAATCTTGGGTTTCCAGATTATCTTAGATTCATTTTAATTTCATAAACTCATTCACATGCATCTCGAATTATATCGTCTAGATCTAGTCTTTTCTATTGATACTGTTATTACTTCTACTAATCTGACGTTATTCTTGATAATTTTGTCTTTTTGTACTGATACAGTGTAAAACCTTCAACCGATGTACGTGCATGGTAGGTTTTAAGTTGCATATGATTGACTGACTAGCTGATTGATAACTGAGACATCAAACGAACTAATAAAAATCACTGATACTCTGAAATACAGCAATTTAGCTGCTTACAGCGTTACAGATAAATTCATGCAATACATTATCAGCCCAAAAAGAAGAGAGAATGTGCAAGTATCAGTTCATAACCATATAATGATAATCGAACAGTAACAAAAATTCAACGTCACTGATGCAGGTATAAGAGAAAAGAAAAGGAAATGTTTAGTCATTTCACTGTTATTAAAAACTCACTATTCTAGCCGGTTATTTTGTATATTGGTATGAGTGCATTCACGGGTTTGTATAGATAATTTGACCTGAATAAAAGCTATACGTCTGTCACACCGTATTACCAGGATTCACATATCAATCAGTTTTGTATTTATCACTTCGACTACACTGAACAAGCATGATTTAACCACTTCATAGCCGCCATATAAACCCTATTCCATACTAATTAGGCACAGAACAAACGCAATTTCACTAAACATAACATTTTGAAAACCGAATGGCATCAATGCATTTTATTATGCAAGAACTATGTAGATAAATGATAAAATCTCCAAATGAGGTAGAGTTTACAAACCACGTAAAAATTTAGGAACTAGGTATTAGATAGTACTTAATTCTGGGTAGGGTAAAGTAAGTTGTTTTACTTTTAGGGTCAACTTTTTCCTATTCCTACTTTTGCGTGAGAAGGTAACACCGCCTCATAGACGGGTTGTTTAAGGAAAAAACCTACTCCCGCTGTACCTCAGCACGGTTAGTAGTACGACATTGCCCATGGACCTTTACGTTGTTCCGTTAAGACTTTTTTCCAAATAACCTACCTGCAGTATTAGGACCTTAAGAAATGCGTATTCCAGACAATATAGCTTGATTAGATTATTATTACAACAATCGAGCCCAATCACCACTTCAAGGCACCAGCTACAGTTGGGCCTCCAAGCCAACTTTTCTCCGGATAGTGTGAGATTTTTGACAGTGATTTTTTCCATTACAGCAATAGTGGGAGCGTTAAAATATACGAGTTACATACACACGCTAACTACGAAATCCCCAAATGAAATTTTATGCTAATCCTTTAGTCTTACTAAAGAAATCACTATACTACAAATGAAAACATTAATAAAATATTTGTAGAACCATTACAGATTATTTAATTTGATTTAATCAATCAAGTAGCTTTTTTACCTCACCTTCATTAAGTAAATTACACGATTCATTTGAACATGTAGAAGATGTACTTAATTTTTGCATTAAACTAATCTGACGATCCACGTAAATATGTACAGGCATAAAATGATAACTATGTTGATTTGTATGATATAATTTTGATAAATCTGTTTGAGATAATTGTAATGTATGACGTAACATAGTTAACCATATATCACCCCAACTGTTTACTTGTTCAACATTGGATAACTTTGAATTTAACAATAATACTAAGCATAAATGACGATGATTAGAATGATCATTATAATGTTTATCTGATTCTAAAGCATATTTACTAGTTGGTTTACTTCCATCAGTTGGGCATAAATCCAACAGTCGTGCACGACTATATATTCTAGGGATATTTAATTGACTATAAGTTAACATTGCATTATCCAATAAAGTAGGTGATAATTTTGTAGCTGATTGACGATAGACAGGTATGCTTGAATCTTCATGATATATCAATAAGGTCTCCTATGGTGAAAAAGATAATTTCTAGTTTAGATTGATTATATTTACTATACAACAATAACGGCTAGATAGGTGTTTTAAAACAAGTTAAATAGAACTGGAGAATTCCTCTATTCAGGTTTAGAAAATTCTTAAAAGTAAAAGATTTTAATATTATGTGGTAAAACGGTGCAATTCCATGAGATTTGAAGAACCAGGATTAAGTTATATTTTAATCTTAAGTTGTGGATTATTATGAAACAGAACGTACAAAAAAACAGTCCTATTGTAAATCACGACAATAGACAGGAGGTATTCATACTTATTGACAGAAGTTACAAAATATTTAAATAATACATATCAATAGCATTTAATCGTCAATTTGCATATTTCAGTGTGTTTCATCGTCTGAAGTGTCTTCCCATCTGTTCTCAAAGTGTTATGCTAACGCTGCGCTTTTGATGCACTGGAACTCTTCACTCCGTCTGACAACTGTGACAATTTCTATGTCATGTTCCGCTACATTCTACTTCTAAACAATCTTGTGACTGGCGTCCACTACACTATGAGTGGAATCGAGCCAGATGAGAGAGGCTTCGAATTCATGATATATTTAAAATCTTCATTCGCTAGCCACACCTGGAGCCTTCGACTTAAAGATCTAATCCACAAGGCAGTTAAGCAAAGTTAGGAAATGCAGTCTGACAGTAGACGGTGACCAACGATTGGTTCACACTCCATTTTTTCCCTCAGGATACTGGAGACTATGTGCAACATTGGTTTGGAATACGAGTTTCCTATCTCCCTTAGATGGATCCTCTGTATCCACCAACCCGGTTAAGGCGTCGGAAACACGCCTTTTATCCTCTCGATTTCGTAAACAACGGGCCACCGCGAGAAGGCAGTGAATAGGACTACCCTGGTAGTGGTTGTATATGCGTGACCATGTGAGAGCATTTCGAGAGGGAGAGCTGACTCTCTTCACCCTCATCCGAACCAGGGCATTCGGGGATGATGACAAATATACAAAGCATTTCATTCAAAAGCACTACATACATGCAGAAAATGATAACCTCAAGATACTATACAAAATGTGAGACAAAATGAAAATTATAGTGTAAACCAGATTATAAATTTATTTAAATACCTAAATACAGACACATAAATACACACATACACTAGGACTAACCTCATTTGGATTTACATTGAAATTCTTAGCCAGATTATGATTGTTACCAGGTTCAGAATTAATATAACCAGCAGCTAAATGATCTGCTGCTCTGAAAGCAGCCACACAATACCGTAACGGTGGTAAAGTTAATGGTTTAATAAGTACCATTCTGGGTCGACTGTCACGACGCCAACCATAATGAAAAGTATTAATAAATGTATCATAATCACTAATACTTTGTATTAATGGTGTATCGATTGTTGTGCTAAGAAATATTGGTAACGCCTTAGAGCGTGAAGGATTTGATTTCATAATTGCACTTCTTAATGCGTCAATAAGACTATTATGACTGAAATCACCTCGAGAGTAATAAGAAACCTGAAAATTTCCAAAAAATAAGGAAGAAAAGCCAAGATTATCGCAGTCAAAAATGATTGAAGAAATAGTTTGTTTTCTTTGTATCAGCATTACAAAAATGAATTTATAAGAATGTTGCTTGGTTAGGGGAAGTTTATTATGTAAACATTGTGAAGCCGTAGTTTATTTGTCTAAAACATTATATAACTCAACTGCCATCAGTTCTGAGGTTAAAATTAAACTCTAGTTACTTTGGCTGAATAAATCGCTTATACAAAGTGTATCGGTGAGGAACGTTCTGATATATGATTGTGAAACTTGATACCTCAGAGCAAAGAATTTTCAGTGACTCAATATTTTACCAGTATTGCCTCTGAAAGATCATTCATATATGCTGACAAGGACGTATGGGTGATTTAAGGTATGGTGATGGTAATTCCATCAGTGTCACGATCGTGAAACAACATCGGCGGCTTAAACATGTCATTACAGCAAGATCCAATGCTGCTGTTGGGTGGATAAATCCGAAAGGCGATCAGTTAGTGACATAGCATCGTAGAGTGACTATTTTGTTGAGACACTAAAGACTATTTAACTCGGCGGCTTGAGATTTCATCAGATATGAACCAGCATAAAACGCAATAACGACCCTGTTATATCTTTCTACTACACCGTTTATAACGGTAGGATAAACATTAGTAACTGGAATCCCATTTTAGTTATTTTTTCAAGTGGACAGTATCCTTCGTCATTAATATCCTTGTTCGTAAGCGATTAATGATCGACAATGAATAATTTAAATTTCATGAAACCGCAACACAGTTTTCCATCAAAGAAGCACGCCCCATAGTTCACTAAACTAAAAGAGAACAATTGCGTGACCAGTATTCACAATGTAAATTCCTCTGAGCAGCATAACAGTAATATCAGAAAAAGTACAGCAAAAAACTTAAAGGGAAAAAAGACTGTGTACATCAGCTGATATCACATAAATGAATAACAAAATTCAACATATTTAACAGGTATAGGTTTATGTATTCAGCTTTCAATCAACATTGTGATTGACTTTTAGTTACATTTGTGCGGCTAAGCGATACCACCTGGTTTTTCTGATCGAATTCAAACAGTATGGACGGAGACTAAGACCTATTGACTGAAAGTCAAGTATTTTAAACAATAAGCGACTGCCGCATAATGATTATAATTACATATGTTGTCTGCATAAAAAATTACACAAAAAGAACTTTTACCAACGATACTATTTATTCTATGTAAAGTTTTATTTTCCATTTACTGTGAAATACAAGTGATAACTTTTCCTGATCAGAAAAGACAACTGAATCTACAATAAACCCTTTCAGAAAAAAACCGAAAAACATCTATGAGCTAACCTGTCCATCAACAACTATTGTCACACTCGGAACATGTAATACACGTAGCTCTTCACGCAGTGCAGAATCATGTTCTAAATTGACACTAGCCACAGTAATCCCCAACGGAGTAAGCTCATCTGCTAATTGTGACCAAATGGGACGAACTTGACGACAAGGGAAACAAAAATCAGAATAACCAAATATGAACAAAGGCACCGTTCGAGATCGTGGGAGGTGGGTTAGGCGATAGTTTCGAAAGTCGATATTCTTTAAACAATAGCAAATAAAAATATGAAACTAAATAGTGACAGAATAATTTATTATAACTTTTAAATTTAAATGAATAATTTCGGAGTAGTTGGGTGCCGAGTTAATGTAAGATTATCAATAATTTTGATGATGGATTATATTTACTTGACAAAGACTGTATCAGACGGCCAAGCGAAACGTTGAATTTACATAAACTTTAAGTCACTGAAACTTTTGGAAATATGATTTTCCTCCTCCCTACTGTCTAACAAGTGACACATTTGTTTAACATCGTACCAACCGGTTTAAATCATGCTGACTAAGAACAACTAATTGCTCATACACATAAATTAATATGCGGTTTATTGAAGGCTCTAAATACCAATAGGAACAAGATCGACAGAACAAATTAAACTCATTTGTTTGTTAACTTTATTAGGTGACGAACAACCTAGAATATTGTCCGAAATGACACGCTTATTGAATTTATTATTATTATTATTATTTAAACACATAAACATTGATACAAAGGGGAACCGAATACATATGCGCCACATAAGTCATTTCATTTGTGTGTAGGCTGTTATACTGCCCGGGTGCCCAGGTCGAAGCAAGTGGTTTTCTTAGGAGGTCACACCCCGAGCCTTCGACCTAGAGGTCTGATCCGCAGGGCAGTTGAGCAACGTCAGGAGGTGTAGTCTCATGGTAGCCGGTGACCAACAATAAGTTCACATGATTCTTGTCCCCTAATGATTCTGGAGATATGCACCATTGGTTTGGAATCAGGGTTTTCCATCTCCCCTAGATGAATTTTCCGTATCCACCAGCCCGGTTAAAGCGTCGGACATTCGCATTTCACCCTTTCAAATTCGTGAACAACAGGCCAACAGTGAGAAGGCAGTCAGTAGTACTTCTCTGACAGCGGCTGTATACGTGTGGCCATGTGAGAGCATTTGGAGGAGCGATGACTTTCCCCACACTCGTCCGTACCAGGGTATTTGGAAGCCTTGTTTATTGAAATAAAATGAGATGAATTTGAGAAAAAAGAGAGAGTGCCAACGTTAAACGTGGACGACCAAATTACCGGCTAAAGCATGTGAAACCTGGAAAATAAACCGGATAAGTAGTGAAGGTCTAGTCGACTTGTGAGTATGACAATAGGGTGCAAATGACAAGTGTTTGTAGGTAATCGCAATCAACCTTTCTATAAGTGATGACTTTTCCCTTTTGATTCACATTGTTTAGACATTACCAGACCAGAAGACATAGTAGTGAAAAAGAATATGTTATTTTAGAGACAACTTCTTAACCTCACCTTCCATCTGAGAGAAAACAACACTATATTCAATATACTTTGAGCATGTTATCAAAATGACACCTACAATGTGTTAACTGTGACATTGTTGGTGAAAGCGCTTGGGCGAGACTACAAATTGTGGACGAGCCAATCAGAAGCTTCAGGTCTTGAGGCATAGACGATTAAGCGGCTTTAGTAATAACAAGAAGACGAATATTATCAGAACTATGTGGTACATTGGCGCAACACATTTCGAACAATTTGATAACACATATACTTGTTAAGAAAATTTATATATAAAAATAAAAGGTCAACGAGACTAGAAATGGAGGGCAAGAGGAGACAAGGATAATAAAGACATAATGAGAAAACAATTTAAAACCTCACCAATCTGGATAATAAGTCAATATTACCAGTATACGCAATTTTACACTTTTGTACAACACCACAAAAGCTGAGTTAAGATCAATCTTATGACCTGTTTCAATTATGTATTTGGCAATAGAGGATGATGAATGTTTATGCTCTACTCTTATCGGATCACTTGATTTTAGTTGCTTCTGCAACCATTTAGGTACATGTTCATACACTTTAATTTTCAGATCACAATTACTCCTTCCTATTTATGTGTGATCACATACATATTTAAATTGGTAAACACAGTGGGATGTGACGCAATCGTTTTCTTGTCTTTTAGGTTTTCGATAGAGCATGATCCTTGTTTCCTTGATAATGTCTTTGCTGCACAATATGTCACACAGTTTTGATAATCTTCGCTTCTTATTATACTATCGAAATTTAGTAACAATCTTGATATCATATTTACGTGAAATTCAAATTTACCTTCGAAGTTCTAAATAGAAACAAAAGAGATAATAAAAAAAATTAACAAGCGAGTCGTTATCTAATGCAAAAGTCCGTCACTTCCTAATCAACGTAAAGCCTGATACGAATGTGTTGGTTTTAGTGAAGAAAACGGAAAATTTTCAAACGTGATGGAAAACTATGGCCATGAGTTATACATAATATTTGAATATTATTTTCATCATTTTGATGCGTAACTACAATCATGTATAAACTCACAAGCCCATATGAATACTGAGCAGACTAGGCTGATTCCCGAACTCATATGTTCTCAGACAGTTAATAGTATTTCTTGCAATATATTTACCGCAGATTATAATAGGACTTACAAGGACATTGGTTGAGAATTGTGGGGCACGGTTGAACCCTGGAAAAAAATCGAAAAGATCTTCAAACGAAGAATGAACAAATTCGTGACGGTATGGATAATGTCCAGGGGGAGGTGCACTCCCATCTGAATGGACTTTTCCGAAGGTATCATACTCATGCCGTTTCTTAGAGTTGGATAGTACCTAAATAGGGTAGAAAAATTTTCGTATTAATGGAATGCTACCTCATAGGCTTCATTTATTTCAATGAACTTTTTGTTTGCTTTATCTGAAGGATTCTTATCCGGATGCCTGAAAGTTTACAATAATAAACAAAGCCCACGGACTTCAGAAACTTACCATTTCTTCGCTAGTTTCCTATATGCTGTCTTAATTTCCAAATTTGAGGCAGATTTAGATACTCCAAGGACGTCATAATAATCACAAAAAGCATAACGGATTAATAGAGCCAACTGAATAAATAGTGACAATCTCATCCCCTGCAACGCATTACTCAAAAGAAGCGGTTGGCGTATTCAAAATGGTTCAAATGGTTCAAATGGTTGTGGACGGAATAGAAGAAGCTTTCGCTTAACAGGCTTCCGTGTCTAGTAGCAGGGGATCACCAAATCCTCCAGGAAGGAACCTAGGTATGTTAACAATAAAAAAGGAAAAGAAATTGGTAAATCATAATGTGATGCTGTCCTTGGTCCTTAAGAATAGGTCAAGTTGCCTCTTGAAGGACTCCTGAGAAGTCGCTTGGACTAGCTCGGCCGGCAGCGAATTCCAGCTTTTGACAACTCTTAAGGAGTAGAAGTTGTCTCTACATTCCGTCTTGCTATGTTGTGTTTCCAGTTTCTGGGTGTTACCCCTTAGGTTATTATTCGAACTAAGCTTAAGTAGGTGTTTAAGAGGATGTCCAGAAGTGTTAAGAATACTATAAGCCATTAATAAATCACCTCTAAGACGCCTATATTCTAGTGGGTAAAGGTCTAGTGAACGGAGGCGTTCTTCGTAAGGCTTAGATTTGAGTCCTCGAACTGATTTCGTGGCTCGCCGTTGGATACGCTCCAAAGTGACCTTGTCCTTTTGGAGTAAGGGGGGAGTACTATGTTTCCGTACTCTAAATGGGGACGGATGAAACTATTGAAGATTGTGTGGAAAGTTCTTCCGTCAAACTGGCCAAAAATGCGCTTCAACGTTACCAGTGCAAGGTTTGCTCGGAAGGTATTTTTGTCACAGTTAGCGTAAGACTTTAAGTCATGGGGCACCAGGACTCCTAAATCTTTTTCGACTTCGGATACTACTAGAGAGGAGTTTCCTAAGTTGTAACTGTAGTTTGCGACATGTCGCAGATGGACTACTTTACACTTTGAAGTGTTAAAGGTAAGTCCGTTATCGTCTGCCCAACTTTGAAGTCGCGTCAGATCCTCCTGAAGTGCCTGTGTATCGTCTTGGTTGCGTATCTCTCTCCAAAGTTTCACGTCGTCGGCAAAAAGTAATAAGTCTGACGTTACCTGTTGAGGAAGATCATTTATGTAGATCAAGAAGAGAAGAGGCCCTAGTACTGAGCCCTGGGGGACCCCACTAGGACATTCCATAGCCTGAGATAAAGTGGAATTAACCCTAACCTTAAAGTGTCGACTTTTTAGGTATGAAGTAAGCCAATCGACTAGAGGTGGTTTGATACCTAGTCGTTTGAGCTTGTTGATAAGACACAAGTGGTTAACCTTATCAAAAGCTTTTGAGAAATCAAGGTAAATGACGTCAACCTTTCCCTTGCAATCGAGGATGCTTGTCCATTTGTCCACCGCAGTCAGCAGGTTGGTTATACAAGAGTAACCCTTCCTGAAACCATGCTGTTGGGGTGAGAAGAAATTTAAGGACAGTAGATAGTCATTTAAACCGTCGCATATCAGGGACTCCATGAGTTTTGAAGGTAATGACAGAAGAGCCACCGGCCGATAACTTGAAGGTTCATTGCGTCGACCTCCTTTGAAAATTGGTGTGATGTGAGCCAACTTCCAATTTTCCGGTAATTTGCCTAGGCTTAGAGAGTGTGAAAACATCACGCTAAGCGGCGTTGCCAGGATTGAGGCTGCCTCCCTCAGTATGACAGGATGAACTATATCTGGGCCAGGAGAAGTATCTAGTCTTAAGTGCTGCAATTTACGGAACACCAAGTCAGCTCTTAGGTTCACTTCGGAGAGTCCTGTGGAATTGCAGATGAAACTGTCGTCAGTAAAGTTGATGTCAGCCGGTTGAAATGTTTGAGTGTAATGTGCCGCCAGAAGGTCAGCGGCGTCGCCATCGTTGTTGGTCGGGCCGTTAAGACCTACCAGTTGAGAAACTCTTGTTTTGGCTTGACGAAGAGAGGCTGCATAGCGGAACAGGCTTCTAGGGTTAGAGGCGAATTTGTCCATAAGCTTTGTTTGGTACTGAAGCCTGTCTTCTCTTATAGCCTTCGTGCATGTGTTCCTGATATGTTTGTATTGCCTATACGCTCCATCGTTATTAGTTTGTTTGTATTCCGCCCAACAGTGCCTTTTTCGGCTTAGCAGGCGAAGGGTACGGTTCTTGATTATTGTAGGTGGCTTGCAGCTTTTGGGAACCGTTAGAGGAACTGAATGGTTTGTAGCACATAGGAGCGTATGCAGTAAGAAGTCCCAATGACCATCCACATCGAGTTGTGGGTGAACATCCCAAACCACCTGTTGTAGATAGTCATGTAGAGCTGGCAAGTTCAGCCGTTTAAAATTCCAACGCAAATTATTGTTGGGATACCTTAGCTTAGTTTTGATGACAAAACTGAAGGCTATGACGGCATGATCGCTTTTTCCCAGAGGAGCCAGGATTGAGAGGTTGTCGACTAGGAATTCTTCGTTAGTGAATACACAGTCTAAGCGCGATGGTGTCTGACTGTTTCTCCAACGAGTTGCCGACCTCACATTTTCATATAAGCCCAAGTCATCGATGAGGTTGAAGAACCGAGCTTCAATTGAGTTGTCGCCTCCAGTGTACGTGTGTTCCGCGAAGTTGACTCTAGGGAGATTAAAGTCCCCTAGAATCAGGATGTGTGTGAAACCGAGACGGATAGAGCGGGATAGTCCTTCCAGCATACGACTATCGTACTCGGTGTTGGCAGTTGGCTTCCTGTAAATGACTCCGACTAGACACCTCGAAGTACTAGACAATCTTACAGAGCACCATATGGATTCCTCAAGATTGTTAAACTTGAGGTTGTGAACTTGGTGCACCTCCAAGCATGAGCTTATGTATATGCCTACTCCGCCCCCAATTCCTGTTTTTCTGTCGTTGCGGAACAAAGTCATCCCAGGTAATGCTAACTCTTGGTCCGAGAACTGAGAAGATATCCAGGTTTCAGATATTCCTATCAGATGGGCCTTATTAGCGTTGCTAAGTTCACGTAGTTCATCCAGTTTGTTTGGTAGACTCGCGTCGTTCATGTATAAGCAGTTTATGCTTTCAATTTGGAACGCGTGAGCTTCGTCCTGTTTTTCTGTATGAACCTTTGTGAATGGACAGGTAGCCCACCTATATGAGGTTTGCCGAGGTGGTAGGCCCTGTCCTTTACACGTTTTTTTATCGTTTAGACAGTCCACAAGTGGAATGGTCAGCTCCAACTTGTCTTTGTTCTTGGTCCTGACTTCGTATGGCCTATCCGGGTGCATGTGGATTCCAGGTGGCAATCGACGTCTATTAGCACGAAATGCTTCCAGAACTGCAGCCGCCATGTGGGAAGATGGGAAGGTTATCTTCATTAGACGGGGTCTAAGATCACCGTCCTTCTTGGCTAGTCTCGTCACATGCTGAGTCAGTATGTGTTTGAGCCTCAAGGACTGTTTGATGACTTGGATATTTTGTCGAGTAAACGTAGCAAGATAATATGTATTTGTAGAAGATTTTCGAATGGTACATACATTTCACTTGTTCTGGATACACAAGATTTTTTAAAGGGACACCTAGAATATGTTTCTGTGATTTCATTAGAATGTAGAGGTAGACAAATCTGAAAAATAAGTAGTGTAGCTGTAGATAAGTCTTTAAAATAAATAAGTCTGTAAGTCCTCAACATTTATACTGACCTCATTAGTTTTACCGGACACACCTAGCTGAAGGCGTCCGGTCACACATCCTCATCAGATCTCTAGCACATTCGCAGTGCTTCACATACCTTGAGACTACCAAACACCTAACGGCTCCAGTTATATCGATATTTTTCCAAATATATTGCCGAATCCCTTTATTCCTGGCTTCTGAATCAATCGTGTTTGCATATATCGATTATAAAAATTTTACGTGTAAATGCGTTATCAAACAGAATATCTGGGGCATCTTCGGTGGTGAGAGACATTATCTGATACACCAAACAGTAAAGTGAGAGTCCTTTTTTATGGAACATCACATATCGTTCTTCAAATTATTATTCTCTCAAGTTGCGATGATCTTTACATGTTTTCGGATATTTTTTCCTCGTCCATTGGTATATCTTATCTTCATCATGATGGAACTTATACCTAAGCTATTTAAGTTTGAAACTTTTTTGTCCCCCAACTTCCAATTCATGCCATTCTAAACCGGTGCTATAAAAGCCTGGTTCTGCCATACAGAAGTTGACTTCTGCGAGCACGTGTATCTAACTCGCGTGTACAATACCTCACAGTAGTAAAAGCTAAACCGCGCAATTTTAACAGTACGTCATACCTAGTATTTTCGTAGTGGCTTTGGATCAGATTAGAAAGTCACATCATGACAAATCCACAATTTAAGGATTAGGTCTATTATTAAAGCAGTACTAATAACGAAGTAGACCATAAATCTATATTTTATCTAATGATGTGTCGGAACCCTACAGCACTTTGAATAAGACTATCTACAACCTTGGAGTCCTAACTGACCGCCAAAATAAAATTAAGCCCTCAACGACATCGAACTACAACATGGCTCAGTAGCAAAAATATTGCTACGAATGAGAGAATTCATTGGTCAACAGACCTTTGATAAGGGCCAGATTAAACAGCTTTTCATGTCTAAACTTCCCCAACAGGTGCTAGCATGGCTTGTCTCATTTCAAAACAACACGTAGACGAACTGGACGCACCCGACGACGGGATTCTGAAGATCAACGGGACTGCCGACGGGGTCTGTTCAATCAAAAAATCTCAGACGACAGAAAATGACGTCACGAACATCTACCATACTCTGGCACATTACCTCAATATTCTCCATGAACATAGACTCTCCTAAACCAAAATGTCATTAGTTCATTGTCTCTTTAATATGCTATATTGTAACGTTTCTCAAGGACAATTCTATGCTGTATATATACCTGCCTCATACTCGTTAGGATAATCTTAAACTCGATTTGGATTTTCTGCCCTGGGCAATCGGATCCTCTAATTGCATCGTGACTCATTATAACACTGAAAAGGGATTCTACCCATTATATATTGGTTTTGAGAATATCCAACATCTGATACAATAGCTTCGGAAACGTGACTAGAATTCGAC